AATATGCAAGGAAATACTTCGTGAAAAGCGCTGCGTGCCTAATCGCTCTTTCCAGTTGCGTTATGAAAAATTGATGACCAAATTAGTGCACCTCTCCACTGGCCCGTTGATTTAGTAACATTACAGACTCTTCCACTAATAATACAATCGGACAGCACTTCCCATGAAGTAACCAGATGGTCATGTGAGAGGCCATCCATAATCATTCTCACTGTGGCCAGTCTTGTCACAATTATAAAAAAAACATTATAATGCTGATTGATAAAATGTACACGTGCAACCAGTGGATTTTATTTCCCCACTGCAGAGAAGTTCCATTTGTGTGATGTATGAATGGCTTCCTTATCCTGTGAGCCTTCATATCTCTCCATACAAAAGGGATGTCTGCACACAGCTTTGTCCTGGTTTTGATTCATGTCTGCAATTAGGCCGGATTGACCAACATTCAGTGCAGGGCCCTGTTAAATAAGGCTGAGCACGATCAGCACTCACATTGCCATGCCTCTTCAGCTGAACCTAATTGATGTCGTTCAACCAAACCTAACCGTGTATATTGCATCTTTGCAAACGAAAGACATCTATGATATAGTTTTTTTGGGTTAGATCGCGTAAATATAAATGTGTTGTTAAACCCACCACCACCAGACAAAGCTAATTAGCAAAGTTTTGTTACGTAAACAGGACATGCCATTTCGTTACTAGTACAGCACACAGGTGTGTTGGAGAGCAAATCCACAACATTTATAATCTGAGTACGACGTTTCGCCAATAATTACAACTAGCTTCATCTGGCAATTGCCAGATTTGTGGAGAAATCCGCATACAAAGTCCTCTACACTTTCCAATGCTGTTATGTTTTTCATGTATCCAAAATGCTTATACACCAATTAAATACAGGGGACATGGCTGTGGATACAAAAAAAATTAACCCGTAAAAAAAGTTTTTCACTATAAATCCTTTATATGCGTGGCGGCTAGAGTCCTCTCGTCCTCTGGCTTGAGATGGCTGCTACCTATGGGTCAGATGATTGCCTGCCACCATTAAGCAATTGGTAATTAAATATAAAAAAAAAATTCCTAAAAAGTGTAAAAATTTGGAAAAAAAATTTCACGAAAATTAATTGTCACGCACAACGAGTCTGTGTGCAAAATGTCAGCTCGATTGGATCACGGGAAGTGGGTTAAAAAACGACCGAAAGATTTGCACGGTCGTAAGCGCGCAAGCAAGCAAGTGAACTTAATATAAAGGATTTAATAAAAGTTAGTGAGCATGATCATTGATGTGCCTATCAGTGATGCCACGGATAAGACCATTAACTTATTGTGCAACTCCTTATCCATAAACACATTTTCCGTGCAATCTTTGAAACAAAGGCAGTGATTACCTTTGTGTGCGGAGTGGCCGTGTGTGTGTGTGTCCCTGCCCATACCATGTATGATTAACCTGCACATACAGTGCACTTGCCTGGACACCCATGAGGTGGGCTACCAGTTCAGATATGGGCAGTGCGTGTCGGTACTCTGAGAACATATTCCACGTGTACACACCGCAGCCTGCAGGTTCCACTTTCATGTACGCCTACATCGTCAATCGGAATGCAATAATAAACCGCGCATTCCGGCATTCTCTGCAAAAAATAAAACACTCGGCCTATTTTCTGCCTACCTGCCAGGATGACGCCTTCTTCTTCCTCTTGCCGTCCTCAACTCCCACAATTCCTATCCCCAACAAGAAAGCCAGTGGTATATGTGTGGCAATAATATCCCTCTCTACACTACACAGAGCCCAGTCGAGAAGTTAAAGTGATTCATTTATCATGTCCTCCCTTCGGAAGCCGTCTCCTTCCGCACCGACACATCGCTGCCAGTGATCGTGCAGCCCCTGGCAGCTGCCCTGTGGAAGCCTTCAGCTGAAACGTCTTTCAGTCGCCTCGTCGTATTCGATTTAACGCGCTCGGTGTCTTGACAACGAGATCCTTTCGCAGCGAGTTTCGTGCATTGCGTTCCCCGCACAGGCTGCTGTGACAAGGCGGCGGGAGGTTATTTTTTTTTGGAGCGGCGCCCTAATAAAAGATTATCAAAAAATCCCACAAACATTTTGACCGGAGCTCGCACGAATTCACGTTTCCCTTCGCCACCACTCACTCCCCGCCGGCTCTGATGCTGACGTAGAAGCAGTAATAAAACTTGACATCCTACATCAGGGGTTCTGAAACTTTTTCAACCGTGCGACCTCCTTTTGCGCGGCCAAAAAACAACAACCACATGGGGCCGCAGGAGTGGGGTTGGGGGAGTGGTGGTAGCACCACCACCACCACCGCCACCCACAACTCACAGAGAGCGAGTGGGTGAGGGGGGTATCACTCTGCAGGCATCATAGCCTTGAGATGTGAGAGGTCTGGACGCAAGTCATTCTGACAAACGATGGAGCTAAATATTAATTTGTTTCGGCAATTAAGCGGGCAGGGTACCTATTTATTTAATAATCAATGGACTGGGTCAACAGGAACCTAGGTGACGACCCACAGTTCAGGATACACCTCGCCCCAACGTAATTGATCTGATTGGTCGGATCACTCTGATATGCAAATCACATCGGGACAGATTTCCCTTACCCCCCCCCCCTTATCCCTTACCCCACCACCGCTTCTCTCCATGCACCCTCCCGCCCCCGCCTCCACCCTCCACCCTCATCTGTGCCCAGCCCGGGCAGGTGTGGGTCGAGGGCAGCCTGCCACAGCTGCCACACGTGCAGCCTCGATCTGCTCGATCTGTGCGCGCGTCCAGTGAGCCATGCGCTCGCGCAATGTGAATGGGGATCCTGAGTTAGGGGTTGCCGACCCCGGCGTACAACAACCTCGGCAAATGTCGTGGGAAGAATACACTTTTTTATTTGACTAAGTAATGCCCACTGCGCTCTGTAGCTCTGTTTCAGAAGCGACCTGGTCACAAATGATAGCCCAATTAAGTGGCTTATCACGTAGAAATGTATAGCAGCCAAATACCCTAAACGCGTGACGTTGATTCTAAATGTGGAAGGGGAAACCCGGAGCACCCGGAGAAAAATCCACGCAACCACAGGGAGAGAGACACGCAAACTCCAAATATACAGCAGGTCAAGATCGAATCTATATTCCAGGCGGAGTAGAAGGATGTCTAAGAAGGATGTCTAACACTGGAAGAGGGGAGAACTACACTGTGAATGCGTTGTACTTAGTCGTGTATGATTATAATGATGATTATTTTGCAACTGACAAACAACGGGACTTTTATGTGTCCCTGGAAGGCTTACAAGATTTCCCAGGAAGGCGACGTCAAATAAGATGACCCTGGGCGAACCAGACCAGGGGGCAAACCCATTGTCTTACGTGTCAGAATCGGAATCTTTATTTTGACAGGAGGAATCCGATGAGCTATGAAGCTGTTTTTTTGCAGATGTCCAGGATGGGCGCGTCAGCATTGTCCCCACGGTGAAGAGGTGGGCTCGTCAACTTAAGTTCCTCAGGGACAAATGACAGCAGAAGGCCATGATGGCCAGAAGTGTGTCGATGATTTGAAGCTTTCGTGACTGCAAGGATTCATACTCTTAGTTTTTTCGGTAAAGTCACGTAGGTAAAAAATGAAATAAAAATTAATCAAAATAAAATAATAAAAATCACGACGTTTCGGAGACTTGTGTTGCCTCCGAAACGTCGTGATTTTTATTATTTTATTATTTATTAATTTTTATTTCATTTTTTGCCTACGTGACTTTACCGAAAAGAGTAAGAGTATGTGTCGATGAGTCTGAACAAAGATCATCCCGGTTTACAGTTGCCTGGTTGTACTGCTGGCCAAATACAATGATTGCCACAATCTCAGCGGTGTTGAGCTTCCGGTCAACGCAAGTCTGTGTGCATGATGTCCCCAAGGGATGATGATGATGATGTTATATTAACATGCAAAGCATGCTGGGAATTCCCATTATGTTTTTCTCTTCAAGGCACCTCTTTGAATACCATTTGTTTCCAGTTTAGACACACGCATTTGTCGACGCCTTTGAATTGCGTCCTCAGCCGTGTCTAAAAACACGTCTTAGTTTGACGTTGCAATTGTTAAAACAATTGATCCGTTTATGAGCGCTGTTTTTAAAATAATGATATACTCAATAAAACATTGCACCACTTTATCTCCTGAAATCGACTTCACTCAACAATTGCAGCCATCGACGCTGTCTTAGAGTGTTTGTTGCATTTTGCCCACGGGAGGAAGTCATTGGCAAAGGTGCCGTGCAGAGGTTCGGTCACTCGAACACTCGCCTTGTCGTGAGATCGGGCACGTTGTCAGCAGTGGCGCTGCCGTCAAAGTCGGGCATCCGCGTGTTTCGTGGGCGGAGCGAGAGGATCGATCCTAAAAAAAACCCCACAACGTGAAGGCAATCGATAACCCCAATCGAATTCATGACAATGGCGCCACCTGCAGTTTGACCTGCGATAGCGTGCCGAGGAAGACATTTTCAGAAGTGGACTGTAGTTCAGAGTTATTCGGTAATTTCGACAGTTGTAATATAGTTATTAAGTTAACACTTGTCTCTCCAGAATAGTTTTTTTTTTACCAAAACAAAAGGTGATGCTTCCTTTGGCAGTACGGCACAAGCACAAACAACAAAAACTCATCGCATTCGTCAATAGCAATGCCCTAAAGAGGAACAATTATGTAATGGCAAACGTTTCGGGGCAATGCCCCCTCTTCATCACACACACACACACAGAGAGAGAGGTGATAAGTGCAGGTTAACCTTCACCGAGCCTTAGCACGTATCTCATGCTCATTCATCGGATGGTAAAAAAACCTCGATGACGTTTGGCCACGAGGACATCGACAGCAGTTGGTGACAACCATTTTCGGTCCTCAGGTGAAGACCAGGTCTGTCGGGGAGACTTCATTCAGACGCTGTCTCCCCCCCTGCAGTCACGAAAGCTTTAAATCGAAACATTTTCGGTCCGTTGTGCTGCCACCAGAGTGATTGGCAGCTGAAGGAGAACAAGGCCATGTCGCAGCAGAGGCGGCAGCTGCAGGCAACGGAGGCTGCGATGGAGGCTCAGCGAGCACCGGCCGGGGCGAGCAGACCCAGCACAAGCCACGCCGCAGATGTCCTGCGCACCGAGATCATTCGTCTGAGCGAGAGGGTGGCTGCCCTTGAGGTACGCACACTTTTTTTCTTTGGTCTTAGAAATTGCGCATGTTTTCGGTTTGTTACTCTCACGTGAAACTCGTGTTATTTTACTTGATGATTCTTGAGCGGAATTAGTTTTGACTCATGTTTAACTTTTTATTTTAGCAGGTACGGCCCACTGAGCTACGTAGCCCTTTGTCAGAAGCGACCTGGCTATCACATAGCTCAACGAAGTGGGTTATCAAGTGGAAATTGTATAGAAGCCAAATAATTTAAACGTGTATTGATTCTAAATGTGGAGGGAAAAACCGGTAGGACACGGACAAAAATCCGCGTGACCATGGGGAGAACGTGCAAACTCCAAATATACAGCAGGCGTCAGGGTCGGGATCGAACTTACGAACTCCTGCATAACAGGCGAGGGAAAGGCAACAAGTGTATTGGAAAAATATTGATCTCTGCTCATCTCTTTGGTTCTGGCTAAGGAAATCTCACACCCCTGGTGTGGCCAGGAGAGGTTCTAGTGAGAGCTTGGTTTGTGTGGTGTTGCTGCTTGCAAAATTGTACGTTCGTGATTTGGTACCAGGTGACATGGGAAATGTACAGATCCAACATGCTAATCTAAGTAAATGTCCTTTAACATGCCACGCTATTTATTACCTTTACACGATAATACACCATTAACATTACTTCGGCAACCTTTGTTCTCAAAAACGTATATAAACTCTTGCTGGTAACAGCTTCTCTTCACAAGGCAGCAGACATCGTGCTGCTCACAGCAGACATCGCAGCTGTCGCGATTTTCACCTGAAGACGATGGCTTGTGTTGCTATCGAAACGTCGTGATTTATTTTGCTTTATTTCTACCTACGTGACTTACCGACAGAACCAAAGAGTATGGATTCCTGCAATCACAAAAGCTTCAAATCAAGAATGTACAGATGATTGAAACCTTATCACTTGAGGATATGTTGGCGCCTAAATAATTGTTGTGAGTGATTTAAGTCAGTTGGACACGACATAAGTGATTACCCAATTTGTTTCTGTACAAATAGACTTGAACAAAATAGATATTGTGGGTTTTACACCGGATCTCAGTTGGCATTTAATTAAATGTATATTTTCTTCATCTTATTACTCATTCAAACTATTAAGGCCTGCACAGTGAGATTTAGAGTTAGGATATCGAGGCGTATATTGCTAGTCCCCATCTAAAATAAATATTGATAATTGTGATGATGATGACCATGATCAAAACATGCACATTAAACCACAGCAACAAAATTACCCTTTGCGAATATATGGGACAAAATGCATCGATCTCGTGTGTGTGGCAATGCTGTGTCTGTGAACCAGGGAGAACTGAGACAGGCACATAATGCTCTCAAGCAAGCAGAGAAAGCCGAGAAGTCACTGGTAACAGAGAAGGTCTCCCTTCACAAGGAGCTGGAGGACACTCAGGTAAGTTTGCTCCACCACCCACGCAAAACAATCGCAGAGGAGGGCTTGTGGGCTCACGTAAATGTAATACGGTTGAATGCTCGGGTTGCCAACTCCTGAGTTACAAAATCCCAGACACAGCACGGGAAGACTATCCCACAATACCAGACGAGAGAGAGCTACCCATAAATGAATTGTCTTGAGTGGCGGATTGTTGCTATTCGTATTTTAATGTCCTGGAGAGATTTCCAGCCAGTTAGCTTAAAAACCAAAACAGGACAGTCTTGCCAACACCAGGACAGTCTTGCCAACACCAGGACAGGTGGCAACGCTGTTAAACAGAAGCCACTGATTTATATTTCCACATTTTAACCAACATTTTTCTTCACTGCATCCAACGTTGTCCCACAATGCACACGTCTGGTGATTGGTAAAAATGGAACCTGCTGGTGATGCTAGGTGGAGGATAATCACGGAAGTTTGGAAAGTCATTCGATAGTGTCCTTTGCCTTCTTCCCATCGCCTTTGACTTATTCAAGGGCTACATTTTGCTGAGCTCATTTTGTTATTTTTGTGCTTTTTTGTTATTTTCATTTTCAGTGACCGTGTTTCAGGTGAATATTTTTCAACATTCATTGATTTCTGTTAAGACCGATTCATGTCAATATCATCATAACAGTGTAAACTTACAATCCATATTTGTTTTTGGGGTTAGGCCACGCGGAGTCAGTTTGCCAAATTTTTATGTCATTATCCCTTCACCACCCAACGAGATTGTCATGTTTACAAAAACATATAATTCACGCGTGCCAAACTATCCATCAAATTCTGACCAATCAAGCTCCTCACCCGGTGGTTTAGAGGACTATTCATGACCGAATTCAGCATCCACATGCGACGGCGTTTCGCTCCGACTGCATATTGAGTGAGCTGCCTCATCCGTGTAAAACTAAAACTGACAGCTTATTTGCACTGGCTGTAATTACTGCGAATGAATGGGTCACTTTGTGCGATGTCACCCCGCTGTACGGGGCACAGCGATGTTGCCGCTTGCAGTCGTCATGTCCGTAGTCATCCTGGATTTGTTTTGGTGAGTTAGTTGTTCACGCCAATAGTTAAACGCGTGCAGCCGACATTGACAAGGCGACGTAGTTTTGGTCAAATGAGGAATTTGACATTTTGCAAATCGGACTACGTTCCACATCTGTTTCTTTAACTCCCACACCCCCACGCCCGTCAATGGGTGTCGAGATACCTGACGCAAGGGCAACACGGAATGCACGCTGCTTGAACTGTCAGCCTATTGTTCAAGTCACAAAAAACTCCTACGCGTTCGTTCATGATACTGTGGCCTTAAAAGGGGACGTTTGGGTCAATGGCCCTGCTCTAAAACACATTTTAACAACAGCCATTGCCCACAATGTCACCGAGTAAATGAATCTCCTTCTCCGTCTAAGGCGAGAGAGGGTTATCGACGAACACGTTGAGTTTTGTTGTTGTTATTTGTGCTCGTGCACCACTGTCAACACAGCAGCAGCAGCACCACTAAATATCGTGTTATTGGTCAAGCGATCAGTCGGGGTGTCGCCTGCACAGAGCCAACATCTTTTACGCACCTCTAAGAGCGTGCCTCTGTCTGCCTTCGTGGGGGGAGCGGGCGGTTTTTCCCGCTGTGCTCCCACCTACCCAGGCGCCCTGGGTTCAATTCCTGGTCATGGGTAGCACCAGTGGTGTGTGGAATGGAGACATCCCGAGCCTCATATACATCGGGGGGGGAGGGGGGTTGAACAAAATAAATGGGGGGGGGGGGGGGGTGTGAACAAAATAAATGGGGGGGGGGAGTTGGGGGGATGTAAACAAAATAAATGGGGGGGGGGGAGGTTGGGGGAGTGAACAAAATAAATGGGGGGGGGGGGGGTTGGGGGGTGAACAAAAGAAATGGGGGGGGGGGGGCGTTGGGGGGGTGAACAAAAACATGGAGGGGGGGGGAGGTGGGGCAAAGCGGCTGAGGGTGGTTCCAGCCACTCCACCCCCACGCTTGTCGTGCCAGCCGAGGTAGGAGCCCTACACAGTAACAGCTGACCGCATGGAGTCCTTCAGGCTTAACAGGAGGCCTTTATCTTAGCGCGTGTGTGTGTGAAGAACTTATCGCCATCACTGTCAGGGTAAAAATGTTCTCCTGATGTTTGCTATCGGCACGGTTTGCATGCTAGGGGATTGTTGAAGGTGCGTTTAGAGTATTTGTCTGCTATAAATGTCCTCGTGATGGTGACAAGCCACTTCGTTGAGCTGTCATTTGTGGCCAGGTCGCTTCTGGACAAAAAAAAAGCAACAGAGCTACATAGCTCAGTGGTGGGTCCTTACCTGGTAAAATAGAACAAAATTGTTTAGTTTTAAAATCGTTTAATCAAACTCCAGTGCATCTCACTCGCACTCTACAGGATGGTCCAGATGTCTTGTGACCCCCCCCCCCCCCAATTTAATTCTCTAAAACTTAACGTTTTTTTAAAGTAAGGGTTATTTAAAACATAAATTAATTAATTGGGGGGGGCTGTCACAAGACAACTGGATCACCCTGTCCATCCGACTCGGTTAACGCTACGCGCTAATGCTGCTGTATTGGCTTACTACCGGAATACAGTAAGCCTTTACATACCAGGTAACGCTTGCATTTAATACATTTCCTGGTCTCTTTGAGTTCCCACCTGGTTAACCAAAATAAAACTTCACGAATTCGTGCTCTCCGATCCATCAAAATAATTTCTGCAGGAGGCTGCTCTGAATGAGGAAAACGAACGACTCCCACTCCAGGACTTGTCACCAAGTTCAGCCTAAATCTTGCTGTACGTCCGAGCTCATCACCTGGAATGTTGTTACCGTGTTTGCAAGCGCCCAACCTAGAGTCATAATACACGTGAAATAGGTTACAAACATAGGAACTGTACGTTATTCTACTGTATGGCCCTCTTCTTCCAGACAAAAAAACCCCACCTACCCCCATCATCATCTCTTGAGCTTCTCCCTTCAAGCTCCTGCCAAACCCAATCCCCCCACCCACTCACCCACCCACTCATCCACGCGAGACCCATTCAACCTCTCCCACCAAATAAAAACCTGCCTTTCCCGCTCAGTGTGTCTATTCTTATCCTCCGGCTCAAACTCAACCACCACCACCAACTGCAAAGGAGAGACCTTGGAACGGCGGCGGTCTTCTTTGTCTGTCGGTGGATTCGCTGCATCTCGCTCGCTCGCTGGTCACCTGTCTTATGCTCCTGCGCCTAGGTTCCGTGTTCACCGATTACAGGTATTGTGTATCACGCACACACGTGTGCGTGTGTGTGCGCGTGCGTGTTGTTTTTTGTCATCTTCGCTTCGTTCATAAGTCACGAGCGCCAGGCAGTTTAGTTTTTTTGGAACGCCGAGTCTGCAATTGTGTTTTTTTTGGTCGTACGTTTGTCTCCGGCGTTGAAGACAAAGACGGACGCCAGGTAAGATGGTACAGCCGGCAAAGTGGAGTTGTCAAAATGTAAACCCAGGTGAGCAGAGTCTGCCGTGCGTGTACAAGTAGGGGTGCTGGCGTGTCTGTGAACGTTAGTTCGTGCCAGTGTCAAGGTGCCCGCCAGGAGGGGGGCGGTACAGGAAATTTAGACTCCCAACTCTTCTGGGATCGAGTGTTGCCCCCTCGCATGCGTGAGGTTTTTTTTACCCCCACATATAAATGCTCATTTATTGGCTAAAAACATCTCTTATATGGAGGACTGTAGAGCTTGGGAAATTGTTGGTGCCAGCTCATCGCTCGCACCTCTCACTCGTTCTCTCACTTCGAGAGCGAGAGAACGCTGTGTGCGTTACAAGTTGAAATAGTTTTATTATTATCGCAGGATCGTGAGAGATGGCGGCAGCTTGGAGAGGCTTTTATCCGGTAGTGGCTTGACCTTGGCTGATGATGATGACCTTTAGATTATAAATGTATGATTCCCTTTTGTTACGGTTTTACCAAATTGTAAATGAGCCCTATTGGTGGAAGTTATGTATCACAGTGATGCTTTTGATGGAAATAATCAATGGGCTGTCTTGTCGTGCCCTCTTGTCGAGAATCATACCAGCAGCCTTACGTCACGATAAACAAAGAATGAGTTTTTGGTCACTTAGACTACGATTTACACATACAGTATTACACATGCAACCACAGGAATATTGATGCTGTGATTATACATACCTGCGACCTTTGTTGACATCATTATACTGTATAATAATCAATGAATATGAGCCATGGGAAATTATTGAAGACCTTAAGAAAGAAGGGTGAAAAGTTGGGTTAAAAATGACAATTACGAAACAAGTTAAATCACTAACTCCCCTATTGTTGGAAGGAAATAACTGTAGTGTGACTTGATTTGATCATGAAAAGCAACATGAATATGCCTAAATGTATATTTTGCTATCATTAAATATTTCCATTTTTAACATATGGATCAGAAACATGCGCTAAAAAGTACATAAAGAAGAAGCGTGGAGAGATGCATGCTGAGAATTGCACTCAAAAGATAAATTAGGACCATAGAACAAACACAAAGTACATGTAAGGATTTGTTGTGATTTATTTTATTTTATACCTACGTGACTTTACCGAAAAAACCTCAAAAGAAAGCTGTCTTTGGTGTGGACCAATCAGTTTCAAGGACAATGCATATATTATCAGAGTATGTTTTTTGCTTGCATTCTGACCACAAGCATTGTGGTTAATGCAGACATGATTCCTTGTAAAAGGTTTCAGTTTGGTGTTTTAACATCTTAACAGCTGATGTACATGTAAGGATATCACGCGGTGTTGGGTGTAATGAAAAATAAGTGACCATGAAGGGAAGATGGCCATTGGGTGAGACGTGTGAAAGGATAACAGCCAAAGGAGAGAACATTCCAGAGAGGATAACCACCACAGATATGGAGCGATAGAGATCGGCTCGGGTGGATTACGGCGGCATCGTAACATTGCGAGGGGTGGCAGTGGCGTGGGAAGGCTTATTTTCAGCGTTAGAGTGATCGTGACCGTTGATTTTGTTAGTGGTTATAAATATGCAACTGTCGTGAGTAATTGGTCAAGATTGTAACAATGTTATAATTAGAAAAGTATATGCCTTTAACTAAAACAAATAAACAAACATTTTTGGACCATCTAAAATGTTGGGGGTTGAACTTTAGTATCTTTGATCTTTGGCCTATGCGAGTTTGTATTCAGATGCTTTTAAAGTTTTTGAAATCGAACATGATATAATATTTTCATAGCTCCTACACCAAAAATATTTTAATTTGGCCTCCCAAAGATTACAGCCCCTACACAACTGAGTAAATCGCCTAAAAAGCTAAAGAGTGTCACATGTATTCAGCCTGTGTTTATCACGAGAAAAATCCCCAAATTCACATTTTCAAGTTTAGTCCCCCACTCCCCCAAATTGGGGGGGAGGTAAATATTGTGCACCGTTTTTGTTCTTGAACCTATGACAATTTTTGTACAGTTCTGCCCGTTAATCACTTTGCACGGTGGTGCCGTGACAGTGAGCTGTATTGTGCAGTGTGTTACGTGATAACCCGCATTAATAAGAGATGCTAGCAAATGTGAAAGAGGGCATTTCAACAGGTGCTCAGATCGTGAACATAATACCTTGTACTGCACAGTAAATCCTAGACTGCAATTTCACCTGGCAAGATCAAAGCATGCACTTGTCACCTTGTAAGGGGCAATGCTTGCTACCTTGTTAACAAGCAGTCCAATCCATTGCTGTACTGTACTCTTCTGCAACTTCTATGCTCCACACCTTGATTAACTCCCACTGACCAGCATGGCGATGTCTCGTCACATGCCCCCTACTCTCTGCATGGGCATGGCAAAGGTGGAAACTGATCTGTTAGTGGATGGAGTAATGTGTGTGTGTGTAGAGATATTCTCTAGAATACGCCAGGTCTGCTGACGTTCAAATGCGTTCTGATTCCATTTTCTCGGGTAGTTTTGGCAGTACAGAGTCAGTCGTGGAAAGTCCACATTCCTATGGCAGGGACTAGAGGCTATTTATTTTGTTGTAGGACGACGTTCATCGACTCCAAATGCTGCTGATGTTGATTGACGATTGACGACTTTTGCCAGATGAGAACCCATTGGGACTCCAGGAGGGGAGGGGGGGGTGTCTCTTTCGCGATGGTCACTTGGGTCAACACGAGGGCTGAACGATTTGGGGAAAATATCTAATTGCGATTTTTCTGACAGATATTACGATTGCGATTTGATTTGCGATTATTTTTTTTTAAAGTCACGCTTCAGTTAAATTTTCACTGTGTAATAGATTTAAAACATGTGGTAGAGCATTACCACATGATACCATCAACATATGAACTGCTCTATATATTCAAATGCAAAGATGAGAACTTAAACGATATGAATTGCTTCCAACATGTATTTATTTAAAAAATTAATTCAAATATAACAATCAAACACAGAACAATTGTGAAGTTAAATAAATAAAGTTATAATAATAATAAATAAAACAATCCCAATAAGAAAGTAACAGTACTTTTGAAATCGCAAAAAATCGCAGCCTTTACGATTTGCTAATGGCATTGTTTCAAATTACGATTTCGATTTGAAATCTATTAATCGTTCAGCCCCAGTCAACAAGTAGCCGTAGCGGAACGAAGGGGGGGCTGAGAGTTGACCATCTCCAGGGTTTGAACCCGTACGTTTTTTTGTTGTTGCTGGCGGGGGGGGCAGTGTTTGGTAAAAAGGGCTTCCAGCTACGAATGGTTCCCAGCTGCGATTGCGCCCGCGGGCAGCAGAACGACGCGCTCAGGGACAACTGCGGAATCCTGCGGCGGGTATGCAGTACGCCCTGTACTGTACAACTCGTAGAGCCAAGTGATTGCGAGACCTCCGCTTCGTCCATTGTGCACTTATTGTTTGGTGCTTTGTCTATGATGTGATCATCATTTGCATGATTCACTTGCGTACTCGGTGTTGCATCAGCTGCGTGCACTTTTGTAAAGCAAATAATGTCCGTGACCACAAGCAATAACTTGTTGAGGTGTCTTTAACTGAAGCATGTGGATTTGTTTTCTTTTACCAACACATGAGTCAGGGTTAATAAAAAAAAAATATTTGCACTAATTATATTTTAGACAGTACGGATTGTGGTTTTACATTTACCTTCATTTTCCTGTCGGGAATCAAACCCAGGCCCTTTTCGCTGTGAGGCACGAGTGTTACCCACTTGTGTACACCCCACCACCCTCAGTGCTAGCTAATCCAAGACGAACCCGACTTGGAAGGTCACCGAGGCAGTAATTGCTTCACTATTAACGCTGCTTTCCATCGCTAATGCCCGCTGAAGGTATTTGTCGTGACGGTTGCGAGCCTCGAACTGAGCGTTCGCAAGGGATTACTGCTGCACATTGACCTCCAGCACGATTAACGGGATCCCAGTTTTCTGAAAGGCCACGTGATTTGGGTGCATCCAAGACACTAAAAAGAAAAGGAACCGTCAGACCAGTCCACACCTATCTGGGAAACTTTTGAAATCCCAAGGCGATTCATCCGCCTGGTTGGGAAAGAGTTCGGGGGTTGTACGTGGACGTCCCTTTTGTCAACCCACCACTGAATGAGGGCCTTACCATGCCGCGCGAGTCATTGGGGTAATTTTGTCCATACTTCACCACACCGGTCAGCCTCGGTTGCTGAAGCTGCGGAGCAAAGACCTGGGAGCATAGAAGAATAGTTTAACGAAAGGATGTTACTGCACTACCTCTGCCGACGACTGCCCCATAACCACGGAGCCACCTGTTTGTTCCAGGTGGTCACCTAACCAGGCACTTTCCAAGCTCACCCTGCTTAGCTTGTAACACTGCATTTGTGGATGTACACCACTGCATGATGTGGGGTGCCGGCTCCTAAAAAGGATAAAAACTCGAACCTCGTGATACCTCGGGGGCTCTCGGCAAGCTGCTCGTTTTACCGATGTCTGTTGGTTTCAAAGCTGTACACACTGGCGACTATTAGAAAACATACAAAAAAAATGTACGTGGAAATTCATTTATAATAATTTTTAGTGGCCAGGAGAGAAGAAAAAACTGTTACTGCTGGGACCAAAAGGTTGAACTGGGTTCTTTGTGATGCGGACATTTAATATTAGCGTTCTGATACAACAACAGGAAACAACAACAACAAAAACGTCAGTTGCCAGTGATGATATGAAACGTAGTTGCTAATGGTCTATTTTTCACACTGAACAAATGTGGGCAGGGACCCCAGTGCAAGGCTCCCTTGTGTCCAGAATTGGCTGTCCCTCCTCTCCCAATCTTTCTGCAGAATCAGATACGCCCCCCCCGCCCCCCCCATGATAATTGGACGTGAGAACAATGCCGAACAAGGCCAACGTTGTTTGGACGTGAAATCCAATAACCTTTTGACATTACAGATTCCCAGGACCATTCGTCGGAAGAGACCTCCGGTTGTGTGGCAGTGCCCCGTAAATGACAAATTCATTTTTATTCGAGGAGTGCAGAAGCAACGTGCGCTTGCTGAAACGTCCCGCAAGATAGCCGGGGTTGCTTGCACGTGTCATCTGCAATCGCTCGTTGCATTGTTTTGTCTTTAAACGCCTTCCCCTCCGCGCCCTGTCCACCTCCTGCAAGCGAGGCTCAGTCCTCATTCGCCCGAGCAACGTTGCTGTGTCGAGCACATCTTTTGCAAGCGCCGTTGGAGCAGAGGGATTAAGCGCGTTAATAAATAAAACGGGGTTTTATTAAAATTTTAACAAAGAGAATGTTATACTTAATCAACTTAAGTGGCGTTTGTGGTCTATGGCAGTAACCAGATTATTAGACATGCAACGATACATTGGATAATTGATTAAAATTGATCATCATAATACGCGCAATCGTATTTTGTAAGAATTATATTTTTTATTCGTGTCTTATGCAATAGGTTCGCATTACCTCTGTAAGCACTACAGGCACTAATCACCTCAGTATTCATTAAAAAAATATACATAAATATTCATGAACCGGATTGAGACCAAGTCAATGAATCAGGAAGGGGTGAATCATTCCATGCCCACCGGTTATGAGGCAAGAGCTGTCCACCCACCCTGGGTTACCCGGCTGTGTCGATTTATCATCCTACATCCTGCTCGTGAGACCGAGGTGAAGTTGAAACCACAGAAATCGCATCGATCTGTGAGCGCCCGTTGTCTGAGGAATTCGGTGTTATTAAAATTCACCGATTTACGTACACCCAATATTTGAAATTTACCTTATACACACAAAGACAAAGGTCTCCCATATAGCCTATAATAGACGTTGGAGCAGGTGCTGTTAGCGAGCACCTATGAAGGCCGGCACGGCACACAAGGGGGTGGGTGGCCAGTGGTGATTTTTACACACCGCACCAGAAACTCGTTTTAGGCCGAGTAGACCTAGCGGAGGCCCAGGACCGGTTCAGATAATCGTCACCGGTGTTGCGCGTGAGCGGCGATTCGAACTCGGGTCGCCGGGTTCACAGCGCAGCGTGCTAACCGCTACACCGCCGCTCCCCACACACACACACAAATATTGAACACAGTTGGCTCACACTAACGTTGACCGCTCGTCTGGCGTCGGCGCGTCTGTGCGGTGTGAAGGGAGCGCTGGAGCGGCTGTCTGAGGGCCGCCTCGGCGTGGAGGGGCGGCTCCGCGAAGCCGAGCGGGCCGCCGCCACGCTGCGGCGGGACAAGGAGGAGCTGGAGCAGCGGGGGCGCCAGCAGCAGCACGCCATCGAGCGCCTGCACCGCGAGGTGGGCAGCCGTGAGAGACATTGCTGAGACTCGCCAGCGGGGCGGGGGCCCTCAACGCCAGGGTCCTGAACGCGGGGGGCCCTGAACGCCTGGGCCCTGAACGCCTGGGGCCCTGAACGCATTCGTATGCACATTCGCGTTTGCAGGCGCTTAACCGGGTGAATTCGACCTTAAGTAAGTCCCTGGTGCAGTGTGTAAACATTGGCACTGGGGAGGCAAAGGCAGTTGGGCATATTGTTGGCCACACTTGCCCGCTCATGGTGCAGCCAGTGCAGGCTACGGCGTCATGATATCTGTGCTTGCGCGTGTGCGTGCTTGTAAGCGTGAGCGCGTGCGTGTGTGTAATTCGTGGTTTCTGTTGGCGGCGGTGGCGGCGGTGCGTAGCTGCAGGCAGCGCGGCAGGAGGTGTCTCGAGCCTCGGGCTCGGCGGAGCTCGCGGGGTCGCGCGGCGGGAGCGGGGACGGGCCCGGGTCGGAGATGGAGCGAGCGCTGCAGCAAAAATCCAGGCTCCAGGAGATGGTGAGTGTGCACCACCAAGTGCGCGCGTGGAGGAGAGTGCACCGAGAGCACGTGCCAGTGCCAGGGCTTCGGCCTGTTTGGCCGCTTTGGTTCCGCGGTGGTGGCGGCACTGAGTTTTCTCGATTGAAAACTCATTTCTTTAGAACTGCTTTTTGTGTTCAGTTTGTTGTCTTTCCCCACCACACCTCCGATTAGCATGATTGTCTACGTACGGTACGAAAGCAGTTCAACGTACATACAACTGCTGGGCTGGGAGATCAAACCGGCGACCTCTGGATTGCAAGTCAAGTGTGCCAATCATTATGCCGCGGCAGTGTCCCTGCGTTTGTCAAATCACCGATTTTTATATCCGCTGCTGAATGGGGGCCTCCTCATCCTTTGTGTGACAATGGGGTTATTTTATCAGCTAATAAAACCAGGGGCAAAGGCCCCCCGCCCCCCCCCCCCCCAGAGAACTACAGGAAAGAACGGGAGGGAAACGTCGATTGCGACGGCATCTCCTGCGTTTGTATCTCCTGAACCCTCGAGTTGTAACGTTGTGTGGGGTGGGGGGTGGGGGGGCTGTCCGGTGGGTCCAGGTGGAGAACCTCACCGTGGAGTTGGAGGACCAGACAGCCGAGCGGGAGACGCTGGCGCTGCAGACTCGCCGGCTGGAGCGGCGCGTCGGGGAGCTGGAGGCTGAGCTGGAAACCGCCATGGCGGAGCGTGACGCCACGTTCAAGCAGCACAAGCAGCTGGAGGTGACCCGCCGCCGAGTGAGCGGCCCCTGGGGGCTAGCCGCCCCGGGAGCCTCGCTCCGTGCCCCGTGTTGTTGTTGTTGTTGTTCTTCTTGGTTCTTTCGGTAAAGTCACGTAGAAGGGAAATAATAAAATAATAAAAATAAAACATCATAAAATAATTCTCACGACGTTTCGGCTACAACGCAAGCAGCCGTCCTCACCTGAGGACCTGAGGACGGCTGCTTGCGTTGTAGCCGAAACGTCGTGAGAATTATTTTATTATGTTTTATTTTTATTATTTCCCTTCAACGTGACTTTACCGAAAGAACCAAGAAGATGAAACCATGCAATCACGAAAGCTTTAAATCGAAATTGTTGTTGTTACCGTTATCACCGCCGCGCAGGGTTTCACAGTCGCGCCGTACAACGCCCTCCGAGGCGTTTTTGGGTTGTGTGTCGTGTTGTTCAGTCGGCATGGTGTCCGACGTTCCGGTCCACGTGCTGGGCAGCTTCTTCTGGAGCTGAGTTGAGCAGCTCGTGTTCTCCCTCTCGTGCCGAACAACACGCGGCGCCACCTGAAACTGGAGCGCTTCTTTGATCGTTCACTTTTTCATTCCACCCGCTTAACATTCTTTTTGTGTGTTTTGCACGGTTGATACAGTGAGCAGCGTGCAATATTATATATATACCAAAAAGATTACGTGCCAACCCTACTAATAATGATTGTAATTTACAGCCTTTTGTCAGTCCACTGCTGGATCAAGGCCTCTCCCCATACCTTATCAGCCATGGGTTGTTTTTTTGCCATATTTCACCACGCTGGTTGGGGAATGGCGGGCCCAGTTCGTGTATCACTCGCCACTGATGTTAGCCGTGGCTACGAATCAAACTCGAGCCACCAGGTTGGATAGTGCAGTATGCGGCTTACTGTAGCTCTGTCTCTACCCCCACCTCTCAACCCTCCGAATGTCTGATGCCAATTTGACTTACAATGTTGGCATACAATGACCCGCCCTTGTGAGTGATGCTAATGGGATTTATTGGATCCACAAGTAGAGTAAACAGATGGGAACATTGCGCCCACACTGAAGGCACACGTGGTTGTTGTTGTTCCCGGAGCACATTATCATCGGGGTGTTGATGCTATAGGGTGGCTTTCGGGTCGGCGTGCGGTTGCTTGAAAGTCATCCGTGTACTGAGAAACAACGCGTTGCTTCAATGTTTCAGTCGCCCAAAGTAGTTGGATCAAAATGTTTTTTTTTTCTTCTTCTTCTTCGTATGAATTTGAATCGGCGTTCGACTCGAGGGCTCTCACATTGACTCCTGCCTAATCGCCGATGCAACGTGCACCAAATAGTTGAATCGGAACGCTCACAGTTCACAGCCCCTTGTCAGTGTGCTGCAGAATGAAGGTCCCATCGACTCACCGTCGGTCATGAGGCTTGTACGGCCATACCTCGCCACACTCGTACGGCTGGGTGGGTGAAGGTGGTTGCCCAAGAGCAATGCAGATGTCACTTGCCGCTGGATGTTAGCCTTAGGCAGGAATCGAACTCTCGATCGCCGCGTTCATTAATCCGCGCGCTAACCACCGTACCAGCGCTCCGTGCTGAACAAGTCGTTGCCGACACGCATATGCAGAAATCCTGGTGCAGATTCGGCAACGCAGCACCCACACGTGGCACGAGTTGATTTTTTTTATATCCCGTGAGACAACGTTTGCTCGCACGTTGTTCAACCGATTTTTGACACCCGAAGATCGCATCGCTCTGCGCTGAAACAGAAGGGCGCGTAAGGCGCGCATTTTTTGTGGCACGCAACAGCCGCGTGCATCGCCTTCGACGGAGGAGGTGTCAAAATTTAATTTCGCGGATTGCGCCGGGCAGTTGTATAGAGGCGGTTGTCATGAGGCGGTCATCCCTGGTCAGTCCACTGCTGGAAAAAGGAAAAAAATATTATTGGCAACGTTTCGGGCAATGGGCGTTCTTCATGGCACATTCCGTTTTACGTGCTATGAAAGAGGGGGCCCTAGGCTTCTCCCTGCACTGACCAGTGTGGGGAATAAAAATAAACCCCGTGACCCACACACACGATCGAGCAGTGGACCGACAACAGGGTTGCTTAGTTGCTACAATGATGCTCCTTTTGTAGTTACGTGAAGATATTGCTCCCTCGGCTGTGAAGGGCCCCTGCCACACACATGTAGAAGTTCCACCGACTGGCTCGGGGCTTTAAACAGACATTAGCAACATCCCTCGATTGAGCGCACGGAGCAACGGTGTCTTTTCACGTCGAAATCTTAGACTGAAGCGGCAAAGTCTTGTTAACCCAGTGTTCTACATAAAAGCAAAAGCATTCTGCATTTTTATTGCGCTTTTAAGAACGACTCTGCTCTTGACAGGATCGCAACAAGGAGCTGCAGATGGAGTATGCCGAGCAGTGTGAGAACCTGGACCTCATGATGAAAAAGGTGAATCGCCTTCGTGAGCAGGTAACTCGCCACGGCGCTTCACCAGTGCCGACCGGCGCGCACACACACACACACAGAGGGGAAACCGCTGCACTGCATCGCCAACGGTGACCGAATTGCATTTGCCGGTCAACGAGAAGAGTCCGTTGCACAGTCAAGATCGTAGAGCTACATGGGCTCGCATCGTGGTGCACGGTTATGGTCGATCGGCAGGTCACGCGTGTGGCGGGGTAAAGTTGTGAGCACTGCCGCCTCTTCCGAGAAGTCTAGACAACGTGCAAGAGGAGGCCCGAACACCCGTGAGTTCGTGGGACTACCTCTTGAGGGTTCTGTGGGCAAGCGATTCCAAGCCCGCACTGTTACCTGTCAGAGTGCATGCCTGTGTCTGTAGCGCCGCGGTGGCGAGATGTTAATTACCTCGCCTGGTATACAGGAGGTTGAAGTTTGTATGTTCTCCCCGTGGACGCGAGAATTTTTCTCCGGTTCCTCCGGCTTTTCCCTCCAAATTTAGAAACATGCGTCAAAATTATTTTGATTATTTAGCAACATGCTTTTTGAGTATTTGGCTGCAATTAAATTCCACATGACAAGCCACTTTGTTGAGCTAGCATTTGTTGCCAGATCGCTTCTGAAAAAGAGTTACATAGCACTGTGGGTCTTACGTGGCAAAATAAAATAAAAATTGTTTAGTTTAGGTATCATGCTGCATGCCTATAGACCAACAACTTGGACGTGGTGGTATTGATGGATTGCACAGAGCTCTCAGGCTTACAAGAGACACCCACTGTAATATTAGCTGCGTGAAGGTTTAGCGTTATCACCCTGCGTCAGTGAGCATTCCCTCACGCACTTCAGTTTCATCTTGCTTACAAAAACACTCGAAATTCCCCAAGGTGTTGAGACTCTTGAGCACAAAGAGAGTCACAAGCCTCCTGAGTCTCCTGGGTATGGATCACTTCAAAAACGGGTTGGATCTCCCGCAGCCAGATCTTTTCTGGACCACACATCGATCCATAACTCTCCCACGTGCAGCCAACTCCGTAGTGTTTTAAAGCTCACTCCGTACTGTTCTATAGCAGGGCCCAAAGACATTAATGTAATTTTTAGCAGTCGTCTTCATGAAAAAGACGACCCCTTGTGTTGCGATCAAAACGTCGTAGTTTTTTGTTATTCTCTTTGAATTTATCTTCGTGACTTTACCGAAAGACCCAAGAATATAAATTCCTGCAGTCACGAAAGCTTTAAGGCAAAATTTATGAGGAAATTGTTTCCCTTCCCCTGCACCTCCGATTAGCGCGGTTGGCTACGTGCAGAGCGAAAGAAGTTTCAACATTAACAGTGAAGTCTGGCTCACGCTAAGCAAGGCTTTAACAACTGCTGTTGTCAATCATCAATCAATCTAACATTTATAATGCGTCATTATCAGCAATAAGCTGCTACGGAAGCGCGGATGGCACGGAAGAAAATTAACTGAATTAAACTCAGGCAGCCCAATGTAACATGGCATTTATAACAAACAATTACCGCTCACGAGAAATAGCCCAAAGCATTTGTGTTGGGTTCATCGCTTATGCCGGTGTAATGCTTAATGTTCATCATCACTTAAGCCCCGTGAGAATTAGCGGTCATGTTTATGAGTCAAATAAATTCCGAAATGTTTTTCTTTGACTTATTGTAATTAAAATAAACTATAATTAAAATCACTGAATATGACAGTTGGGTCATTTAAAAATACAACGATGTAGTATGCCGATGGCCATTTTTATAAGGTTTAAAAATGTCAAATAAAAAACGTGGGGAATGATCTGTAGAGCCTAAGAAGCACTGAACCAATGTACAAAGTTGTTAGAACACTGACGGATGATCACTTTATAATAGATTCAATCTCGTTAAACTAAGCATCCGCATCTGAAATCTGTTAAATTAAAATAAATAACCCACTCCCCCCTCCCCGCCATGGTAGCTAGAATAAAATTTATTTTTTTAACTGCACATTTTGTAACTTTACAACCCACTGAGCAATTTACACATGTGTCTTACTTGCAGAGAGTGCCATCGTTCTTAGAGTTGGGTGTGGGTTTTATCCAAAGTACAACTTAAAAAATAATTATCCATGTCTTTTAAGCAAGAAGGTTATATTATCAAACCAGATGTTCACACTTTGCACTTCCTAATGAGGCACAATTGAAAGTGTTAACCGTATTAATTTGGCTTTTTCGTGATGAAGCGGTTATTTTTCATGTGTTATTTTCGCTATTCACCACGCTAGCTTGAGGTTACCATTGGCATTCAAGTTGTCACGCTCATAATCATCATGAACAATATGGTCATCCATAATCCAGACCCACTGCTGCTTGAAGGCCTGCCCAAGCCACCACGGTCTCTCGTGGCCTTCCGACGCAACAATCCAACTAGCAGATACAACACGGGTTCCACCGATTAACACGGTCGGCTAAGTACGGTGTGAAAGAAGTTCAACCTCCATACATGTGTACATACGTGCGAGCTGATTCCCTTGCTCCCATCGCTACGGTGATTGTGCTCTCTCTCAGGTGCGTGTTCACTTTTGGCTGCCACTCCATTACTTGAGCAAACTTGTCCTGGCCAAGCCCACTCGCGTTTGATAACATTCAATATGTTTTGATTTAAAGCTTTCGTGACTGCAGGGATTCATCTTCTTGGTTCTTTCGGTAAAGTCACGTAGAAGTCACGTAGAATCGTGAGAATTATTTTATTATGTTTTATTTTTATTATTTTATTATTTCCATTCTACGTGACTTTACCGAAAGAACCAAGAAGAATATTCAATATGGTCAACACGTAGATTAGATTTTAATCAGAATCAGAAGCTTTATCAGAATATGTATATATCCTGGAGAAATCCGATGCTCTTTTTCACGGATGTCCAGCAGGGGCGAGTCAGAACGTGACAACAACAAATAGTGCAAAAACACGATTAGAAGTTCAAAGTATATAAAAAACATCTACAAATGAAAGTAAACTATTTTTGTCTGACCAGGTATAGCCCACTGAGCTATTAGCTTATTTTTTCAGAAGCAACCTGACCACAAATGATAGCTCAACGAAGTGGCTTATCATGTGGAAATTTATAGCAGCAAATAATCAAAATAATTTTGACGCATGTTTCTAAATTTGGAGGGAAAACCCGGAGGACCTGGAGAAAAACATGCAAACTCCAAATATACAGGCGTCTGGGTCGGGATCGAACCCACGACCTCCTCCATACCAGGCGAGGTAGTTAACATCTGGCCACCCCGGGACTCCACACACATTCTGCCCAGCGAATCGCCACCAAAAAGTCTACACATGAATTGGCAGGAATGAGATTTCCAGAAAACCAAAATGTGTGTACTGCACACATGAATTGGGCTGCACAAAGTTCAAAAGTTCAAATTCCAGCCATAGTCCATAATGCAGCAGGGGTGAGTGAAAACGGCCAACCCACCTGGTTAGGCAGCACCACCTGGTGGGAATCCAACGGTGAGTGTCCTTGCAGGCAAAAGATCTTCGCCACGTTTAATGGTAATTCAGTTTTATATCGGGTCCTTCGTGCCAATTGCATCTCACAACGCTGTACCAGTTAATTATATGGGTTGGCCACATACGGTGCGAAAGAAGTTCAACATACGTACTTACATATGGATAATCACAATTTATGTATGCATGCATGTCGAAATTATCTCGCGCTTTATGTAGCCAACCGGCTAAAACCTATCCAAAAGTTATCACAGCAGAGGTACTGAAAATCACGCCTGGCAAAAAAGGTCCAGCTATCAGCTCCCCCACACCACCAAGAGCCATCAGTCTACCAAGTGATATCACAGAATAATAATATAATATTTACACGATTAGTTCAGAAACTGTTGGCCGTGACCGGAAATCAAATCCAGGTCACTGGATTCAGAATGCAATGCACGGTGGCTAGGAGATGTTAACTACCTCGCCTGATATACAGGAGGTCGTGGGTTCGATCCTGACCCTGACGCCTGCTGCTGTATATTTGGAGTTTGCGTGTCTCTCCCTCTCTCTCATCATCATCACGGTGGCTAGGAGATGTTAACTACCTCGCCTGATATACAAGAGGTCGTGGGTTCGATCCTGACCCTGACGCCTGCTGCTGTATATTTTGAGTTTGCGTGTTCTTCCTCCAGGTCTCCCAGTTTTCCCCTCCACATTTAGAAACATGCGTTTTGGGTATTTGACTGCTATACATTTCCACATGATAAGCCACTTCGTTGAGCTGTCATTTGTGGCCAGGTCGCTTCTGAAAGAGCTACATAGCTCAGTGGGCCTTAGCTGGTAAAATAAAAAAGTTTAGTTTTAGTTTAAATTACTACGCCAGCCCACCACCACATAGATACACGCATTATGAGTAGCATTGTTCTTGCTTTTATGTTTTATTTAATCATTCATCACTCTTGCAGTGTTTGTGGTTCCAATTATCTTGAGTGAACAATAATGTAAAATTATTCACGTCATAATTTTTAATCACAAGGTTGACTTTTAGGGAGCGTAAACATTTATATTTCTCGGCAGCACGTAACTATAATTGCGGTATTATCTTTTGTCTTGAGCATGCTACATTACTACTGCTATTAAATTCTAATTATCATAAATAATTTAAGCCAAATGTGACCCCGGTGGATAGCATTAAAGTATTACTGTTTTTTTTTATTCTTTAAAACCTTTCACGTGCCATCTCCATTCAGCTGTACACAACTCACCTCCTATTAAGGCGAAATATTCATTGAATCATGGGAAGGGATGGACAGCGGGTAACGAAGTTGCCTGGCTGTTGTCTAAAGCGCCACCGCTCTCCGATGTGATTTTAGGCTGTCCTACGTGTTGATGTCCGACATTTTTCCGGGTGAAAACCCTACACAGTAGCCAAAACACTATATCTCAACCCACCCAAAGTTCTCGTAATTACCAATCATTTGAAAATTAGACCGTACGCAACTGACAGTTGCTAATCGCGTGAAGCTATACCGTTGGCGGTGGGGGGGGTTTGCTGAAAACTTCAGAGGTAGAGAAGCACCTGGTCTACAGCTCACCTGTGGTCGTGTCTAATGAGGTGCCCATTTCCTGCGCCGGTGTGTGCGAGCAGAAGGACGAGTTGCGTGCGGAGCTGGAGCAGAAGTGCGTGGACATTGAAAGCCTGAAGAACGACAACGCGGCGCTGGAGAGACAGGTGACTTGTCCCGCTCAGCCGATGCCTCCAGACACACGTCTAGCCCTGGCGAGATCGCTGCAGAGCGTTGCGTTCTCTCTAAACCTACCCTAACCTTGACCCGAACTCTCTAAACCTACCCTAACCTTAACCCGAACTCTCTAAACCTACCCTAACCTTGACCCGAACTCTCTAAACCTACCCTAACCTTGACCCGAACTCTCTAAACCTACCCTAACCTTGACCCGAACTCTCTGAACCTACCCTAACCTTGACCCGAACTCTCTAAACCTACCCTAACCTTGACCCGAACTCTCTAAACCTACCCTAACCTTGACCCGAACTCTCTGAACCTACCCTAACCTTGACCCGAACTCTCTAAACCTACCCTAACCTTGACCCGAACTCTCTAAACCTACCCTAACCTTGACCCGAACTCTCTAAACCTACCCTAACCTTGACCCAAACTCTCTAAACCTACCCTAACCTTGACCCGAACTCTCTAAACCTACCCTAACCTTGACCCGAACTCTCTAAACCTACCCTAACCTTAACCCGAACTCTCTAAACCTACCCTAACCTTGACCCGAACTCTCTAAACCTACCCTAACCTTGACCCGAACTCTCTGAACCTACCCTAACCTTGACCCGAACTCTCTAAACCTACCCTAAACTTGACCCGAACTCTCTAAACCTACCCTAACCTTGACCCGAACTCTCTAAACCTACCCTAACCTTGACCCAAACTCTCTAAACCTACCCTAACCTTGACCCGAACTCTCTAAACCTACCCTAACCTTGACCCGAACTCTCTAAACCTACCCTAACCTCAACCCGAACTATGACCTGCTCCCATTGTTTGATGGTTTGGCTAACCGTCGAAAAAAAGACAGTCACTGTATCGCGCGCTTTCAGATGCACTTCTGCGGCCGTCTGGAACGCTCTTCCTTCTGATATTAGGAAGCCACTGGATTTTTGCACTTTTAAATCTAGATTGAAAACTAATTTCTTTTAGAACTGCTTTTTCTGTTTAGTTTGTTATCCTTCCCCCGCACCTCCGCTTGGCACGGTTGGCTACGTACGGTGCGAAAGAAGTTCAACCTACATACATAAGCATAACAATAACCATAGGGAGATCACTAAAAGCTTCCTAAATCTACCACAACTATTAACAATAAACCTACCATAACCCTAACCGTAACTCGAATCGTAGCTCTAACCCTCGCCCATAACTCTAAACAGATGGTGAGATAGATACACAGCACTGCAAGTCTACTAAGTCTACTGCAACTCTCACGGCAAACATACCGTAACCCAAACCAGAACTCGAACCGGAGCTCTAAACCTACCTGGCTCCACAACTCTAAACATAATACACGCATGTGGCTCCGGGCCAGTACTACAACTTGGCGGACACTCGGAGGGTTGTACTTAGCAGACATTATTAATTAATGAAGATTAAATAATGTATTAATAATGTATGAATTTATGTGTGTATGCATAGTTGATTTAGAGAATTTTTTTAAATAATCTCTGTGCGTTGTGAGTTTGCGTGCGTGCTTGCGTGCGCGCGCGCGTGCGTGATATACACAAGCTTTCACAGGTGCTACTCGCTAACAGCACTTGCCCCAAGAGCCTGTTAAAGGCTACACGAGGGATCTGTCTTTTTGATACACGAGCACTTTTGTGTGCTGGTTTTCCAGTAAGAGGGGGTCAAGTGGAGTTGAGTTGCGCTGCATTATGGGGTTCCCACCACCTAGGTTCAATTCCTGGCCGTGCACATCGCTGGCAGTCCATGTCCGAGCCAGCGCCGTGTATGTTTACAAAGGTTCAAATTAAAAGTAGTCGTGGTGTTTGTAAAGTTTTCTTCTCCGTTGGCAGGCCTGAGCCAGTGGTGGAAATTCCAGAGTCTCTCCGCGAGAGACAGCCAATTTTTGACTCGCACATCAATACATTGTGTCTCAGAAATCGAGATGTGTAAGTAGGTCTTACTGGATAAGACTTTCGAATATTTTAAATTTGCAACCGACGTAGTTCATACTTTGAATGGCAGTCGGCGTGTAACGTACACATGCCGTCAATTTTGTCAGTGCACTGCTGCATAAGAGGCTCCACATGCCCTGTGGGTTGCAAGGGTCATTTCACCATGCTTCACCGTGTTGCACAGTGTGCGTTGGTGAAGGCAAGGAGCATAGACGGGGTCGGAGGGGGGGGGCGGTTATAGTACAGCACAACAATGGATTTTGATGCACCGCCCTCTGCTGCCCACTGCTACCCCCCTGCGGCAGCCTTTAACACCCGGTATGCACGGTAGCCAGCCATCCACGCACTGCCCAGGCTCCTGAGACGGGAGCGACGTCGGCCGCCTATGCGAGCGATTCGCTCCGAGGCTTTGATGAAGCACGACGCTTGAGTGGGGGGGCGGTTGTTCGTCTTCACCCCGTCCTCAGAATGATGACCTGCGGGGCCGGGTGTCCGAGCTCGAGAGCCTGGGCAGTCGGGACCAAGGGGCGCTCCTCTCCGAGCTGGAGGGACGCTTGCGTTCCCTGGAGGTTCACCTGGAGGCCACCGAGAGGTACCTCCCTCTCTCTGTCCACGCGCACCTTGAACACGGCGCCATACACACAACAATGATAATTTAGTTTTGTAAAGCGCCCTTAAACAATCGTTCTCAGGGCGCTATGCATGAAATAGTTTAACATCAACTAAGGAGAGAAGAGGTGAGAATGACGTTTAAAAATAAGTCAAGAGATAGAAAGCCATTTGACACGGATACATTTTCAGTCGAGATTTGAGTTTTTGTCAAGTGTCTCTGAAGTCCTCGCCTCGACGTGCAACGAGTTCCAGACTTTAGGTGCCGCAGTTGCAAAGGGACGATCACCCCCAAGTGTGAAGCCGAGAGACCGTGGTGACAGTGAGCAATGCACAATCTGAGGATCTTAATGATCCTGATAGATTATATGGGTGAAGGAGGCAATTAATACAGGGATGAGCAAGTCCATTTAAGGTCTTGAATACCAGCAAGAGAGTCTTCCAAATTAATACAAGGGACAAGAGCACAGGTTTCAAAGTTTATAAAATGGCTAAATTCATATGGAGTTTAGCCACCTCTTAGTGCACGTATCCAGTAAAAAAAAATCCCCATTATTCATCTGCTCTTCCTGTTATCTGTGTCCCTCAATCGATCCAGCGCAAATCCATCCAAATAATCTGTGCTTACGTCCAGATCCTAATCCAACCGATACTTGACCCAGACGTGGACTCCCACAATTATGCCATTCATCCTGTTATCTCAGCAGAAGGAGCAACCCGGAAGTGGTGGCATATCCATCCTATTATCCACGTTCATCTGCGTGTCTGTGCATGGACAAGAGCAGGGAAATACGTGGATAATGGGATCCGCCAATGCTCGCTCCTCGTGTCTGCATAAGATAAGAGCTGCGTGTTCATTGGTGAAATTTAAACAATTAAGTCCTTTTGGGAGATGGAGGCAACGGGGAATTAAAAGCCACTGGCTCCAGCAAATGACGCCATTAGACTACAAGGGGTCTTCTTATCTCGGGGAGAGGTAGTTAACATCTCGCCTATCTGACGAGATGTTAACTACCTCGCCTGGTATGGACGAGGTTGTGGGTTCGATCCCAACCCTAACGCCGGTATATTTGGAGTTTGCATGTCTCTCTCCCCGTGGTCGCGTGGATTTTTCTCGGGGTCCTCTGGGTTTTTTTCCCCCTCCCGATTTAGAATCAACGTGCGTTTAGATTATTTGGCTGCTATACATTTCCACGTGATGATAAGCCACTTTGGTGAGCTATCATTGGTGATAGCCTGGTCACTTCTGAAAAGGAGCTATACAGCTCAGCGGGCCTCACTTGGTAAAATAAATAGGCATTAAAGGCTATAATAATAATAAATAAATATATATAACATCTGCTTGCGCATGAACAGCAAGGAGATTGTCGATGTTGCCCGAGAGTTCCGCTTGTGCCCCACAGGGAGAAGGAGCGGCTGCAAGCGGAGGGCCGCAGGCTGGAGGAGAACGTGGTGGGCGTGACCAGGCGGCTGGAATCGGAGCGCACGCAAACAAACAGCGAGAGGGAACAGGTGTGCGACGGGCAGAGGTCGCAAACGGGTTTTGATTCCTTACCCGTACCCGTACCCGGCCACACCAGGGTCGCAAATGGGTACCCGTACCCGTACCCGGCCAGGTACGGGTAGCCGTTCCCTACCCGAAATGAGTGACAAACGGCTACTCACCAGTGACTCACGGCCTACCCGTACCCGTAACCGGCCGCACCAGGGTCGCAAACGGCTACCCGTACTGGGTATCGGGTACCCGGTTGCGACCTCTGGCGACGGGTGACCGGGACACGCCGTGGCAAGGGGAATCGTCGGCACTCTCGCAAGGGAGGGGTCGCAGTGAGGCGACGTGAATACTGTGGTCAGCACGCTGGGAGGTGCAGTCCAGAGGTCCCGCGGTTCGATTCGATCTTCAGGCGCAACGGTTGGCACAATGGTGGCAGTAATCTTAAAGCTCCCCCCCCCCCGCCTCCTCTCTCCGGGGGCGCCCTCTTCCCACCCAGCAGTATCAATTTGTACACCACAGTGAGTCGATCGGCAGGTTGCGAGTCGTGGGGTAAAGTGTGGGTACTCCGATGGTTTTAATCCAAGAAAACATGGACAGGTGGGCCAAAAATGCCCTCTTGATTGAGGGGCCTGCTAGTTTTCTCGAGTCGAGCCTCTTCCACCAGCACTCGTGTGAACAAGCAATTCCAGGACTGCACCTTAACCATGGATTTCATGTAATTGATGCTTCTGTTCAGTAATCATACAGGGGGTGTTAAGAGAAGGAGATGAATGGATATATTGTCTTGGAAGGCCAGGTTTTTATGGAATATTGAAACTACGTTATAAGAGTAGAGTGAGGGAGGAGGCGTCATGTCTGCGTTTGTTTGGGGTCAGAAAGCTCCTCTTCCACAAATCAACTAGGAGAGACATTTCTATTTGTTGAATGCAGGTGCAAGCAGGGTATAGTAAGCAAAGTCATGGATAGAATTCGGTGGAAATCAGTTGTGAATGTAATCGGCAAGAGGAATTTTAGACGGGTGGGGCAAATGGAGGGCTGGTTCCTGACATTGGCACCGGAGTGGCGCTCAGAGTATCGGCCACTTCGGGGGGAAATACAGCAAGGGCGAAGCTTGCGGGTCGGTTGTCAACTTGGAAAATGTTTTGTAATCGAGCAGCAATGTCGGTGGCGTGCTTCGGTGAGTAGGCCAACACCGTGGCGTCACACCGTTGCGCGTTATCGTTGCCTCCAGGTGAAACAGCAGCTTTGGTCATTGAGGCAGCAGGGCGAGGAGAAGCGAGCGGCAGCTGGAGCACGCGTTGGGCATGAACAAACAGCTGCAGCACGAGCTGAACAAGCAGCGCTCCGCCAACGAGGGACACCTCGTCGAGCTCGGCGCGCTGCGGAAAGATCTGCGGTAGGCCACGCGCTCGTTCTGTGCCCGTCCGCGCACGCCCACCCAACCTGGAGACGACGGGAGATCGTCAACTCGGGCGAAATGACGCGGAACGGAGGTTTGCAAGGGAGGATGGAGAAATGCACGCTGGGAAGAGGGGAGTGCGTGGATCAGAGAATAATTGCAAGTTGGAGACATCGTAGCGACTGTTGAGAAGAACGAGTGGGCTTGGGCAGGACACGTCTCACGATAAGAGATTAAGCAGATGGATAAAATAGATCCCCTGCTCAGAGACTTTTGTACTTTATGCTACTTATATAATCTGTTTAAATCTACAAACCCCCCCGCCCCACCCCGCAAAAACTCTGTAATCCTAAAAAACAACAGTCATATGAAGTGCATTCTATGAACGTCTTTCGCTAAAGAAAACACCGAAGCTGTCACGGGCGCGGTTAACCCGAACCGTTGCTGGGTGACGACGACGAGGACATCGGCGACGATCTCGTAACGTCAAATATCTGTTCCCCAACAGCCAACGGGCAGCCGCGCCGACGACGCGGTCGGGGCCGCCGCTCCGCTCGTCACGTTTCCCGTCGGAGGCTACCGAAGACCCGTACGCAAACGACGACTCCGACCTTCCGGTTGCCGTCTTCTGATTCGCCAGCAATCGAGCGGTCGAGAAGGGGGGTGGGGGCGGCGGGAGGTCAACACTTACGATGGGTGCATTTTGTATAATTCAAGCTTTGCTGGGTGAGGCATTATATTTTATATAAAAATCTGAAAAACTAAAATCAAACGGGTCCGGTGCTGCCAGCTGCTTGACGCGCGTCAACGCTTAGCCACCACATCGCACGCTTCGAAAATAAAATGCGGTCAGACACACAGTGCTAGCGCTTGACCTGCACTTCACTTCGCTGGCGCCGTGCATCAGCATCGCCCATCGTAACACGCACGCATCGCACGTGCGTCCAAAACGTCCCTCCTCCCTTGTCGAGACGCACGACGTTTTTTGCACGTCCGTGTCACACAACTGCCACGAGTTTCGATTTAAAGCTTTCGTGACTGCAGGGATTCATCTTCTTGGTTCTTTCGGTAAAGTCACGTAGAAGGGAAATAATAAAATAATTACAATAAAACATAATAAAATAATTATCAGGATGGCTGCTTGCGTTGTGGCCGAAACGTCGTGGTTATTATTTTATTATGTTTTATTTTATTATTTTATTATTTCCCTTCTACGTGACTTTACCGAAAGAACCAAGAAGATGAACTGGCACGAGGTTCGTCGCCAGGGGTTTGACTGTGCCGCTGGGTAGCGGTCTCGGGAGTTGAACCCCAGAACGTAGCGAGCCCAACTTTTTAATCGTTTTAAGTTGAGATTCTAGGTGGGGCAGAGTGCGTGATGTCCACACTTGCGTGACCAACTTTTCCAGTTGATCGGTCTGACTCTTCCTGGGTATGTGCAGGTTGATTGCGATCATCACAGATGGTTGGGCAGAACGTTTTGTGGACATCACACACGGCTTCAGACTCACAATTATGAATGCATTTTTGTAATATGGTAATGAAATACTAACTCTTTCAAAGCAATGATATTATGACTTAAAGCTTTCGTGACTGCAATGATATTCGTTTTTCTTATGAACAGCACATACACAGTAATTATGAATAAGACTGCCACTGTAATATGTGAAGTGTTTTGAAATTGTACGTGTTATTTAGTTAAACCTTTGACCACAATTTAGGCATTTTATTAACCCATATTTGTTGCACCATCCTCGATAACTCTACAGATTATTTTTTTACGAAAAACAACATTCCTCATTTTACAGTTCAATTTCATTATAATCTGATACAATATCCAGAAATGAAATGTGAAAAGCTATCTTGCATAATATTTTTAATTAACAGTTTTGTAACTGATCTTTCATTTTTTTAATATTATAAATTAAGACTATAAATGAAGAATTTAGATCAGATATAAACACATCACTGTGCAACTATGTAGGTAGAACAAAAATGTAGTACAGTACTGTATTAAACCTAATGAGAGCTTAATGTGTTTTTTTTTATCTTGAATACAAATGCCGATATTATTTTTAATCTGCTTTCTCTGTTTGAAATATATATTTTGATAAAAAAAAGTTTAATTACACATTAAAGCGACAGCTGTCTGATGTTTAAAATAAAGATGTGTGTTCCTAAACTGCTTGTCAAAAACAAACCCCGTCCACATTGTTTAGATTTCAAGTGAAATATATATCTAATTTTAAACTTTCTCCTTGTCAGCCTCCTGCGACGATGTCGAAACCTGATTGGCCGTCGCATTGCTAATGTCATTGTCAGCATTGAGAAAGTCCTGATTTAATTTTTGACCTATATCTTGGCAAGTCCTTCATTGGTGCTGGAGGCGATCGAGGGGTTTGGTGGATCACACAAATGTGAAATTCCCTTCCCATGGCCACCGAGGTGCCATACCCTACCTCACCAGGAGACGTAAGGACAGAAAATATGGACTCCACCTGTATGGGATAGATCAGGGGTCGCCAACTAAAAGAACAAGAAGGGCCATTTTTTTTCGAATTCGGTAAAAAAAACCCCTCAATATTTTAAGAGCCACAATTCACGCGAATAATGTCACGAAGCGGTCCTTAAAGAGCCGCATGCGGCTCCAGCGCCGCAGATTGCCGACCCCTGGGATAGAGCGTTGCCCCCTCGCACGCGCGGGTTTTCTCTGGGTGCTCCTTGTTTCCTTCCTTCCACGTCTAGAACGTCTTAATAGATGGAGGACCACAGAGCTTTGGAAATTGTTGGCACTGGCGCACTGCCTGGCTGCCTTCCAGCTTGCCTGCAGTCCTCTCTCTCTCTCTCTCTGAGAGTGAGAAAATACTGTATACATTTATTTACAGGTTAATTTGCCAGGTCCTCAATTGTGAGTTTGATCTCATCCCAGGCACAAGAAACTGCACAAAAACAATGCAAATTTGCCCCGTCTAAATTTGTCCTAGGCCAGCCATGGGATCTGAAATATATCGTCAACTCAAGCACAAATGGTTTTACTCAGTATTGCTAAACCACATCGCAATCGTGTGTTAAATGTGATTGCTTTGTACTCCCACGGCATAATGTGACTCCTGCCAGGTGGCGCTATGGGAGAGCACTTGACTTAGATCGAGGTGCTCTGATCTAACACCGGTGCGACAAGCCCATAAAATGAGATTATCTCTGATGTAGGCCAATACTTTTAAAAACAATTCATATTATAAGCGCATGTGTATCTTCATGTTTTGCCACGTGCGGTTAATGCAGACCTAATGCCTTGTAATAGGTATCTCTATTTTGTGTTTGAACATCTTCAGACCTGTGTTATTTCCAGAAAGGGTGAAGCCCTATAAACTACAAATCATCCCCTTCGAAGCTGATCAAATGAATGCCATAATGATAAGTCAAGAGTGAGAGTCGTATGGATGTAATGGCCTCGGTCATAGGAATGTAGAATTTCCATCACTGGCTTCGGACCACCACTAAAGATATGCACCGTCCATGAGCATGCAGACGATCAATTCACTGCTAGATGAAGGCTTCCGCATGCCATATTGGTCAAGGAAGTTTAACCATACTTCAGCACACATATCCAGTGAGAACTTGCCCGTTCCGTACACACTGGGGTTGCCAACTGCTCTGGTTTGGGAATTGGCCACGTGTTCGGGTGGCAGAAATCGTTATCTTCCGAGGTCTGGAGGTATTTGCCTTTAACTTTATTACTGGATGCGGCACTTTTGATCGACTTGGTCTGACTTGAGAAATATGATCAGCGGAAAAGGTGGCAACCATCGTTCCAACACTCAACCTATCTTTAGATACCATACAGCATTGGCTAGTGTTAAGTAAATGAAGCCTTTTGAATTAGTATCATCATCAGCCATGATGAATCCACTGATAAAACTAAACTATACGCAAACATTTTTTTTTATTTTACCAGGTAAGGTCCACAGAGCTATACAGCTCTTGTTCAGACGCGACCTGGCCACAATTGATAGGTCAACGAAGTGGCTTATCATATGGAAATGTATAGCAGCCAAATACTCTAAACGCGCGCCGATTCTAAATGTGGAGGGAAAACCCGGAGGACCTGGAGAAAATCCACGCGAGCACGGGGAGAACACGCAAACTCCAAATATACAGCAGGCGTCAGGGTCGGGATCGGGATCGAACCCACGATCTCCTGTATACCAGGCGAGGTAGTTAACATCTCGCAACCGTGGCGCCCTGCTGGACGAAGGCCTCCAATAGAGCTATGCATAAGGTCACTTGGTTTTGTTTTCCTCAAATCAAACCTGTAAAAGTTGATATCCAATTCCCCACACTTTATATTAACTTTGGTTTGTTTTGCTCTCCGGTGACATTTCATTGATTCAGTCACGTTTTCAGCCTGCCTCAACATCTCATGGAGAATGTGTGCATCCTTCAAGGATAATCACTTGCGGATACAATGAAGCCCCAACAACATCGAGGGCAATGTGGATGACTTCATCTCACAGTAGATTAGTAAATCATTAACAAGAAATCCAACGCTCTTGCTACTTTACTATGCATCTAAAGTTCAAAGTTCCAGCTTACTGTTCTTGCTGAAAATATGACATTGCGAAATAAATCAATAAACATAATACTGCATTAAAAATATACAGCTATTGTTTTTTTTCCAATGGCAATTTTTTCTTTGCTGCCGATGTTGCTGTATAGGATGAAGAATAATGCTCAGGTAAATTGTACGTAATTGCTTGTGGTTCTTTACGCTCACGTTGGCAAGGAGAGTTCAGAATCAGACTCGTAATCTTTATTTGTACTGGAGAAATCCGATGAGCTGTGAAGCTCTTTTTCACAGATGTCCAGTAGTCAATTGTTGAGTGACGTGTGGCTTTATTCATATGCACTGAATGTACTGAAAATGTGTTTAAAAAAACAATGGGCTTTCAATTAATAGCCCAGTCGAAGTAGTACAATGGACATATGTTCTGATCAGTGCCGGATTATCCTAGTAGCAAAAATAGCACATGTTACGAGCCCCGCACTTTCAAGGGCCCCACGCTCTATTACTATAGTACTACACTGCCTTCAACCTTTATGAACGATTGGGTGTTTAAGGTGAGCGATTTGTCGTATTATCTGGCTGTATAGCAAATAAACAAAAATACAATGACTTTACTATGCAAGTTAAACATTTGTGTTTTAATCTTTACTTGTTTTTTTATTTAGGGCCCCTTTGTAACATTTGCTACGAGCCTAATCCGGCATTGGTTCTGATATAATCGAAATGCCAAGTCCCATGCGAAGGGCTTAGAAAAAAAAACCAGTTGGGTGAGGTCGGCACAATCCTTGGGCTGACGTATTCTGCTCGGGGCCTGTCACAAAATATGTGTAAATAGGTGCGCGTGACATCATTGTGCATTACGAGCCGGCCCGCCACTGCAGCTGCCACGAGTGCTGATCCAGAGCAACTCTAGAGCAATCTATATATATGTGTGTGTGTGGATATTATTTAAACAATTAATTATCGTTCGGAATTCACTGTTGGCATCATTTGTGTCCAACTCCGTAGCAGTTGCGTGGAGCATATCCCACACGAGTCATGGCAAGTCCTCGACTCGAGTTGAGCTCTCTGTCGAGCGAGTGCCCTCTTCAGAGGTCTGGCTCCACCGACTCGGGGCTCGACAGCCCCACGCAAGACGACACGGAGGGCACCTACGACCCGTTCGCCTCGCCGCCAGCAGACGAGGCAGAGGAGGAGGAAGAGGAGGCGGGGGAGGAAAAGGAGGATCCGTCGTGCTGGAATAACGATGACCTGAGCGGGTGGCACGGGGAGGAGAGGGACATGCAAGGGCTCAGCCTGCCAGCACGGACTTCGGATGGCAGCATTCCACCGGCGGATGAGCAGAGGGGCGATCGTCCAGAAGTGGTGAGGTTCCATATGGACATGAGCTACGGTCGCCCACCTCTGCTGGTTTTCCCAGGATCGTGTTCTTTTTGAGGCAGCTGCTGTCCTGGGAAATCTGTAATAATACACCACGCATGGCGAAGCGTCTTACATGGAGTATCTCTCCCTTGCCGCTATTGTGAGATATTCTTATCGCTACGATGCCTCCTGGTTCTATGACATCTCTGAGGTGAAGTGAAGACTCAAGACCAGGCCGTTAAATGATCAAAGATTGTCCTTCGCCGCACTGCGGATTAGCTGGGTTGGCTAAGTAGGGTGCGAAAGAAGTTCAACATACGCTATCGTTGTTTCTACATACGTACCTTTACACGATCTCGTGTTTGAGATGCTTGTCAAGAGAAGGCGCTCGTTTTAGAACATTACGATGTGAAATGTGTTTGCAGATGTCTCTGCCGAAGGCACGTCTTCAGTATATTGCACAGTATATTATAGTATTATATACATAGCATTTACACGATATTGTCTCCAGTATATTTAATATATTCAGGCGATAATTCTCACTTTACCCTGTGTGCACATATACTCGGGGTTGTGTGACTCCTTAATCCTTATGAGTTGGTCAAAAAATGAGTTAACAGTGTTGCCCAGAAGGTCTGCACGACGTCTACTGAGTCTCACGCCTTAGTGATGTAAAATTAAAACCATTGGCTCAGGACCACCAATTGAGATAAGCACATCTTGCTTAAGCATGGATAATATATTATGGAGACTTTTAGATCATGATGATAACAAACATTGTTCTCAAAATGCCTGGATATTATTATGATTCCATGGATCTTGTTCCAAAGATGCTTGTCGTAGTTTTAAGCGAAAGTCTACACACAGCAAATATCAATTTCTGCTTCAAACTCACAACCCCGGTTTTCCCCTAAGTCTACCGATATATTTCTTACAGTATTAGTTTGCATTCGGCAAAACTCTGCAAAACATGTATTATTGGAACGTCCATTAGATGTATCCCTCGAGATGCCAGACGAACTTCTATCCCTCGTGACATTTCACATCCTCTGACAGCTGCTCACTCTGCCATGCAGCATTATCCTGAGCAGTTCCTTCACGCGAATTTCTCTCACCGCCCCGGCAGCAATGGCAACACGCGCACCACTCCACAGGACATCTCGGCTAGATGGGACGACGCCCATTGGCCAAGACGAATAATGGAGTGGCAGCCAGGGAATAGATGAGCGATGCAATAATCACCCCTCTGCACTTGTTTGGTGAATTATTGCACCTCAGGATCACGAGAGGGGACGGTGGCTTGGGGAGGCCTACATCAACGCGCGCGGATTGAGCATGGCTGATGACAATAACCGCACACTCCTGCCCCTTACCTGTAATTCTCTTACTGTCGTTTTATAAATATCTCTGACTGTAACTCATTTTCCCTATCTCCTCAGTTTCCTCTCTTCGCCGTCTGATATTGCACATTGATTCTGATGAGTCATACCAGTCATCATTGTTCTGGCTAAACTTTGACGGACCTCCAGGGCTTTTTAATTCTTTGAACATCCTGTCCTGCTGGTTTTATCTCTCTGTTCTTCAGATCGCTTTTTCTCGTTATTGTTTACCACAGTCCTTGCAATGACCCTCCATGTTCGCGTCTTCCATTTCATGCCTCCTTCCAATAACCAATTCTACCCTGATTCAGTGTCAGGTTTATTGTCACTGCTTTTTCAGATCCTCCTTCTCTTCGCTGACAGCCATCCCCAGCATCAACAGACTTCGTGCCTTCTTCAGTTGAAACATTTTCAGAAATTCTAGATTTGAAGCTTTCGTGACTGCAAGGATTCATACTCTTAGGTGTTTTTCGATAAAGTCACGTAGGTAAATTTTTTAAAATAAATTATAAAATTATAGAAATAATAAGAGAAATTAAATAATAAATCACGACGTTTCGGAAGCAACACAAGTCTCCGTCATCAGGTGGGCCCGTCACAGCTAAATTTACTGCATCAAGTAAATTTAGCTGTGACGGGCCCACCTGATGACGGAGACTTGTGTTGCCTCCGAAACGTCGTGATTTATTATTTTATTTCTATCATTATTTCTAATCATTTTATTTTTTCGTTTTATTTTTACCTACTTGACTTTACCGAAAACACCTACGAGTATTTTCAGAAATTGTTTTTGTTTTTCACTGTCACGTAAAAAATACAATTATTGCCGCTGTCTCGGGCGCAGCTGTCTTAAATCCTGACCTTTGTCTTTGTCACGTTTAATTGCATGATTTTGTAAATCTTGCAAACACTGCATACCAAGCCACGCACCATCGCTCCATTAGCCACGAGTCACTGAGGACACGATGAGTGAACAGATACCGTCAGGAAACTGACGCGGTTTCACCAATTTATAAATCTACGGTTTTTATTCAAACTGCATCAGTCCTGAGGTGAGTTTGGGATAACAACAACAACATCAACGACGAACAACAACTTCTTGGTTCTTTCGGTAAAGTCATGTAGAAGGGAAGTAATAAAATAATAAAAATAAAACATGATAAAATAATTCTCACGACGTTTCGGCCACAACGCAAGCAGCCGTCCTCAGGTGAAGACCAGGTCTGTCGGGGAGACAGCGTCACCTGAGGACGGCTGCTTGCATTGTGGCCGTAACGTCGTGAGAATTATTTTATTATGTTTTATTTTTATTACTTTATTATTTCCCTTCTACGTGACTTTACTGAAAGCACCAAGAAGATGAATCCCTGCAGTCACGAAAGCTTTAAATCGAAAGACGAACAACAAATTGCTGGCATTCAAACACGACTGCCGAAAATGTCAGAACGACCCAACCGATGGTGCGTAACACGCCGGCTTAACACTGCCTTTGTAGCCTGTCAATCGCTACTGCCGCTGCCGCTGCTGTTGAGGATGTTGTTGATGTTGTTGTTGTTCTTTTCATTTCCCCAAGATCCAGGCGCTATCCCGCGATGCGCGTCTCGGCGTGAGCCGCGTCGCCCAGACTCCGCTATGGGGGGGCCCCGTGACGCGGCCGCACGCAGCTGCCGCTGGCGAGTCGTGGTGCGGCCGAGAGGCACGGAGAGCCCCCATCGCCCTGGGGCCCGACGAGCCCGATCCCACCGCCTCGGATGTCGGTACGGTTCCACGTGTGTGTGTCAAAAATTTTGACATGTAGAAAATAAAATGTTACTTCAAATGTTCAGCCCTGACGTATGTCACAGGGAGCCGGTGAGGTCTTGCGGCGACTGGCCAAGTTCGGGGTTGAAATGATCATCTTCACGTCTTAAAGGTCTTGGAGCTGTGCGCGCACGTGCACAGCGGTCCGCGTGCACGTTTCGTTTGCACGTTTAACTTCTCTCGCACCGTGCGTAGCCAGCCGTGCTAAACGGAGGTGCGGGACATCAGGTCGCAACGCCTGATTGTGCCACGCAGCCGCAGACGACGTTATGTCACGTCATTGTTTCTAGATTTGAAGATTTCGTGACTGCAAGGATTCATACTCTTAGTTCTTTCGGTAAAGTCACGTAGGTAAAAAATGAAATTAAAATTGTTTTATTTTTATTAATTTTAATTTCATTTTTTACCTACGTGACTTTACCAAAAGAACTAAGAGTATACTGCATTGTTTGCCATAGTTCATCGGTGTTCGGAGTGCTCGCCATGGCATTGTACGATGTGGCACAGGATGAGGAGGGGGGGAGAGACTCAGGGATTGTAAGCCCTCAAACTGAAGGCATGACACACGAAGTAGACTCGATTCACACGGTTGTCAAATGATTGTTGGGTGATCTGCTAAGGCATTCCCATAATCTCTTTGGGGATGCTGGGGTGTACGATACAGTACAGTGATTGTTATTCGCCCTGTATATATTGTGCAATGATTGTGGTCGGTCTGGTATTGCTTTAGAGGCGTATATCCGGCATATTAATAATAGAACACATACTTTTTCCATGATCGTAATGGTATGGTCATACAGTGAATGAAAATTAACAACAGTATATTTTATTCCGTATCTATTCTGAATGTATGAAATGTCTCTTTCATCCCTTGTACCCTGCCTGAAACAATATCTCTCCTCTAGCTCTTACATCCCTTCTGAATATTCCTCGTATGTCTTTACCACCTTATCCACCGTTTCTAAATATCTATCTCTTATCTCCCATCTGTATTATGAATACAGCTGCCACATCTTCTGAATACGTCTGAATAGTTTACATGTCTTCTGATATATCTATTAATCTCTGTTGAATATTTTTTTTAAATATCTACACTAAAACTAGACTTTTTATTTTACTAGGTAAGGCCCACTGAGCTATATAGCTCTTTTTTAGAAGCAACCTGGCCACAAATGAAATATGCACAGTATGTTGAACTTCTTTCGCACTGTATGTAGCCAACCGTGGTCATCGGAGGTGCATGATAGCTCAACGAAGTGGGTTATCACGTGGAAATTTATAGCAGCCAAATACTCTGCACGCGTGTTTGTAAATGTGGAGGGAAAAACTTGAGAACCCGGAGAAAAATCCACGAGGACATGGGGAGAACCGTTGCAAACCCATGCAAACATTGTTGCAAGTAATAAACACGTTGAAACTATACCATATGTACAGGACCTGATGCAATATTGGCTATTACATATCTTCTGAATATCATTACTGTCATGATCATCAGTCATGTTTATCCACTGCAGGATGAAAGCCCGCACTCCGTCACCATCCCTCACATTCTCGCGATGCCATAATCCACCTGGTTCCTGCGTACGAGCGAATCTCTTCGCTCTCTGCCTGCGGTGGTCATCCCTCCCCGGGCCGTCATTCTCTCACCAGTCTCGCCCATCGTCCATCATCCCCTTGAGCGACGGCTCCTAATTCTCCGCCCGCCCACGTTGATTAACAGTCGCTGCGCAATGTGTCTCCGATTCGCGCGCACGTTCTTCCGATCCGCACATTCCGCTTGTTGTTTCTCTTTTGAGTGAACATCTTCGGCCGTTGTCCCATGGTCATTGTCAGTGGCCATGATTGCTGGTCTATCTGTCACAGCAGGTGCGTTGTTTTCGTTGAGGCACATTGTTGTCGTGTTGATTTTCATTTCAGAAACTAAATTTTTCCAAAAGCACTCAAACCTGTTCTCGCTCCCCTCTTCATGTCATCCTTTTTCATTCTGGCCCAGGAAATATAATAGAGGCTATATATTTGTTTTTTTTCATTAATTTATGTACTTATTGTGTCTCTAGCCCATGGCTCTTAAGCAATAGAATCGGGCCATCAGTTGCAACTCCCCTGATGTAAGCAAATATTCGGTTACTCGTAACAAACTGTAATTCGATGAGGACAAGGTCCCTTGAAGGTCGGTGCGTGTGTGCATTCGCTCGTGTTATTTTATATTTATATAAGAGCGCCTTGGCTCAAGGCGATTTCCATAGATACAAAAAAAATCGGTAAGACAAATCAAATCAAATTTAGATGACAAGGGGGCATTGCAAGGGACGATGAATGAGTGACCGTAACAGAAGGCACACGTGGCGGGGGTCACGAAAGGGCTTTCGGGGAGGGACGGGAGGGAGTGGAGGGGCGAGGGGAGGGTAAGAGGAAGAGAATGGGCAGTGGAGAAGAGGTGAGAGAGGGAGGTTCAGGAGGGGGGCGCTTCTCGCACGGGGGAAGTCGAGTCCGGTGTGCAATGCTCCAATTACCAATTCCATGTACATTACATTTACACAGCTCGCAGTGTAGTGCCGTGACCGCGAGACTGCGCGTGTATTTTCTGTCAACAGATGGCAATGGTCAGGAGAGCAGAGAGGATGCAGATTCACGCCTGGGATCACCGATTACCAACTCCAACACGGACGTAAGCCACCCAACGCAGTGTACCTTCAGAACACATGTCTTGACATCATCGGCTGTTTTGCATCGTTACCATGTGATTGTCGCACACTTCCTTAACAAGCATTTCACTTATTTTTGAATCACCGCTCAACCAGCCGTGGTGTTGTTTATTTTCCCGAAGGCAATCGCGATAGGATTGTAATACGCCATTGTACGCGTTTAAAGGCTTACACTTGTACAATGCGCTCTTCCAACGAAAGGACAGGCCTTGCCGCTGAGTGGCTGTACCAGATAATGAATATAGCACGAGTAACAAAATCTCCTGACCCTATTACTAGACACTCACCGGTAAACACGGAACGTCGGCCCAACGTCGCACGTTTACTGGGACACGGCTTGACCCATGCATTCACGCGACCGGTTGGCTGTGGAGTTGTCAATGCAGACATCTGTGGCAGTTTCTGGCTCCGGTGTCAGGGGCGAGTGCCTCGGGTGCACGCTCCCACTACCGCAGATTTGGTTGTTGTTGTTGTTCCTGCTCCAAACAAAGTCCTCGTATTTTAGAAATTTTTAAAAATGCGTGTGTAGCTGCTTCTCTCTCGATTTCATTGCTCCAATCTCCCTTGGGCTGCCGCTCCATCACGAATCTCAACCAGCGGTCATCGTCCCCTTCTAGCGACGTGTCTTGCGCAAGACTGCTCGCTAGTAACAGCACGTGTCTTTGACCTGCGTTCGTTCTAAAGTCGACGTTTGCCTTGTTCTGCCGCTGAATGTCATTTGAAGCACGCGTCTCTGCACGCTTCTTTCGCACTTTTAAGATTTGTGTTCAATTGCTTTCGTTAATGTTTCTTTCTGATCTATATGTCATCATCATCATCATCAGCCATGGTCAATCCACTGCTGGATGGAGGGCTCCCCAAGATGTCGCCATCTCTCACGATCCAGCGATGTAATATCTGCCTAGCACCTGCACACGATCTGATTTCATTGCTCCATCTCCACAGTGGATGTTTAGATAAAATAATGATTTTTTACAGTCCTTTATCAATCCACGTTTGGATAAAGGCCTTGCCATGCAGTGTCAATCATGGGGGGTTGTGTGATCATACTTCACTGCGCTGGTCAGCGTGCATTGGTGAAGAAGGTAGTTGCAGGACCAATTCAGATACCGCTCACTACTCTTAAACAAATTACTTTAAGATGGAAAGAACACAACATTGTGAATCTGGTCCAAGACAGTTTTCATCCATACAAACAATGGACATTGTTAAATAATGTCCATTGCACATTGGCATCCGAGGATGGAATGCGCATTATAAAAAATGTTATTATTAATAATGGTTGTAAGTAATAATATGCAATAATGTGCAGGGCAGTTATTGGATGTGTGACTAATTGGTAATTTGTGAGCAGGCTTATTACACAAAAAATAGTTCATTCCCCTTTAGCCACTTATTCTTTCAATGAGATGTCTCACAAACTGAATCTCAAACGTCACACATCTAATACATGTTGACGGTCTTTGCTTCGTGATTGATGTAAATTGTAATGACGTTATAGAGGCCTTAGTAAGATGGCATTTGGGTCAATTTTAATAAAGTCTATGCTTATAAATATGCAAATCCGAAAAACAAATAGTCCCCCCCAAAATATTTTTTCACTTTTGAGTTTTTTAGAGTCTTAATAATGTTTATATCTGGAGCTTTTTAAGGGTGCTGAATCCAAATATGGCATTCATTAAAAAAACAGCTTTTTTATCTTTGGATCCTCTAAAGTTAGGGGGCAATCGTTTGTTATTTTCAAGTAACTTGAGCCTACGATCGTGTGATTGTTAACTTTTTGAAGGATGCTGAATCCCAATGTGAAATCACATTTTAACAACTCACGTTTTTAAGTACCTTTTTTTAAAAGCATGATGCGCGAGCCAATACAGAGTGGGCAAGAGCCACAACTGGTCGCAATTAATACATAAAATAGGTGTATTTGCAAAAGTCACACCTTTTATAATTTTTACGATATGAGGACGACATGCTGCAAGCATCGGTTATTTTTCTACTGACACGCGTCTTTTCTGCCGCAGCTCCTGACTGATAGTGGATTTGTCTCGGCTGTGGATGCGGAGAATTCGGAGGACTCAGTCTCTGAGGACACCAACCGGTCAGTACACGCCTCTGTTATCTTGCTCACGGAGCCGTCCAATTGATTATTGTCACAGTCCATTGTCACAGTCCATTGTCACAGTCTATTGTCACAGTCCATTGTCACAGTCCATTGTCACAGGCTATTGTCACAGGCTATTGTCACAGTCCATTGTCACAGTCTATTGTCACAGTCTATTGTTACAGGCTATTGTCACAGGCTATTGTCACAGTCCATTATCACAGTCCATTGTCACAGTCCATTGTCACAGTCCATTGTAACAGTCGATTGTCACAGGCTATTGTCACATTCTATTGTCACAGTCTATTGTCACAGGCTATTGTCACAGGCTATTGTCACAGGCACAATATTGTCAAATTAAACATTCAGACTCTGTCTATAAAATAACCAACATTGCTACGGAACGTGGTTACGTGTTGCTTCATAACAAAGATACTTCACGATACCTTGATGTATTGCGTCGTGGGCTACCCGCCGATGCCCATCAGTGCCCACTGTGTGGGTCACAGCTGAGTGGTTTTCACGGCTTGCCATTGGCTTGCGGGTCAGGTCATGACGCGAACATGATGCGATGCACATGACCTGACCCACACCAAAGCGTTCATCTGTAAATAATAATAGCTTTGTTCCCACCCAGAGTTAAGGTCACGAGGACTACCGGTCAGCTATTACTCAAATTCAGGTGTTTCCAACCCCCCCCCCCCCCCACCAACAAATAAAGATGCAAGATTTTTTGTTAAAAGTTAAGCATGCCAGGTCTGGCTGATTAAGGCAATTTGATGTTGGGTGTGCGCAAATTTATTGCGTTTAATCGCGGAAGCTGCCAGCTGGCAATATGCAGCAAATACCACACTCTGGAGTGTTGATACGTCCCTGGAATATGACTTTCGCTGGAGGCAGTCAATTTTGGCCAAATTTGTGCATCCCAGCATCGCATTGCTCACCTACTTTTGCAAGGCATCGTCATGGGACGGCCACTGTGAGCCAAGCGAATTATGATGCCATTTAACAAATTCACACGTCAGAAAATTCGAGGTAATTGTTTGATTTTCAAGGCTCAGTCTTTGGAGCCCAATCCATCGGCATAATTTGAACGATGTTGTTTTTTTGCCGTTCATGTTATTTCGGCACGACTAAATAACGCTGAGAGACTGGCAGCAATGTTCGCAAAACCCAATCGGGAAAAAAACTCCTCTAATCCAATTCTGCACTATCCGTGCTTTTACTTTTCACCTGTGCACCCTTACTGATCCGTGTTCCTGCACGGACGAGCATTGAGATGGTGCTCATCTCCTGCTCACGCAGTACTTGAGCCAGTGGGGGAAATCCCACGCTCCTATGGCAGGCGCCGAGTACTGTAGAGGGGAGTTCGCTTCCAGAGATCTGTTCATTTGTCGATTGGTTCGTAAGTCCAACTTTACTCCTGTCGATTCCAAACATGTTGTACGGTGCACACACTAAACATGGGGATTGGCTTTAAATGTTGTATCATCTCCTGCAGATGTAGGTGCCACTGGTTCTTCACATTCTGCAGATGTAGGTGCCACTGGTTCTTCATGCTCTGCAGATGTAGATACCACCACCGTCATCTATTGCACGGCGGTTGAACTTACGACTCTCGGTTCGAACAAACAACTGGACACACGGGACAGGTTTGTTCGTATCTCTGAAAGTTCGTAAGTCGAACGTTCATAAGTCGAGGAGTCCCTGTATATCCAATAGGACGAGGACTGTTAATTGCCCCCCACGAAGTGGTACCCTTTTTAACACAAGGTGCAAGCGTGGGGGGGGGGGGGGGGAGAGATGATAGGCTGACGCAAACTCCGACCAGGGTTGGAACTCTCAACCTTCCGAGGATGAGCCGCTTGCTCTTCTCATCCACACTGTGCTACACTTTGGAATTCTCTCCCCTTCGTCCCTCTCTTCCCAAAGTGCCCTCCTAAGTGTGTTGCGCGTCGTCACTTTAAGATGTTCTTTGTTCATGTTTTGCTTGTTGCGGTTGCACCCGAGTCAAGAGCCTCATGGCTCACAGGGCTTGTACCTAATCAATACAACTGAACCTCGGATCCACTGCTGCCACTTTACGAATCGGAATGTCCCACTGGGAAACTCAGGAGGGCGCCGGCAGGCTTGGCACTCGGTATGGGCAGTACTATTACTTGCTTTAGGGGTGTCCTCTTGGCCCTTGTGTTTTTATTTCGCCCCTTTCCTCCAATGGCTCGCGTTGACCAGTGCCCAGGCTATTCAGAAGCGGTTGCCTAGCCTCCGGCGAAGGACACAAATATTTCCATAGCGTGTGCCTCGCTCCGCACACACACGCGCGCACACACACGCACACACACGCACGCGTATCAGTTTCACTCGCAAACAATGGCAGCTCAAGCTTGGACTTCCCGACTTGTTCATGCGATCCAACCCGCTCCATCGCAATCCTTACACCAGCTTGAGCGAAACCCAGGGCAAGGAGTCGGTTCTTGCTCTCCATTTGTCCAACAGTGGGTATAACAAATAACACTGGACGCACGTGTACACGAGCGTCTCGTGATGCAACGCAGTTTGGATTAACGAGATTTCGAAGTGCAACCGAATCTTCAGAAACATTATGGATGAGCGTCACGGTGTCTTGGTTTACATCCATTGGCTCTTGAAATATTGTTTCATGCGCTCATTGAAAACGTTCTTTTTCAGGCACATGGGTAGGTTGCTTTTCATGATGTTGTTCATTTTTACAAAAGCACTCTGCCCTGCTTTTATCCTGCTCTTAATGTCATCAGTTTGATCCAGATCCAGTCGCGTTCGATCATTACATATTACCCGATATGATAGCGTGGTTGGCTAGGTATGGTGCGATAGAAGTTCAACATACATATACATGATATATGGATTAGTAACGTGGACACTGTTATATTTACACTATAGAACAGAAAATGAAAAGTCAGCGAAGAAGAGGTGCATGCTTGGCATTACACTGAGAGACAGAAAAGAGGCGATCGGGGATAAATGCGAATGGAAGGCATCGTAGAGAATGTTCAGGAAAGTAAGCGGGCTTGGACCGGACACAGCACAAGAAGGACGAGGGCTGGTGAACGAGACTGGTGATGGAATGGCAGCCAAAGGCCGGAAAGCACCCGAGGAGATGACCACCACGGGGATGGAGTGACGAGGGGGTTTGATACGTAGGAGTGAGATTGATTGTGACATCAAAGGTCTATGATGTAATGGTAAGGCCTTCATCGAGCAGTGAATAGACGATGGCTGATGATGATGATGGTGCCTGTATTAGCCCATATAGAATGCTTTCTGAATCTTACAAACAAGTGCTGTGTGATGTCTCAATGGGCTGTCACCTTGTTGCCCTTAACGCTTCGGTTTGATTATTTCCTTGACAGTCGAAAGTGCCTTACCTCATAATGCCGCATCTGAAATGTAGAACGTTTAAATCCACGCCATTGGGAATGCAGCAGGGTGTGCTGGTATTGCGTACTCGTCTTGATCGCCCCGGGGGTCCTGCCATACTTAAGGGGGCCAGGGCCTTTTCAAAGCCACCTTGCTTCACAACATGCGAGACGGGTTGGCGATTCGATGCACAAATCGCTGAGCCGCTCTGCGAGTCAAACCTTTGAGTCGGCGCAAGCCGGGCTTGGTGGCGACCGTGCTGATGCCCGTTGCACTGTGGCACCATCCGCCACGTTCACGGTTTTAGTGGGAATTAAAGTCTGTGTCTCGGTGCTCAGGCGAGCGTGTGGCAGTGCTCATCTGTTCTAGATTTGAAGCTTTCGTGACTGCAAGGATTCATATTCTTAGTTTTTTTCGGTAAAGTCACGTAGGTAAAAAATTAAAATTAATAAAAGTAAAAGAAAATAAAAATCACGACGTTTCGGAGGCAACACATGCTTCCGTCTTCAGGTGGAACTGTCACAGCACGATTGCTGCATCAAGTAAGAGAAATTCCAAGAAAACAGTCCTTGTGTATATACTGGTTGAGGGTGGGAGGAGCCAAGGCAGGCACCTGGATATTATTGTTGTGAGGTTCGGTGCGGCTGAATTTTTATTTTTTTACCTACGTGACTTTACCGAAAAAACCTAAGAATAGTGTTCATCTGCACTGGTGACCCCCCCCCCCCCTCCCCATGCTTTCTGCATAGAACGACTGCTGCCGTGGACTTTTTTCAATCAAAAACCTGGAGGGGTGGACACAGGACTGAGTCTATCCTCAACCTTGATTTGAAACTCCTACAATAGATCAATACACAACAACAACAACCGCCAATCGCCACTAAGTGGCGGTGACGTCACCACGTCGCTTGTGCCAGGCTGTGTGCGCTTTAAGGGCACGTGAAGTGTCGAACGCCCGCTGGCAGGAGGCCACTTGACGGACACAGGTTGACTGACTGAGATGACTGGCAGATGCACTACCAGACACACGCACTCGCACACGTGGATACATAAATACAGACACAAAGTAAAACGTATATTAATCTCCCCCCAACCTTCACCCTCTAACAACTTGAAAAATAGTTTATTTTTCCTGCCAGTACTGTATTATGAACCATATATTCTCATGACTGAATGCTCGTGCGGATTTTTGTTGGCTACGCACAGACGCATCTGACGTTTGGCGTGTGTGGAACAATTATACTGGGCACACCTCTGGGCAGGCCTTGATCGTGTGAGGCTTTGTCATTTCTCCCTCGGCGAAAGTGTAAACGCGGTGCGTTTGCGTCCGCTGCTGGCCCCCCACGCACGATCCGGTGGCCCCGTCACTCGACCGTTGATGGGGAAACTCTGCCCGCTCTAAATAAGTAACGACGCAGCTCGGCTGTCGGGTTATTGTAAGCACAATGATGACGGCGCCACGCTTCATTTCAGCACCGCGGCCGTTCGTGGCGTCTCGAGTCCGAGCTGAGTAGTCATGGTTCTGTTCTACTACGTGCAGTCTTACAGCCCCGCGGAGAACGGCAGCATCGGGAGGTTAGGTTTCGAATTTAATAATGTGACTTTTTGTCCCTTAGAGGTAAAGTAGTAAATATATTTTTAAAATACTACGACGACGTAAAAAGAAAATTTCATAAAAAAATCTAAAAGTCGCCAACGTGTTCAAAGTTTAAACAGAATAAATGTATGCATGCCTGATGAGTGTATCTCGCATGCCAGACTATACTTTTAAAATGTGAATGTGATTTGGATGTAAAGATGTTGCTGGAGAGTTTACGTTTGTGCGCAAATGAGTGCGCAGTGGTCCGGCTTGGTCGTCGGCGCATCGCGCTGGTAACCTTACAGGAATGATCAAATATTCACGATCGACTCCTATACAGCATTACAATACAGTGCCACTGCAAATCGAGTTTTTATATATAATGTATTTTAAAAAATGTTGCTCGGCTAATTGTTTTTTAAACTTGAACCAAGTGTGGCACTTCAACGCAAAGTACGGTCATGCGTTGTTGCTCTTTGAACTTCTTACAAAACCAAAGACAGGACTGAATACAGAGGACATTATCGGTAAATGCTGATTCACCTTTTTTTCTTTTATTTGCTCGCCGCAGGTGTTCGAGAGAAGTGAAGAGACTCTCACTCTACAAGGTCAGTGGTTAGGAAAGAATGCTTCATCATCATCATCGCTATCATCGCCAGCCACTGTACAACCTTCGGGGTGGCTCAGTGGGATTGTGAGCAGCTCCCGATGGGAAGGTTGCGCGTTCAAATCCTAGCTGGAGTTGGCTCAGCCCATCAAACCCTCGGGGGGGTCAATAAAATCACGTAACACTTTGTGGGGAACTCAACAGCGCTTGTCCTACGGATAGCCTCGCCTCCACCGTGGGAATGTGGAATTTCCACCACTGGCTCAGGGCTGTAAACAGAAGTGAGCACTGCCTCAATGCTCATTTGAACAAGAGATCACTTTGGCTTTGTCTATCGGCTGCTGGATAAAGGCCTCCCCACGTGCACTGACTGGCTGCCATTCGTACGCCGGTCCCATCCACCACCGAATCATGTTTTGTGGATTCAGCGGCCTCCCAAAATGTCAGGGTGCTTCCGCTCTCTGCTCAGCACGAGGACCTTACAGTCTCAGCAGGAGACACGACGTAGGCCTCCAGCCGCTGTGGAGAAATCCCCACGCCTCGCTCAGAACGAGGATTGTCTCCATCTGCAAGTGGAACTCAATCCTCCCAGCAAACTGGCACCACCAGGATGCGCTCACGAATTGGGGGGGGGGTAGAATAGGTCACGTGGAACATTACCAGCGGGGTAAGTTTACACAACTCCTCTCGCTCGTGAGTTGAATCCTACGTGTTGTGCAATGTTCATAGGAGTGCATGCCACTCGCTCTGTGCTTCTCCCACAAATGCATTGCGTAATTACGTGGTTCATAAGTAAGTGTTTACTCACGCAGAGTATTTGACAGCTCAAATGCTACGTAATTAATTGAAGTAAATTTGAATGCGGCCTCGTGCAAATGTAAATAAAGGTTTAAAAGAGTGCAACAATATAAACACATTTGCCAACCTCAGTCTATTTGTTCTCCCAAGATAGCCACTTGCATGCATCAGCTGTGCAGCCTTGGCCAAGTTCGACGGGTGTGGTTCAGGAGTCGCGTGAGTTGTATTACCGGAGTCTCACAGGATAAAAAAAAACGAGTTGACTCGATCACAGAGCCGATTTGGCTCCGGGCAGACGAACCAAGAGGGTGATCCAACTGCTGTAGCCCACGAATACTCCCAAGTGGCGCATTAACCCGCAGTGCTCTATTCCGTCTCGGACAACCTCGATCCCACAGCCCACGTGGTGCTTGTGGTGCGTGTGTGTGAGCTACGCCGTTGGCTGTGACGCCTGCCATCAAGAAGTGCAGTTGGCGAGAGATGTGGGTCTTCTTTACAAAGTACATTTCAAGAACGCTCGCACTCAATCAGGAAGGTGTAGACTGTCATTTTTATCTTGTAGCAGTGCACAGGAATAAGCGTGAAGCACAACTTTAATTAAAATGTTATATTTTACCTGCAATCATCCGTTTCCAACGCCATGCCCGATGAACCAACATTAGCAGCGGGTGAAGGACTGAGCCCCATACTTTAGATTCACTCATTAATTCATTCACACGGAAGAATAAGAAAGAAAAAAAACAAGTTTCCATAGTTTTGTATTACATGCAATTGCCTTCATAGCCCTTAATAATTTATTCTCATAATAATAGTAACAATAATCTCACTCTGACAACTGCGCGTTGATAAATGTTGGCACAGCTATCCCGGTACAAATGCGACAAAGAATAGCAAAGACACAAGCACCCAAGACAAAAACGTGCGAGGCAGTTACAGTCAACGATGGTTTTGATTTATAAACGAGTTTTTGCGTAACTCATTTTACAGACACAGTGGTTGAAGTGGAGACATCCAGTTCTTTCCCCTGGGCAAAGTGCAAGCCTTACCAAGTAACCAAACCTGCCACTTGTGTTCGTCTGCATGCCTACGTTGAGATCTGCAGTTAAAAGAAAACAAAATTAATCGAAATGTAAATTCTCGTAAAAAGGATGATTATCCAAATTACTGAATTTCTGTGTTGGTACCTGGATTAAACGGCACGTTATGTCACGAGAAGTATGCTGTGGCACGGAAAGTGTCACGTGGGGAAACGTTGTAAGAATCGCCCACTTCATGAGGGCTTTATTTATGTCAATTCTAAATCCAAGTTGTTCCCCGGCTCCGATAAACATGCAGCAGCAGCAAAAGCAGCACTAGTCTTTGCTGGTAGCCCTAAATCAGTGGTGGAAATGTCACGTGCCATTAGCGTCGTCATTTGTTTTTGTACATTGTGTATATGTTTGTGTATTTGTCTGTGTATATTTTGTGTGTTTGTCTGTGGGGAGCGGTAGTGTAGCGGTTAGCGCGATGCGCTTACAAACCCGGCGGCCCGCGTTCAATTCCCGCTCACGGCCAACACCACCACCAGTGACGATTATCTGAACCGGTCCTGGGCCCTCCCCTAGGTCGACTCAGCCTCAAATGAGTTCCTGGTGCGGTGTGTCAACATCGCCACTGGGGAGACAAAGGCGACCGGGCATGGTGCTGGCAACCCACCCTCTCGTGTGCCATGCCATCGTTCATGGGTGCTCATTAACAGCACTTGCCCCAATAGTCTTTATTTGTTAAGTCGTTCCAAACATCGTTACAGTCTGTCACATAAGTAAATGACGTGCACTGCTATTTTATGTAAATCACACCAAAGCCGATGTTTTCACAGCGGCTACAGACAGGTCATGCATGATTGTTGTTACGTCGAAAATGAGCCGTGAAGTCCGCAGCTCAAGTATGTGCAATGCCCTTGAGGGTTGGGTTGTTCGGCATAGCTGCAATACTTGAGTTGGCTGTCTGTCGTCAAACACCTACACCCTTTTAAATCAAACTCACTGTTGAATTGAAGCAATTAAAGCGTAACACGTCTCGAGACGAATTGCCAAGAAGCGACCTTCCAAACCTCCAAACCAGTTACATGAGCCTATGTATCACTCGAGAGTTATGCATTGTTATTATTATTATTTTACGCTATTTGCCGTGGTGGGATGGGGATGGATTAGTTTTATTTCGATGTGTTTGGGTGGTGCTTTGTTTACTTTGTACTTTGCACGACTGTTATGTTTTTTGTATTATTTGTTGTTGTAACTTTATTACCCGCCCCTACTGGACATCTGTGTACAAAAAGCTTCATAGCTCATCGGATTCTTCCAGTATAAACATTCAGATTCCGATAACGTGCGGCGCGCACGCAGCTGTGGTCCAGACACGTCAAGTGTTGTGCGTTCGTTGCACTTAGAATCTATAAAAACATTTGAAAATTGTCCCACTGATGCTGGGTTTTTTTGGAGAAGCACGTGTGGATCTTGCCGGCTTCGCTTGTACTCAAGCTCAGACTTGCGGCGCAGCGCTGGAGTGTGCGTGGAATGAGCAGCAGTGGGCACATGCCGCACAGTGGTTGCGTATTCCACGCGCTGCTGCGTAGCCGAGCCGCGGTGTTGTTTTCAGACTGTCAACTGGACTCTCTCATCGGCGTTGTCGTCAGACACTCAGCCCACGGGCTGAGTAAGAAACACAGCATTCCCTCGCCAACCGCGGAGGGGTTAGGTTCCTGGAAAAGGTCACGGTAGGAAAATCCGCGGTTGCTATATTGCAGGGCCTATCGGACATTGGGGGTTAGGGGAACGGTCAGAGTCGTCATAGCTTAACTAAGTTGGATGTCATTTTTTGGGGAAAATTTGCCTGTAAACCTCGTGGTTTTTTTATTGTAATAAGTTAAACTAAAATGTGTGCTAAATATATGTATTATTATACTGACTACTCGTAGCATCAGGCCAATGCTTACATCACCTCCTTCATGAATGGAAAATTAAAGACAAGCCACAGCATTCCGACTGTGGCCATGCAACCCAAACTATGGACCGCACAGTAAACCCATGCAACCCAAACTATGGACCGCACAGTAAACCCATGCAACCCAAACTATGGACCGCACAGTAAACCCATGCAACCCAAACTATGGACCGCACAGTAAACCCATGCAACTCAAACTATGGACCGCACAGTAAACCCATGCAACTCAAACTATGGACCGCACAGTAAACCCATGCAACCCAAACTATGGACCGCACAGTAAACCCATGCAACCCAAACTATGGACCGCACAGTAAACCCATGCAACCCAAACTATGGACCGCACAGTAAACCCATGCAACCCAAACTATGGACCGCACAGTAAACCCATGCAACCCAAACTATGGACCGCACAGTAAACCCATGCAACCCAAACTATGGACCGCACAGTAAACCCATGCAACCCAAACTATGGACCGCACAGTAAACCCATGCAACCCAAACTATGGACCGCACAGTAAACCCATGCAACCCAAACTATGGACCGCACAGTAAACCCATGCAACCCAAACTATGGACCGCACAGTAAACCCATGCAACCCAAACTATGGACCGCACAGTAAACCCATGCAACCCAAACTATGGACCGCACAGTAAACCCATGCAACCCAAACTATGGACCGCACAGTAAACCCATGCAACCCAAACTATGGACCGCACAGTAAACCCATGCAACCCAAACTATGGACCGCACAGTAAACCCATGCAACCCAAACTATGGACCGCACAGTAAACCCATGCAACTCAAACTATGGACCGCACAGTAAACCCGCTGTAGTCGTCTGCGCTTCTTCAGCGGAGTAGGAGGGACAGCAAAACGAGACAAACTCTCTTCTGAAGTATTCTTAGGTTTTTTCCGGTAAAGTCACGTAGGTAAAAAATTAAAATTAATAAAAGTAAAATTAAAATAAAATAAAAATCACGACGTTTCGGAGACAACACAAGCTTCCGTCTTCAGGTGGAACCGTCACAACACGATAACTGTATCAAGTGAGAGAAATTCCAAGAAAACAGTCCTTGTATATATACTGGTTCAGGGTGGGAGGAGCCAAGGTAGGCCCTGAATATTATCTCTTCTGAAGCCCTCTCCTTGAGGCCAGCAACAGGACTCGACGTGGGCACTTAGCCCCTGAACGTATCGCTGCCATCACGCGCAATAACAGACTAGTTGGGGTCCGGCAGTGGCACGGTGGGTTAGTCCCGCATCGCGTGACAAACCCAGTGGACTCATTATGATTCCTCGCCACGGCGAACATGAGTGGCGAATGATATCCAAGCCAATTAGAGACAGCCTTTTCAGCAGCCAACGCTAACCAGCATGGTGTATCCTGGTCAAACATGCCCCCGCAACTCAGATTAGCACGGTTGACTACGTACGGTGTGAAATAAATTCAACATACATGCATGCAACTGGCGTGGGGTGGTCATCGATGCATTAATCCAGAAATAGATTTACAAAAGACTGGAAACGCTTATTGTTATTATCAACCCATAGCTATTCTTTTTATTCGGAGCTATTTTTGTGATATGAAGAATGACCATTGCCCCTAAAACGCCACCTGTTATACGTTACCTCTTTATGGGCCGTGTTATGATTCATGTGTTACATTTTTTTAAAAGTATTTGAGCTTTATGCGCCACTGCCAAACGCAGTTTCACAAATAACCCATTGTTGTATCTGTACGGTATATCACGTGTCCTCTGTGTTTAGCACAGTGTTGTGTATACAAGTTTAAAGAACATTCTAGCCTTGCACAGCCACCACGCCCACCCATGTTCGTAGCTTTTCAGCACTTTTCCACCCGCAGGATATATTTAATGGTCAAACAAATTCACAAACTTCCAAGACAAAGTGCGAGCGCTCTCCTCGACATGTAACCAAACACCGTCTCTTTTAGTTGCCTGTAAATATCTAACGAGCAGCAGCAGCAACAATGGGAGACTCATAAATAACGCTCGGCACAAAACCCGGCACGAGCATGTACGTACGGCACGTTGGATTTCTTTCGCACCGTACGTACCCAACCGCACTTATTCGAGGTGTGGCAGAGGGTGGGGAGGGGGGGACAGCAAACAAAACGCAAAAATAAGTTCGAACGAAATGAGTTTTTTTTATCTTGAATTTTTTTTTGGGAGCGCACAAAAAACCTGGCGAAGTTTCACCCGGGACTGCAACAATCGCCCATCGTCAGGAATTCACTTTCCATGCCTCGTACCCCCCACCCCGCCGCCCGACTCCCCGCCTGCCTGTTGCAATTCTCTCAGCGCGTTTTTTTTCGTCGTTTCTTTTTGACTCGTCGATTGGGTTGATCGCCGAGATGGTCGGCCGTCGCTTTTTGGCCGAGACGATTAAACGATTTTGGGGGGCCGCCGTTGTTCGGGTTCGCGCAGAAGTCAACCGCCTCTACTGAGCGGGAGCAGCGGGCCGGGGAGTGTGACCGCAGGGACCCGCTCTCCCTGGGCTCCCATGCAGCAGCAGCAGCAGCATCCTCCCAGGTAACGAGAACTTACTACGCAGAGTGGCGGCCCCTGGGTGCATACATCGGTGCGGGGGTCACCAAAAGTCGGGGGGAGGTGTGGGGGGAAGGGGGAGGGAAGCAGGTGGCTGTTTCCCATGACCGACCCCCACGTGTATCAGTGGGGTTCTTTTTTGACGTTTATATTTTGACTTGTATGTACAGTCTGTTGAACTTCTTTCGCTCCGTACGTAGCCGACTGTGCCAACCACTCCGTGGGGCCTGGCTCATGAGTCGCCACCACTGATGACACGTGACGTAGATATCGAAATAGGGCCCTACATTGATAACCACCCAAACAAAAACGTTCATTATATTTTCTCCGTTAAATGTACATAAAATAACATGTTTTGGGAGTTTCTCTAGGGCAGGGGGTGGGTCGTGGCGGCGATTGCCCCTCATGGACAATTTGCAACCGAGTGGAGCTGTAGGGGCCCAGGTACAGTGGTGGCTGTCGTGTTCGTCCCACAGACTGCGGCGTGCGCCGCTGCCCCGGAGACAGCTGCAGAATCGACCGTGGGATCGACCGTGGGATCGACCGTGGGATCGAGCGTGGGATCGAGCGTGGGATCGAGTGCCGGGAATGGGCAGCAGATGCGCGCACGTCTGGCAGTGTCGCCGCTGCGGACGGATACTCGCTACGACCACGAGGTGGCGCGTCATGTGATGCCCCATCCTTTACCTGTACACGTACAGCCAGTGCTCGCCGTCAAGCCCAATGTCCGTGGAGCAGTGCCGAATTAAGCTAGTGAGGGGCCTGTAGCATATGTTTTCAAGGGGCCCTAAATAAATAAAAAAACACGTAAATATTAAAACACACATTTTTAACTTGCACAGTGAAGTAATTGTATTTTTGCATTTGCTATACAGACAGTTAATACGACAAATCGCTAACCTTAAACACCCAGTCGTTCATAAAAGTTGAAGGCAGTGTAGTACTATAGTAATAGAGCAAGTGCAGAATCACTGAACTGGAATTGATAGCTTGAAAGCATTTAGCGCGGGGCCCTTGAAAGTGCGGGGCCTGTAGCATATGTAGCTACTTTTGCTACGAGGATAATCCGGCACTGACGTGAAGGTATTGGCTGTTGTTGGTGTTATCCTGTCCTAGCGAGCCAACAACAGGCCAATTAAAAGTGTCGTTGTTGTTTGGAAAAAATAGAAGAAACCGGAGAGGAAGACCCAACAGAGAATGGTTTGACAACGACATGAGAGATTGGTGCCAGAAAGATGTGGCCACTACTTGCGCACGTTGGCACTACAAGACAGAGAGGAAAGTGGAAACAAATGACGAAATGTGCAGTGGACACCTCCGGGCTGTCTGCCCATGGATTGTGACGATGAACAAACACCAGGGAAGTGATCATATGGCCCCATCTCATCAGTAATCCTGCTGATGTTCTGATCAGGAGATTTTGCGTGTTGTGGGGTAATGTGTGGGCACTCCCGCTTCTTCCAAAGACATCTGGCGAGCGTAGAATATTAGGGCCCAATTACCCTTTAGAGGAGCTCTCTCTTGACCTCACCCGGGTGGAGAGGGCCTTCCACCAGCGGTGGTGTGAGCAGGACATTGCCGAGCTGCGCCTCTACCCATTGCTATGTTGGAATAGGGAGAGAGAGACATTCAACGTTTGCCGTAACTGCGTGTCTTCTAAATGTTTAAACTGCACGCACTCGTGTGCACAGCATGATGTTTACCAAGGCCGTAATTATAATATATATTGAAGGGGACACATCCCCCCCAATATTCAGATATGATCAAAATGTCCCCCCCTATCTATTGCTATACAATAGATTTCTGTTCACATGATTGTGGTTATGGTTGTACTTTATTCATCCCTAGTCTCTGCCATTACATACAATGAAACAAGAAAAGGTAAAAAAAAGAAAAAAACAGAGCAATGTAATACAATACACTATTTAGACATTGTTGTATAAAATAAATAAAAAGTCCATCCTATGTGCTAGTGTTTTTTTAAATATATATTTTAGGCAGCACGTGGCAAGAAATACGTTTTCAAATTAAGATTTTTTTTTCTGGGGGGTTACCCCCAGACCCCCTGTAAGATTTGGTCCCCCCCCCAATGTTGACTCCATGGCTACGGCCTTTATGTATACACATTCTCTGTAGTCCCGAGTCCACTTTGAATACTTTTGTTATTTGTGGTGGTGGGGGGAGGAATGAATCAACTGAAAGACACACACTGACACCTAGTGAGTGAGCTTGGACATTACATGGCATGCGTGCATCGAGAGAGACACGTGCAGTTTGTTCTGCATTTTGGTTTTAACATAATTTCGTGTTGTCCTTACAGTATTATTTAATTGTACTTTTAAACGAAATCACTTTAAGCACGAGTGAGGAATGCCGGTTGACAATGACCGCTGTGATTCGTCGCGTGAATGCACGTTGACGAATGAATATCCTTGTAAACGTGTTTATCAAGGTTTCCTAAGCTGGGGGGTTATGTCTGTGTCCTTTTGTTAGGCGAGGGCATCGCTTGAGCAAGCAAAGGGACACGTGTCACGCGATTGTGAGCTCATGACTGAGAAAATCACCAAACTATCACATCAGCTCAAGGTACGCTGGCGATTGCACATACACAATTGAGAAAAAAAAAACACATTTAATTTATGTAAAAAAAACAGTACGGTACTGCATTTTCAGCAAAAACAAAATCATTACACACAAAGTGCTTGCAACAAATGAACCGCATGAACCACCATCACGCGACACTCCAGGGGTCATCCTCGTAGCAGCAGCAGCGGCGGGGGCTTTTGGCTGCTGGCCGTCGAACAAAGGCGGCGGTGGTCTTCGCATCGCACGGCGCTTTCAGATGCGCTTCCGCGGCCGTCTGGAACGCTCCTCCCGATATTGGGAAGCCGCTGGAGCAAAGCACTTTTAAATCTGGAGTGAAAACGCATTTCTTTGGAGCTATTTTTTGCGAGTACTTTATTATACTTCTCCTGCACCTCCGATTTGCACGGTTGGCAACGTACGGTGCGAAAGAAGTTCAGCACACATACATACGATCATTGTGTTTGTGTACATGTGTGTCTGTGTGTCTGTGTGTGACTCGCGCCTCTCCAGGTAAACCAAGAGCATCAGCGGGATCTCAGCTCGGAGCTTTCGAAGAAGAACTCGATGATGCACGAGTACGTGAACATCAACTCCACGTTGCAGGAGACCACCATCGACCTGCAGGTGGGGAGCAAGAGCCCACGAGTCTCCGGCACTCCTCAAGCTTTGTGCTTCCATGCATCGTCCGATCACACAGCAGTCCGCACGCGGGAGAGGCCAGCATGGCAGTGGCCACCCTTCTCTAGCAGGCCCGGCTCCAGCTCCTCGCAGATGGTGGTGAGGGGGGGCAGTAGAGATGTCAGGGGGGGGGGCAGTAGAGCTGTCACGTGGGAGGGTGGAAAGTTGAGTTGTTACGTGGGAGGGGGGCAGTAGAGATGTCACGTGGGAGGCGGGGCAGTAGAGTTGTTACGTGGGGGGGGGGGGGGCAGTAGAGATGTCACGTGGGGGGGGGGGCAGTAGAGTTGTCACGTGGGAAGGGGGGCATTAGAGTTGTCACGTGGGAGGGGGGCAGTAGAGTTGTCACGTGGGAGGGGGGTGGGCAGTAGAGCTGTCACGTTGGGTGGGCAGTCGCACCCTGCTAGTGCCGAGCCTTGCCTGTCTTGTTCTTCAGGCAATTGCTGAGCTTTTCAGTTGGTTTCGTCGTGTGCCTGCACGGCAACCGTATTCACGTAGCTCATTGACAGACACCATGGGGGGAAACACGCGCTGCACACAGCTCATTCTCAATCATGAGCGAGGTGGCGACATCCCCCTGATCCAGAGAGATGGATGTAGATGACCACGTACAGGGTCGCCCTTCTATTTATGGACATTGTACAAGTACTTCTTTCGCACCGTACGTAGCCAGCCGTGATAATCGGAGGTACGGGGGTAAGCAAAACGTGTGCGGCATGCGTGCCCCCGCCACCCCCGCCATCTCCTTTTCAGCGAGCGCTCACGGACACCACCCTGGGCAACTGCAGACTGCAGGAGGAGGTGAGGAGCCTCAGCGAGAGCAACGCTCGGCGCTTGCGGGAGCTGCAGGAGTGCGAGGGGCACCTGCGCAGCGCGCAGCGCCGCGGGCAGACCCTGCAGCTGCAGGTGAGAGCGGCACTTCGAGGGCACCCGCTGCACGTGACCGGGGGTCGGTCATGGGCCAAGTTTGGTGGGGGGTGGTGGGGGGGCATGAGGAGGCAACGCCCCCCCCCCCCCCTCACCTCAATTAAGATTAAACTTATATTCGTTACGTGCACCCCTGGGATGCCTAATGTGAGGGACAAAGCGAACCCCTGCCCACTCCATCCCCCAAAAACATCGAAATCAAACTCCGAGCTACGGGGTCGGTGTTTTTACGACGGGCTTCGTGCCCAATGTGCGCAGTGCCCCCATTCAGGCTGGAGCGGCCTTGGTGGGGGCAGAGCAACCTCTGAAGCTTGGACCGTGAACGACTAAAATGATTTAAAGTAACAAAATTATTTCTGTGCTTGGGTTCCATTCTCGATTCGGGGTGCATTTCTGTGCGGTGTTAGTACGCCTCCTGCGGGTTGCGTTTCCTGGCATCGCTAAAATAAACAAACAGTAACCGGTGTTGGCCAAACGTCCCAATGCTGAAAATGTACCTTCAATTTACTCAATTGAGATTACACACAGATGCAGCAGCAGCATTGGGCCTCCTACTGCAAAAATTTGACAGGACCCACCTGAAAAAGAGTCTTGAGACTCGGTGAGGCTTTTTTGGAAAAAAAACACGAAGAAAAAATAATAATGCTAACATACCATTGGAACCTCCTTTGCCAGTAGCAAAATATGATCATTTATTTTTTTACCCTTTTATCTGGCAAGAAAACTGACACCTTTTTAAAAAAAATAATAAACGACTGCTGCTGGTTCTGGAACAAGTTCTGGCCACTGTCATTCTCTTCCCACGTCAGCAACATTTACCGGGAGCTTCTTGCTGTGAGCCACAATGCGGTCCCACTGCGCCAACCCCGCTGCCCAAAGAGGCCAAATGCGGTTGCGTTTTGTCCACGTTCGAGTTTAAGTTTGATTTTTTGTGTAAACCAGGTGAGGCCTCGGGAAACCAGGATGAGTCTCGATAATAAGAGTGAGCAGGTTCACCAAAATGACTTAAAATAAAAAGGTAAAGTACAGCAGTGAAGTAAACAACAATCGCAACAAAAATTTTAAGCAAATACACTCTGTCACGTAAGGAATTGAATATGTTGCACGGATATGAATCATCGTTAAATCAAAAATTGTATCGGGCTGATTACCCCCAGATAATTCGTATTACAATCTATAAAACTGTAGGACTAATATATAAACAAACAAGGAGACGTGTCTAAAGGTATTGCAAGTGAGCTTATTATAAAGAGTGGATAGTTTTAGCATGAGATTGTGATAAAGATATGAGGGACATTTTTGGAGTGATGGAATTCTAGGTATTTCGGGCACTAATAGCATTCATCTAAGAATAATAATCCTCACGGCTACGTGCGGTGCGTCTGTCTCTGTGTGGCCGGTGGGCAGGTGGAAGCGTGCCAGGAAGCCAACGAGAGCGTGATCCGGGAGACTACGCGCCGCCTCTACGGGGAATATTACGCCCAACTGACGCAGCAGGAGAACCAGCACCGGACACAGATGGCCGAATTTCTGGTGCAGTGTTTTAATATTTTGACGCTTTTTTTCGGTGCTTTTGATAACTTGAGAACCACGGTAAACTCTTGATTCACGCAACGGGGCACGTGCCGGCTGTTACGTTCGGTTGAGCCCGTGTTGGCTCAGATATTGCCCCTGTCAGCTGTTAATGTGGTCTTGGCCAACTGTGGCGTTGATATCTAAGGCAGATGAAGGCCCCCGGCAGGTCATCGGCATCAGATGTCATTGGCCCTCGTAACGTTCGCAACGTTCTGGTTATCCTCCCAGTCATCTAGATCTATCCGCAATGTCTTGGATGTGTGATCACAGATAAAGATTTGGCATATTTTTTCATAAAACACAACAAAACCTCCTCTAAGCCACAAATGTAACTGAGACTCTGCCCCCTATTGAGGTGCAGCCCTGCAATTGCGCGCGAATGCCACCGCTGGCAGAATGGTCGGTACCCACTCGATGAAGCGAGCCGCTCAAGAGGGTATTTTTGGCCTACACTTCCACTCTGGCCAGACATAATTATCCATTACTGAATGTCTAGAATAGTACTGCATTGGTATAGTTTCAGAGTTTGCATGGGGCTGCCGATTCCCCCAAACCCCCAATCCATCGATCTCTCTCCCGTGTCGCCGATGAGTCCTGCGCGGGAATTGTGTCCCACTCCTGAACCCCGGCGGCGGCGCCGCTGCTACTACGCAGGCCCGGCAGATGGAGTACGAAGCGCGACTCCAGCGGGCAGACGCGGTGCGTGAGGACACCGAGCGGACGCTGGCTGAGAGCCAGCGGAGATCCCGTGAGCTGGAGAGGCTGCTCTCTGGCCTGCAGGACGTACGTATGTCACCAAACCGCCGCTGTAGTGGTTAGGCACATTGCATTAAGAACACCAAATCTAGAACCAGCAAGCTGAGTTTGATGGCCAACCTCGGATAACTTGTGCGTGTGTGTATATTGAGCTTCTTTCGCACCACCGTACGTAGGCCACCACGCTAATCGGAGGTCCAGGTGAAGGACAAGAAAGTAAACACAAAAAGTATCGAAGTTATTTAAAAGTGCATAGCTCCAGTGGCTTCCAAATATTGTGGGGAAGAGCGTTCTAGACGGCCGCAGAAGCGCATATGAAAGGGTGTGATGCAGTGTTGGCTAGCCAGTGCAGGGACCTCGTGGTTACCGATGGTTTTCCACTGTTAGCCGTGTCAAGCCGGAACCAAACCGTGGCTCCGCTAACTTCGCAAACACCTTAATCTGGCTCAGAGCCAAGCAAGGCCAGGGTCCAGGCTAACGGTACTTCTCATTGCGTGCACGCGGTCAGTCGGCGCACTGTGGTGACGCAGCGTCACCACGTCACACGCACCCATCGCGACCCCGTTCACTGCCTGTGATGTCAGTGGCACGGATCGGCCTCTGCGGTGGAAAAAGAGCCTCGCACTTTCTGATCTTCGGCGGGCTGGCCTGGCACGGCCCTGGCGTGGCCCGGTTGCAGAGTGATTGTGTGCGTGTGTGCCTCCCCTAGGTCTACTCAGTCTCAATTGAGTACCCGGTGCAGTTTGTAAACATCGCCACTGGGGAGACAAAGGACGGCCGGGCGTGGTGTTGGCCACCCACCCCCTCGTGTGCCACAGTGCCGGCCTTCAGAAGTGCTCGCTAACAGCACTTGCTGCAAAACAGTCTGTCAACGCTATGCGGGGCGGGGGGAACCTTTGTTTGTGCGTGCGTGTGTACTCACAGGAGAGGGAGCTGTTTCTCAGGCGGCAGGAGGAGGTGGAGTCTGAGCTGTCATTCATCCAGGCACGGCCGAGTGGCAGCCAGGACGAGCAGAAGAGGTGAGCGCTCGTAACGTGGCAAGCGAGGTACAAGTTGCGGCAAATTCCTCCGATTGTCTGCTTCCGTGAAGCTTTCACCCCATTATCTCCAAATTCAAATTTGTCTGTATTTGACACACGTGTAAAACAACTCCCCGACTCTCGCTTGGCCAATAGCGGCAGCTTGCTCATTCCCACCGGTCGTAGCGTGAACGACGCGCGTCTCGGCCGCTTCCCGTCACGTCACTTTGCGATCGCGCCGGGGTATATCGCCGTTCCCCTCGAATGCCACATGGTCCTCACCTTCACCATTATCATGACGGCATGCTATGCGTTTTACTAACATTTATTTTGTTTTATTAACAGGCGTACGTTTAAAATTTGACCAAACAATTTCAGAAGTAGCCCTGTGAGGTCTGCTTCCGTGGGCTGTTCTCTAACACGAAGGGTCACGCTGGTGCCTAAGAGTTCCGAATGGATTCTCCGTCTCGTGACATGTCACCGGCAGCACACGCGGGATAAATCTAGGGGACAATGACAATGAAAATATTCAACTTAAAGAGCCCTAAATTGGGTCAAATGCAGATGTCCTTGAGGTCCTCTATCCCAATTGGCCTCCTGTCAAACTCCCTGCATGCTGATTGGCCAACCGTCAGAATGCAATGGCGCTGATTGGTCGACTCTCGCCAAACGGCTTTCCCACACGTTAGTCTAGAATCCGTGACAAAAGCCTCCCCACTTAAGGTCACAATGAGTGCCATCGTCCCATTGCTCGTCTTGAGATTGACTTTGCATTCGCTCTTCATTTAGTCCGGCCCTCTGATTGAACGCTCTTGCAGGTACGAGCAGCTGGAAGGCGAGGTGGCCTGCCTGCACGAAAAAATCCGACATCTCAACGGAATCATCATCTCCCAGGATCGTAAAATAAAGGGTGTGTTAGAAAAGGTGAGAGAAATACAGTCCTTGTATTTCACGTGTTTATATTTTTCCTTCTAAATATATATGGTAATCCATGAATAGTTAACACTTATAATAATACTGTATTAATAATATACAAAACACATTTTTAAAGTTTTATTTTTTAGGATGTGTTGCTGGCTTTGTTATGACTTGAATAAAACAAAAATCGATATATTTTAAATCGGTAACAACAGTTGGTATCTTAGACCTCTCACCTGGGTCAATAAACAAAATAAACCCGAACTTGAACCTAGAACCTTGATTATGAAAAATGCAAATCGTGTAACCCCATTATAGAGGTTTTTTTATGTTTAGATCACACCACCACCTGACACAGCCAGTCAGTAAGGCTTGCCACGTAAACAAAACACACCGTTACCTGTACAGCACACCGGTTGTGTGTCGGAGAGTAACCCCACCATATTTACTATTCAAGCACCGTGACGTTTCGCCAGTAATTACAACCAGCATCATCAGGCGACAGCCAGAACTGTGGCAAAATCTTCCTGCTGTTTCGGTCTTAAAATCGAGGTGGGGATAAATGTGATGTCGTCACTTGCGAGCCCGCCAGGTGCCAAGAGCAGGGGGTGGGGTTCAGTGTGACCCCGGGCGACGACGATGTCGCTTTGTCTTTGTGCGCATTGCGACAGGTGGAGCGCTTGCAGTGGGAGCTGCAGCAGAAGGACGCCGTGATTTCGAACCTTCAGCAGAAAGTGGCCACACTGGAGTCTGAGGTAAACATCGATTCACATAGGCATGCACATCGGTGAATCTGCATCCAAAAAACAAAACTTGCATACGCACCATCGTGTTTGTCCCCAGAAGAATTAAATTTGCTTGTTTGTGCTTTTTGTGTCTAGTTTGTTGTCCTCCTCCCCCCCCCCCACCGCACCTTTGATTAGCACTGTTGGCTACGTATGGCACGGATGAAGTTCAACGTACATACACACATTTGCAGTATGGAAGCCGACTGGTAGCTATTAGGGAATATTGCGTTTGAATTCTTGAAACGTGTCCATTTTTGCTCTGGCTTATGTCCCCAAGTATTTTGCCAACCCTTTGATCAATTTGGCTGCTTTTCAATCGGGGTAAGTCCCTAATAGCGACACGACTCTATGCTACGGGTTCGATTGCATTGGATCATCTTAGCAGAATAATTAATAGTGCCCCCCCTCCTCCCCACCCCGTTAAGGATGGATGGACAGGCCTTACCCAAAACAAACGCCTCAACCGTTTTTTGGAGGAAGTGTTAAAAATGCGTCCAAGCCAGCGGCACGCGAAATACAAATTTGTCCTCACAAACAAACAACGAGATCCGGCCCAGGGGGTATGTCCGATGTGGCGCTCGCTCGATGCCCCCCGATGACTCGTTGCAGAACGCCGCGCTGAAGAGGAGGCTGGAGGAGCAGAGCCGCGCGGTGAAGACATCTGAGAGGTCGACGCCCAACGTGTCCATCCCCTCCTACCAGCCCCACCTCCCAGCGTTGACGAGGTGAGGCTTGGCCGCACAGTCCGCCTCACACGACAATGGCAAACACTGTGTTGTGTTGCTCCTGTGGCAAATGCTGTGTTAGTAAGACGGGGCAAATGATCCGCAATCGTGGCTGCCGCCTGATGAGGCCGGTTGTAATTTTACCGGCGAAACATCATACTCCAATCGTAAATGTTGTGGGTTTGCTGAACTAGTAACGAATTGGCACGTTTTGTTGACGTGACAAATTTTACAAATTGGCTGTGTCGGGTGGTGGCGGGTTTAACGACACGTATATTTACGCGATCTAACCCAAATAAAAACTCTTATGGACGACGGTGGTAGTCGTCAAGCGGCACTGATGTGTGTGAGGTGAGAATCTACTCCAGGGAAGGCACGCAACATGCGAAACGGCATCGTGGCAAAGGCTCACTTGTGGTCTCGGAGAAAGACCCATTGTCTTGGATGTCTATGGATGTTTCCCGAAGAAAAATAAATCTCACCTGGTGTAGCAGCGAGCAGCGAATGCAATTAAATGTCTCGTGGCGCCGCGCAATTTGTGTCCGCAGGAGGCAGTGGAGTGTGGAGTCGTCGAGCGAGAACGGCGACTCGCCCCTGGCAAGGCTGAGAAAGCTGAGAGCCAGCAGGGCCCAGCCGGGACCAGGCAGCAAGGAGGCCGAGCGCAACGACTGACTGACGACGACGAAGCTCCTCCTCGTTCACACTTCACGAGCATCGCAGTCTCACCCTCCACCATGCCACAACCACCTCCCCCCGCGACAAACCGCGATGTGACACACTGTGGAGTTAGCGCGCAGAATCGAGCAACCACATGATCCAATCTGCGCCAGGGAAAAACCACGCGGCCAAGCCGAGCAGTAAAGTGCCCAGAGCCAGCAGCGGCAGCAGAGAGGGAAACCTTTAAGAGGGCAGCCGTCCAAGACAAGAGGTTGCTTCGTAGCAGCATGTGACGGGAGGGGATGGTCTGTGGTCGTGCCGCGGACTAGATGATTCTTTAGTCGATATAGGCTGGCTGCTTGACTGGCTATGTATATGGAGTGTCCATTGAGGTGTCATCCATTATCAAAGAAGTGTTATTAGGCAGCTTGAAGTCGGTAGACTACACATACACACGCTTGCTCGTATGCATATTTTATTGTACGAGTCTCAACCCTTCAAACCTTGACATGTGCGCTGTGGTGTTGGTGACGCACTTGGCTTTGAGGCTGGGAGAGATCCCCCATGTTTGTTGCCGATTGTGATTGTTCCCATTATTATTGTTCCCATTATTATTGTTCCCATTGTGATTGTTCCCATTGTTATTGTTCCAATTGTTATTGTTCTCATTGTGATTGTTTCCATTGTTATTGTTCCCATGTGATTGTTCAGATTGTTATTGTTCCAGTTGTGATTGTTCCCATTGTGAATGTTCCGATTGTTATTGTTCCTATTGTTATTGTTCCCATTGTGATTGTTCTCTTTGTAATGATTCCCTTTGTGATTGTTCCGACTACAATTACAATTGTTCCGACTACTATTGTTCTGACTACGATTGTTCCGAATGTTTCTCTCGTGTTGCTGTTGAAGATTACCCCAGCTTTTAATCTGACACCTGGTGGTAACAAATAAAACACGTGTGTAACAAATGATGCCAACATTTAAACTTCCTTCTCATTAATAATATTAGTAATACAATAAATAATTACTTAGTAATTTATTATACATTTATGGATGCTTTGTATAATATGCAAACGTTTTAATGGTCGATCAGATGATTCATGGTCCAGGTTTTCTTTCAAAGTGGCATTTGTTGCAACGGTAGCAGTGCCCTGATTAATATGAAGCCGACAGGTGACTCGAGCGAACAACTTTAGCTTCGTCAAACCCACTCACCAGCCCGCATCATTCAGACTGTACAGCAAAACCTCATGATCGGAACGCGAGGTGAGCACCAGCAGGGCACGTTGTGGACAAACGCATCTTTAAAACCCGACGAGTGCAGGTGGTCGGCAAGAGCACCCGCGTTACCTGCAGGCTCCGAGTAGGCCAGGGGGGCTCTAAACACACCGCCACACGACTCTCTCTCAGAGCGACCGCATCCGCGATGTGCGAGCGACGATGCAAAGCATCTGTCTGGCATTCCTCTAATTTCATTTCGAGCGTGAAATTTGTGGGAAGAGCTTCTCCAACGTACGAGCCTTTTGAAATCTTAGTTTTTTTGTCCTTTTATTTTATGCACCTTGAAGATGTATCCGAGATACAATATACGTGCGAATTTTTTAAAAGTCGGATATTAAGAGACTTTAGGCATTGTGTGTTGCTTCAATATACTATTTGTATATGATATGGTTTTCCCCAGATGCTGCCCAGCCTGCCTACTACTGGCTAAAACAGCAGTTTGTTTCAGGGAAAGTGCAATAGCTGATACCACAGAGCTATTCCGACAGAGTGGGAGGCTATTACAATGGTTTACTCATGGCCTGCCTTTTCCTGCCAGATTTAGAGGTCCAGAATTCAACAACCCCATCCATAAACATGGAGTTCCTGGAGCGCTCTTGAGATATACTAACCTCTTGATTTTTGTCTGGCTATGACAACTATAATACGAGATGATGGTTTTGTTATCATTGTTAATATGTTAAGGCTGGTCTTCGTTCCTAAGTAAGCCTGTGTTCGTTTTTAGCAGTGGCGATTCAATGCTCAACATTGAGAAGACAACACAGTTCACCTCGGGTTTTACAGCGTCACACCCAGGTGGACTAATTGATCATTGAAGCACAAAGGCAGTGTGTAGTGTGTAGTGATGCTGCACCGGTGCTGGTTTTCCCACCAGACCGGTTCTCCTGGGAAGCTACGTGGGCAGTGCGCACCCATCTGCTGAAGAAAGTGCTGAAAATTAAGGCACTGTTGGCGCATTACAGTTTGTCGGTGGTTCTCTTTGTGCATCTGTGGGTCTCTCTGTGAGTATATGGGCCTCTGTGTGAGTGTGGGTCTCTCCGTGAGTCTATGGGCCTCTGTGTGAGTATATGGGCCTCTGTGTGAGTGTAGATCTCTGTGGGTCTATGGGCCTCTGTGTGAGTCTGGATCTCAACGTGAGTCTATGGGCCTCTGTGTGAGTGTGGGTCTCTCTGTGGGTATATGGGCCTCTGTGTGAGGTTGGGTCTCTCTGTGAGTCTATGGGCCTCTCTGTGAGTCTATGGGCCTCTGTGTGAGTCTGGATCTCAACGTGAGTCTATGGGCCTCTGTGTGAGTGTGGGTCTCTCCGTGAGTCTATGGGCCTCTATGTGAGTGTGGGTCTCTCTGTGAGTCTATGGGCCTCTGTGTGAGTGTGGGTCTCTCTGTGGGTATATGGGCCTCTGTGTGAGGTTGGGTCTCTCTGTGAGTCTATGGGCCTCTCTGTGAGTCTATGGGCCTCTGTGTGAGTCTGGATCTCAACGTGAGTCTATGGGCCTCTGTGTGAGTGTGGGTCTCTCCGTGAGTCTATGGGCCTCTGTGTGAGTCTGGATCTCAACGTGAGTCTATGGGCCTCTGTGTGAGTATATGGGCCTCTGTGTGAGTGTAGATCTCTGTGGGTCTATGGGCCTCTGTGTGAGTCTGGATCTCAACGTGAGTCTATGGGCCTCTGTGTGAGTGTGGGTCTCTCTGTGGGTATATGGGCCTCTGTGTGAGGTTGGGTCTCTCTGTGAGTCTATGGGCCTCTCTGTGAGTCTATGGGCCTCTGTGTGAGTCTGGATCTCAACGTGAGTCTATGGGCCTCTGTGTGAGTGTGGGTCTCTCCGTGAGTCTATGGGCCTCTATGTGAGTGTGGGTCTCTCTGTGAGTCTATGGGTCTCTGTGTGAGTGTGGGTCTCTCTGTAAGTCTATGGGTCTCTGTGAGAAAGCACTGATGATGAAGCCATTTGCCAGCACATTCCACATACTCAAATGACTCCACCTGCACACTGTCATCCGCTTAACTTTGTATCATATTTTATGTGTGTATGTTATATCAAAAAATATGTGTGTGATGGTCATGGAGCATCTGAATGGGGTTTCAATCGCTTTTTAAATCTCACAAATTCTCATCATGGAGGAATGGTAATTCTGTCCAAATCGGGTGGAAATTCCAACAATCTGAGCATAAATGAGGAGGGGTTGCTGGTTTGCGTCTCCAGAGATTGGTTGGCTTGTACATATTCGAGGCTTTTAAATTGACTTCAGTAACCATCAAATTACATTAGCGGCAATAATCATAAATAGATCATCAACACGTTTGTTAACATTGTCTTAAAAAGAAAATGTGCATCATGGGTGACATTTTTGGCAGTGATACTTCATAGGGCATCACAATGTGCGGGGTCGTGGGGGTTATTTGACTTTACCACTGATTACTGTTGTGTTCCTTTAAATAGGTTTAACAGCTACAATTGTATTATTTGGTAATATTACACACTTGTTTGTTTTTCAAGATAAAGCATGTTTTTGGTCGAATTTGATTGTTAAAATAACAGTTTTTGTCGTGAAAACAGTTGTTTAATGCCAATCTCCAGCAAACGTTTTTTTGTATTTACCGTTTCCACGTTACTTCTTGAGTTGTAGGGGCAGATAGTACTGCATTTGTATAAAACCAACAGTTCTGGTTACGTTGAAACTCCGGTTTAAGTGCGTTTATTTTCAATTAAATGACACTTTCAATCGGCAATTTAATACAACTGCGCACCTGGTGATGATATCCTAAATAAAAGTTTCCTTTCATGTCCCAGGTCTCTTTCGCCTATGGCCCAGGTCACCACGGATTGATCCCGCATCCTCCTGCACCCCTCTAGCCATGAGTGCTCAGGGTCTCCTTCACATTTGTATCTGTGCAGGCACCTGCCATTGGGAATGTTCCCGTTCTTTTTGTTTTTTTCGGTAAAGTCACGTAGGTAAAAAATAAAATAAATGAAAAATGAAAACAACTCAATTAAATCACGACGTTTCAGGCGCAACACAAGAGATCTCTTAGACATCTCTTAGACATCTCTTAGACACACTTAAGCGGTTGTGCTTTCGCTACGTTGTCCCCACCTGAAGACGGATGTTTGTGTTCCGCCCGAAACGTCGTGATTTAATTTAGTTGTTTTCATTTTTAATTTATTAAATTTTTTACCGACGTGACTTTACCGAAAAAACCAAAGAGTATATGGATCCTTGCAGTCACGAAAACTTCAAATCTAGAATGTCCCCGTTATGAAATCGTCATCGTTTATCATATTGTTATTTCAGATGTACTAAAATCATTTAAAAAACATAATTATTTAAATGTTAACTTCATAGTAATTATTAAAATGTATTAAATATATATAAAGTAAAAAACGAAGAGGAATTTGAACCCTCGACTCCATTCTTGGCAGCCCCACGTGCTCCCCGCTCAGCAATGGTGGTGACGTCACAGGACGCCACGTGGTGTAGTGACTTTCTCTGGTGGTATCTGATTTGTGTAAAAGTCTGACAACTTTTTTTTAAACCGATTCATATTGAGCGTGACGTTTGAAGTAACGTCAATCTTTAAAAATTTGAACATTTTACTAAAAGTGTACGGCCGGCATTCGAACCTATGTCTCCTGCTTCAGAGGCAGCCTCGACACCACGAGGGCCTGGTGGAAGCCGCAAACCGTTCTGGTTTTGAAATCGTCGTTTTTATTATTTATCAATAAAATACCCACGTGAAACACGCACCCTTGGACGATTGTTCTCCGTGCATAAACAACGCCGAACGTAAATCTGTAGTTACTCGAGACTGCGGACTTGAACCCGGCAACACTAAAATTGTTCTTAACTAATTTTCACATTGGAGGGGCACTTTCGCCAAAAAGACATCATCAGCGTGAGGGCCGCCACACATTTGAAACCCATTGGGGGTTTTAATTCTAGATTTGAAGCTTTCGTGACTGCAAGGATTCATATTGTTAGGTTTTTTCGGTAAAGTCACGTAGGTAAAACATTAAAATTAATAAAAGTAAAATAAAATAAAAAATCACGACGTTTCGGAGGCGTGTGTTGCCTCCGAAACGTCGTGATTTTATTTTACTTTTATTAATTTTAATGTTTTACCTACGTGACTTTACCGAAAAAAAATCTAAGAACATTGGGGGTTTGGCAGCAGCCAGTTGGCCCGTGGGCCTTGCAATGAAGAACACTGTGCAAGTGTATGAAGTGTCTTTTACGTGCAGACACTTTCAAATGACTCCCACAGCGGCTTGCAACCGTTGGAAGTGCGTTAAAACTTTGACGACGCTTGGAGTTTGGAACAAAGCTGCTTCAAGGCAATAACTGGTACAGAGGTGCCTCTCGTTCCAAAAGTTATCAGCTGCCTTCCAAGAGTGGTTCGGTATGTATTTAAAGCTAGGATAGTGGACATTAAGGAATGTTACGTTTTGAATTAGAAAAGTTAGTGCGTGCGCTTGGGCAGGACACGTCGCCGATTTTTTTATTATTTTTTTACCAAAGAGAGTTTCATGAAGTAATTTCAGGTCACCTTGACCCCTGGATCTGGGCAGAGTTGGCATGCCAGTCATGGGCGTTGTTTGACCACACTTCACCGTGCCGGTCAGTGCAGGTTCAAAGGGGGAAGGACCCAGGACTGATTAGGATTTCTCTCCCCACTGTCATGAGGTGTGGCCAGGAATCGAACTCCGGGGTTCGTAGTGCAGCGTGCTGACTATTGCGCCATCAGATGACCCCCCTGTAACGATTTATAATAAAATAAACTACAAATTGTTACATCTTATGAAGTGTTTTATTCAACAATTGACAATACAAATGTGCACTTATTTTTTAAAATCTAATAATATTCGATATGCATGCTATAAGAGGTGCCATACATTTGTCATGCTCGTGTTTCTGTAAATAAACGACGATGCATAATAATTTCTCAAATTGCAAATACAAATCACCAATTATAATCTTACGTAGAAACCCTTAGTATGTAACCCAATCGACTACTCTTGGCACGCACACACACGCATGCTGTTATCGGCCAAAAATTTACGGAAGTTTTAAACAAGGCATTGTTAATACTTGTACTCCTTAGCAACTGCACGCATAGAGCGACATGACAATGTATGGCACACAAGGGCGCTAATGTAAATATTGGAATTTTGCATCACTTATTATTTTCCATGTCCATTATTGCCAACATCTGCAAAAAAATATTTAGTACGTTTTTTTTTAAGTAGCAAACTTTCAACACTCAACATGAACCATCCCAAAAGCAGACAACGATTGTATATTCACCCAAAGTTTTAACCACTTTTTTACGAGCAACCAGCATTTGGTTTTGTAAATTGCCTGCATATTAAGACTTTCAGCTACGGATTCTCCAACATTACCTTATTTTTGCTACTGCTGCAAAGCTATCTGGTCCTATTTAATAATGTAGCAGTCACGTTGCACCGCCGCTGAAAGCCTAAGCGCATAGTGGAGAGATGGAAAAGCCAGCATTTCATTAAAGACGCTTGAGAACTGAAACGTTTAAGATCAAAGGTGAAGGTGGAGCTCTGCAAGCTGCTTTCTAATCAAACAAGATTAGTGGATATACAACAATTGTAAAAGTTGCATCTGCACCGGCGTGTACGCGCGTACATCCAGCGGGCTCTGGGGGGGGGGGGGGTTCCCCATCTGCCTGTGTGCGTCTTGCGCAAGCACCACCACAGACGGTGGGAGAAAACATGTTTGGAAAGGGGGGGGAGTGCTGAAATAAATTTGTGGGGGTGGATTTTTTGTTTAAAGTATATACTACAAAATTATTGGTAAGTGAAATATGTGTGTATGTGAATATCAATCTCTGAAACAAAAGAGAACGCAAGGCGATGGACTTGACATCAGTGTTATGTTTGTGTATTTATGTTGAACTTCTTTCGCGCCGTACGTAGCCAACCGTGCTAATTGGAAGTACGGGGGGGGACAACAGCAGCCGTGACCTTGCGCCGCTCTCGCCGGCTCTAGCTCGAAGGAGTTTTCCTGCAGAGGCTGCGTTTGAATGATGCGAGCGAATAAACTGGCACAACGCGGTATGTGGGGTGAGGCGGGGCGGAGGGCCTAAGTCCTGGTTTAGCCGTAGCTACCCGCGGTACCCTTGGGCACCACCAACAACCACAATGGGGCCGCGCTCTCTCGGCGTTCGGCACGCGGTCGCTCTTAGCGGCTGTTCGCCATGTGCACGCGCACAAAGGAGTCGAGGCGCTGGATCCGTTCCATCAGCAGGTCGCTCTCCCGCTCGCAGTGGTCGAATAAGAAATCCAGCGGGGAAACGTCCCAGTCCAGCTCCTGCGGAAGAGGACGGCACATTTAGTCACCGTACGGGACGTGGCGCATGCACGTCGGTGGGTGGGTGGGCGCGTGGGTGGGTGGGCAGGTGCGTGGGTAGGTGCGTGCGTGTAAGTGGGGTTGGCTTGTGGGGCCAGGAACAAATACAGGCACGTCCAAAAAAATGAAAGCTCATTCCCAGTGTTATGTTCGTTTGATGACATCAAGCCCTTGGTAACAAGCCAAACCACTTGGACTCTTTTGGGGGCCTGACAAGTGGGGGACGACACACCTACATTCGTCGCGAGAACAGCCACTACCTCGACCATACCTCCTTGCAGATCACGAGGACGGGCTCCGTGTGGTCAGTTTGAACAGATTTGCTGGAGGAGAGGGCATCGCCGTCCACCTCCAGGGCTTGCTCACTTCCCATCCTCACGTCCGGCGCCACGCTCAGCTCCGCGATGGGCTCCGCGATGGCCTCCTCCGTGAAGGGCAGGCCGGGCAGGCTGGGCAGGCCGGGCTGGCTGTGCAGGCCGGGCAGGCTGGGTTGGCTCGGAACGGCGGCGGTGGCATCTGGGAGAGGTGGAACGACGGGCGTCGCATGCCCGCTGTTGCTCTCTACGCCATCCCACCTGGGCAGAGAGCGGCACAGCGTTGACAAGTGCCCCCAGGGTCAACTGACAAGAGACCAAGATACCCCGTATAGCCTTCACATACTGTTGGGGCAAGTGCTGTTAGCGAGCACCTATGAAGGTCGGCACTGTGGCACACGAGGGGGTGGGTGGCCAACACCACGCCCGGCCGCCTTTGGCTCCCTAGTGGCAATATTTACACACCGCACGAGATACTCATTTGAGGCTGAGTCGACCTAGGGGAGGCCCAGGACCAGTTCAGGATGACGACAATGACGATGATAATGACGATGATAATGACGACGATGATGACGATGCGGGATGCACAGAGTATTGGACCGTCTGGCCCTAAACAACAAGTCCCTCTGCTTTTGACAATCGGCGTGTGCGTAGTTAAAGCACGAACATATTATATGAGGTGGGAGGGGGAATAAACAACAAACCCTGTGGCCAGTTTGCTCTTTTCCAGCTCACGCTCAGACTCCAGAAACTCCACCAGAAACTTCATCTCGTGGATCTGAGGAGCAGAAACTCGTGTTACATTTGCCTAAGTAAAGCGACTCCTCTGCTTACGAACATTCGACTTACGAACATTTAGAGATACGAACAAACCTGTCCGTATGCCCAGCTGCCTGTTCAGACCGAGAGTCGTAAGTTCAACCGTCACGCAACAGATGGCGGTGGTGGCATCTACATCTGCAGAACGTGAAGAACCAGTGGCATCTACATCTACAGGAGATTATACAACTTTTAAAGCCATTCCCCGTGTTTACGATATATGTTTGGAGTAAAGTTGGACTTACGAACAAATCGACTTACGAACAGATCTCTGGAACCGAACTCATTCGTAGTTAGAGGAGTCCCTATAAATTCTAATCTCTTAAGTTCGGAATTATTCAGTGTATAATTTTTTTTTACATTTATAAAATAAAATGCATTGCATGCATACGAGAGTGTTCTTGCCTATGTTATTAAATTATTTTGTATTATAGTCTATCTTATTCCTGATAGACCCTGATTATCCAAAGTGTTGACTTTCCCTATCTTTTAGCAAAATTACTGGCACGAGGTTCAACTGAGTTCTCCTTAACATCAATTGTGATGAATAGCAAAGGGAATGAATCATTATATCGACTGCATGTCAGGAAGTCCACATACCCACTTTGCATTACTATTTTGCAGAGTGATGCTACCCGCACAGCCATATATTTAATCAGTCATCGCCCATTTGAATCCGTGGCCTTTCAGTGGTAGTACATCGCTGTGTTCGGCATGCTGATGAATCCCAATCACGGCAAAACTAATTTACGTCTCCAATAACACAAACTGGCTGCCTTTTGAAAGGACTGTCAGCCACAGCATTGAACTGTATCAGTGAGTAAAAAAGCCATGCTGATATCATTTACAAAATACCAGATTACAGCTGCGCACTGACACGTCACAGTAACAACAATGTAATATAATCCCTAATTTCAATTGTGACATTGCATCCGTCACGTTCGAGCGTTGTCTGACCTCATACTTCAGCTGCGAGATCTCCGTCGTCAGTTGATGATTTGTCATCTTCTCCTCGCCGAGTTTCGACCTCATCCCCTCCATCTGGAGCAAGAAGCCGGACACACCAAAAGAACCGTGGGTTCACATTCACACACGTGGACTCTCTCCTACCAGCACGACCAAGCCACCGCACATCAGGGCTAGTGTCCTCTCGCCCTGATGTCATGAAGGTGGTCAAGATGGAGAGTATATTCCATTGGCTGTGTGGTGGCAAGGCCCCTAAGATCTCCCGTGGGGTCAGTGGATGAAACAAGCCTCTATTCGCGAACGACTAATGCCCACCTTTCACCGCACGCAATTTTACTTTTAATGCCTACCAGACGTTCTGGTTTGGCCACCACGATAGCCCTGTTTATTTAACCGCCTGTCCCAGTTGCCACAAAGCATCTTTTAGAATCAGGATTTTGTCCTGGTTTAACATTTTCTGGCCTCGTGCTCAACTCACGTTATGGGCAAAGGTGGGGTGTGGCGGGGGGGGCGCTATCCAAGCAGTGGGTGGGGTTGGCAGAAGAGTGGGTGGGGTCTTATGAGCAGCAGCGGATGGGGGCCACCTTCGGGAAGTTGGGCGGGGCTAGTAGCGATTTTGTGGGCGTGGTTATGTAAAAGTGGGCGGGGATGACATCTCGTCGCGCGCTCTCGGTTGGGCCTCCCAGCAATTCGGTAGCTTTTATTGATTTGCACGCTGCTCGTGGCCTACCTGGGCCACCAGGTCTCGGATCTTCTTTTGGTGCGAGGACAGCATGTCGTTGAGAAGGTTGATTCGCTTCTCCAGGAGAGCTCTGTCCCAGCCAGGTCCTCTGCAATTCAATTCATGTTAGCCGCAGAGGGCCCTTTCCCCGTTGACGATGGTGCGTTTGAATCGTAACTACTTTGTGTAAGGGACACCGATGAGGCGCTCTCCACAAGTGATAAACAAAGTGACCGGAGGGCCGAAGGATGAGTTACGAGCGCGGGATACACGCGCCAGGTCGTGGGGTCGGGCCGGCAGCACGCAAGGTCAGGAGCCCTGATTGGCCACTCGATGCTCAGTTCAAAAACGTTGACCTTTGTAGCACTGAAATCGTCACACTTAAATGTGAATATTGGTAGGTACTGAACAGTAAGTATAGCTGATGAGTAACAGTAGCCCGAATTATTATTTGCGCAGGAATTGTGGTGTTTATTTGACGAGTCGTTACAATATTTACCTTATAACTCCCTCTGAGTTTATTTGAGTGACAGTCTGCAGGTCTGTTTCCAGAGCTTCACACTCCTTGGCCGATTCCCTCAGCTCCTGAGAATGAAAAAAAGAATCCAAAGAAGTCCAACACCAGTCTGACACCGCCAGCCGTCAGCCCATCCCATCCGATCCAAGCTCAAGTTCATTGGGAGCTTGGACCATTCCTACTGACTAGTGTGAAATGTGTTTTCGGTGGTTGTGTACACAGCATGAGGTGCGCCTTGATACAAACTCGCAGCAGTAATTAAACCTCTGTTCTGTTTAGTTTTCTTTTTTACAACTTAGCTTTGCAAACTAGGCTTGCGGTTTGGGGATATCAAGCTGCGGGACATCTGCAGTTGTTGTCTAATGGCTGGTCTTTTAATGACCATAAGAGCATAACATTGTCACCACCACCTCAGGCTCATTCGTGGAGATTGGCTCCAACCAATTCTCAACGTTCTTTAAACATGACTTGGAGGGATGGAATTATGTTTTTTAATAACGAACTTTTTTACGAACTAAGTATTTGTTTTATAACTTGTTTTGAAACTGAATGTCCAAAATCGAGAGAGTGGAAGGTTCACACTGGCAGAGCTCGACTGACAAGGCCAAGGGAACGAGTCGACCCATTGTCTCAGTCCACCATGAGCTCTGCTGGCAGAGTCCGGCTCCGAGAGATTTGACTTCAGGCTGTGTTTGAACGTGAGCTGGTAAATATAGATTTGAGGTGGCCAATCCCTGTTTGCCCCGACACCATCGTGGCCGATGGCAATTGATGGGTAATGTGCGTTGAGGTACACGGTTAAAATGTAAAATATATATATGATGATGATGATTGACGAGGCTAATGATGATGATGATAATGTACGTGGAACTTCTTTCGTGCTGTACGTAGCTAACCGTGCTAATTGGAGGTGCTGAAAATTATCACGAGGCTAAATTCACGTAGTTAAAAAATGAAATAAAAATAAATGAAAAAACAACTAAATAAAATCACGACTTTCGGAGGCAACACAAGCTTCTGTCTTCAGGTGGAACCGTCACAGCAAAATTACTGCATCAATTATTTTGCTGTGACGGTTCCACCTGAAGACGGAAGCTTGTGTTGCCTCCGAAACAATTAGTTGTTTTTTCATTTATTTTATTTTATTTTTTACCTACATGACTTTACCGAAAAAACCAACGAGTATGAATCCTTGCAGTCAGAAAAACTTCAAATCTAGAATCATGAGGCTGATAATGAATTTGAGGATGATCTACGACTACGACGATGATGATGATGAAGAGGACGATGTTGACGATGATGGCAAGCCGCACCCCGCTGATCTCCAGGATCTCGCTGCTCATCCTCTGAGCCTCGGCCTGCGCTGCGTCAAGCCTGTTCCGCATGTCGCTGCCGCGCTCCTTGGTGGTTTCGATCTCCTTTTCGATTCCGATCACCTCCACCTGAACAACACGAGCACCGGTTCCATGAGAATTCTGCAATTATAGTGAAAAACAACAACAACACAAGTGCACCTGTCAGGTTTGAGTGACAGCCTCGGTTGACCGATGCATTGAGATACGGCTGAAAATGCTGCAGGGTTTGAGTCACTCAACTCTAATATGTATGTGTGTTGAACTTCTTTCGCACCGTACGTGGCCAACTATGCTCATCGGAGGTGCAGGGGAAGGACAACAAACTAAACACATAGATAACAAACTGTGCTGTCAGTGTCACGGCCCATTTTCAAAATGTGAAATTAAATATTCAGATATAGATAATCTTGGAAAATACACATTGCATATCAATGAATGATCACAGTTTTTTTAAACACTTGTTATGGACAAACACTTTATCTTCCATGTTCCCGTTGTTTTTCAATGTGCTGAATAAGGCCTATCACCTAAATTGTTGGCTTGCTACGCATGCTTCAGTTGTACAGCAGTGTGAATCACAATGTATTTTGAGACTCTGCTTCTTTGACCGTTTGGCTGGGGCAGAGTGCGTCAGTCACAAATCAGATGGTCACGGACTAAAATCCCAATTGAGGGTTAACTTGACTCTGTTACCCACACTATCCGAACAATCCGAACCCCGAGCGGTTCGGCCTAGCTTGTCTGTATGTGTGTTGAACTTATTTTGTGCTAATCGGAGGTGCGGGCTAGCTGCAAGGCAGTCTCACCTTGATCTGCTGCAGCCGGGCCAAGGCTTGGTCGTAGCTCCTCTGCAGGCACTCACACTCCAGCCTCTGGGCGACGCTGCTCCGCGAGGCGGTCATCAGCGCAGCCTGCACGGCAACCACCGACGGCGCGTCGACACCGCATCGACACCGCATGAATACCACATCGACACCACATCAACACCACATCGACACCACATGAATACCGCATCAACACCACATCGACACCACATCGACACCACATGAATACCGCATCAACACCACATCGACACCACATCGACACCACATGAATACCGCATCGACACCACATCGACACCACATGAATACCACATCGACACCACATCGACACCACATCGACACCACATGAATACCACATCGACACCACATCGACACCACATCGACACCACATGAATACCACATCGACACCACATCGACACCACATCGACACCACATGAATACCACATCGACACCACATGAATACCACATCGACACCACATGAATACCACATCGACACCACATCGACACCACATCGACACCACATGAATACCACATCGACACCACATCGACACCACATCAACACCACATGAATACCACATCGACACCACATCGACACCACATCAACACCACATCAACACCACATCGACACCACATGAATACCACATCGACACCACATCGACACCACATCAACACCACATGAATACCACATCGACACCACATCGACACCACATCAACACCACATGAATACCACATCGACACCACATCGACACCACATGAATACCACATCGACACCACATCGACACCACATCAACACCACATGAATACCACATCGACACCACATCGACACCACATCAACACCACATGAATACCACATCGACACCACATCGACACCACATCAACACCACATGAATACCACATCGACACCACATCGACACCACATCAACACCACATGAATACCACATCGACACCACATCGACACCACATCAACACCACATGAATACCACATCGACACCACATCGACACCACATCAACACCACATGAATACCACATCGACACCACATCGACACCACATCAACACCACATGAATACCACATCGACACCACATCGACACCGCATCAACACCGCATGAATACCACATCGACACCGCATCAACACCGCATGAATACCGCATTGACACTGCATCAACACCGCATGAATACCACATCGACACCACATCGACACCGCATCAACACCACATGAATACCACATCGACACCACATCGACACCGCATCAACACCACATGAATACCACATCGACACCGCATCAACACCGCATGAATACCGCATTGACACTGCATCAACACCGCATGAATACCGCATCAACACCGCATGAATACCACATCGACACCACATAGACACCACATCAACACCACATGAATACCGCATCGACACCGCATCAATACTACGTCGACACCGCATAAAGACCGCATGAACACCGACTCCACGGCCGTTTCCCCAGCATCGCCCCCCCCCCCTCCGGCCGTGCTACCAGCGTCGCGTCGTCGGGCTGCGGCGTCGAGCTGGCCACGTGCGGCGTCACGGGCAGGGGGGCCCGGCGTCGGTGACCCCACTCGCGCTCGACCCTCGTGGGGCACGACGAGGCTGCCGTTGTGAGGGAGCCTCCATCGGTGCCTCTGGGGAGCTTCTTCAGCTACGGGGGCTGCGCGTGGACGGCTCGTAGCTGGAGGGAGGCGTCGCTCATCTGGCCACGGGCCGCGGCTACCGTCGCCGGGCAGCCGAGTTGCAACGCCGCGGCCCTTCATATGAAGCGCGGCCCTTCATATTCAGAGACTGGCCCGTGGAATTGGATACCAAAGAACTACCCCTGAGATCCCTTTCTAGTGACCCTCATGTGAATGCGAGCAGTCAAACATTGCACACTACACACAGTCACTTGATGGCCATAGCCATCGCTTATCCAATCCAATGGGCACATTACCAATTGAAATGGGATGTATTCAATTAAAGCGTTGCAAACCCCCACTCTATCTGATCCTGAGCTCCACGCTATACTCCCCATGTCTTAAATCCACCGTGAGCCTGAATTCCAGTCCACGTGACCCCAGGACAACCTTAGCGCGCCCCACGTCAGGTGACAGGTACCTGTGCGTGCAGGTAGGACTCCAGCAGCTTGGCAATGGAGTGCGTGTAGTGCTCTATCAGCTCCGTGCCAAGCTGCGGCAAGGGCACGCCCGTGATGGCTTCCTTTCATCCGGGACAGACGAAACACAGCGCGTGTGCGCGTGAGGCTTCGGCAAAGAGAGCGACGGGCGGCAGTGGCCGGCAACGCAGAGGAGTTCGCGACGGCGTGGCCGTTGCTCGTTACCTTTCCGCTGGCCATGCCCGCAGCGTTCTGGCGAGTGGCTTTCAAGTGACGCTTTATCGTTTTGCTCAGGTTCTCCAAGTAACTTTTAACCTGATGAGGATACCACGAATGCCCACACACACACACACCAGAGGCTGAGGTTGTTGTTGGGTTTTTTTTCTTTCAAAAACACTTCACAAGTCAAGACACAAAACTAATTTGTCTACTAGCAGTGCGAGAGGTGGGAATTGGAATAAGGTGAAAGGTGAAGTTTAAGGAGCGAGCTACCTCCGAACATGTTTCTTTCTCCTCCACGATCAGCTCTCCCAGTTCACAGTCTCCTCCACTTGCCTCGACCAACCTACGGGGTTCAGAAGTCATCGGAACGTTCAGCGTCAGTCATTGCGAAATGATGTTAATCTCTGCACTGATATGGTCGTATTATTACTTTTTTACTCCGTTCATTTTGGTGCGATTGCCTAAGAATTTTTTGTTTACTGGTAGTAGGGTTTTCATTCGCTTGGTAGTGACTGTATATGGGATTTAGTGCTTTAATATAATTAATGTACAGCGTTGTGTGATGCTATCTTCTTTTTCTTTCGTATTGCATGAAAGCAACAGTTTGTATCGATGATGTCCTAGTTGAATGTTAAGGTCCTTCAACCAATCCAAGGCGGCAGTAGACGCTGAGTGGATTCCAGCAATGCCGCCAAGGTGTGAATGGGTGGCGCACTCATCGGTGATGCATTGGATGGTTTGGGCTTTACCACAGTCGTAGGCTGGTGAGTCTTGAATTGTACATTCATGGAACAACGTGTACGCACATCCACAGTGTGGACTACAGCCGTCAAGAGAGAGATCATCATCATGGCTTGGCTTCGCGAACGAAGATCTAGGAAGGACATCCACGTCTTCTGCAGGCACGCTGGTGGCTGAAGAGGCCTATGCGGGACAAGCAGGTCCTGCCACAACAGCTGCAAGTATAGGTCTCATCTGGGATGGGTGCTGAGGGATCATGGTTCTTCCTCCTTCTCCTTCTGTCCTCCATACGGGCCCTGCGGGTATCTTCGAAGAAGGAGGTGGCCTGGTGGACTGTGTGCCGCCAGGAGTTGCGATCAGCTAAGAGAGATAATCACGGCACATCCACGGTCGGGTCCTCAACGATGTTTTTGTTTGCCACGATTGTAGCCGCCCACCCTTCAGACCAGGGGTGAGGAACGCGGGCCGTATGAGGCCCGCGAAATCATTTAATGTGGCCCTGCCAAGGCAACCGCAGGCGGGACTCGAAATTCAATAAATCTAGTAGCAAACCTGGAAAAGCAGTTGCGAGTAGCAAACATCATCAATACCAGCTAACATCACGCGCCTTACCAAAGAGAAGCAGTTCCAGCCATCACACTAGGGGTAGTTAATTAAATGTTTGGCCAAATATAACGGGCTAATTTTAAAGTTGATAATTTTGTATGGCCCGCGAATGATGTTATAAATATCCAAATGGCCCTTGGCAGACAAAAAGGTTCCCCACCCCTGCTTCAGACATGTGCCGGTGGCTTTATTGTCGGCTGCCAGAGCCGAGGCGCTTATCCAGAGAGGCTTCCTGAATGTAAGCCTCGGGCGCGTGGGGTGCCATTAGCACGACCGACGCCGCTGCACGTGTATCAAACGCCTTTACCCAGGCTGCTGCAGGCCCACACCGGTGCCCTCCTCTAGTCCCTGGCCCAGCGACGGGATGTGTCTGTCCAGAGTGAGGACGAGCTCCTCCAAGCAGCCAACCACCTTCCACAGCCTCGCACACTCCTCCTGTCCACACGGAGGTCGCACAGAATTAGGTTGCCCTCCGTGCAAAATCAGTTAAACAAAAAAGGTGAATGTGCAGCCCTGCAATTGCTTCCTAATGCCACTGCTGGTAGAAAGGCCCTCCACTACCGGGGGGTACTGTACCCCATCCCGTGTTGGTAATAAGGGGTTGTCTTACCGGCTAGGAGATGGTAACTACCTCGCCTGGTATACAGGAGGTCGTGGGTTTCGATCCCCGTGGATTTTTCTCCGGGTCTTCCAGTTTTTTCCCTCCCATTTAGAATCAACGTCACGCGTTTAGACTATTTGTCTGCTGTAGATTTCCACACGACAAGCAACTTTGTTGACCGATCATTTGTGGCCAGGTCGTTTCTGCAAATGAGCTACACAGCTCAGCGGGTCTTACCTGGTAAAATAAAAAACATAGTTCAATAGTTCAAATCGTAGTTCCCTTTACCAAGCTGGTCAGGTCAGATTGGTGATGGGATGGATGCAGAGCTTGAGTCGTGTTAGCGATGACGGGGAATTGAAACGAGGTGACAGGGTTCAGAGTGGAGTGCGCTGGCCATTTCACTAGAGCACCTCCCCCACGTATTTGTATTGGACATCTAAATCTATGCTTGCATCGCGGTGACACATTTATCATGTTAATCGTAAATTTAAAGACAAAAATATTGCATTTATTTGGAAACGCATTCTACATACCTCATCTGGAAAGTGTAAGGCTTGTCCAACTAATCTATTTCCTCCGTGTTCTTCCACAGAACTCACGTTCCTCAGATCCATCACTTCGCTCGGTCCACGTTGCACTTGCCAACTCGTGCGATCCTTGAACCTCCCAGCATCCTCAATCTCCAAATCAACTTCCGATCTCAAGTCTCTATTTTGTCTTCTCACATCCTCTTGCATCTCTAACTCAACTTGCATTCTGGACATTCCAAAGCTTTTCAATGCACCGCTGTCCCGTTGGTCTGCGCTCAACTTGTGAAACATTTGTAAATGCATATCTTCTGCGTCTCTCCTGAACTCACTCTCTTCCATACATGACACGTACGTTTGCCTTTCACACTTCCCTGAACGTGGCGTTTTCAGCAGCAGTCTGTCGGCTGCGTCCGAATAAACTGTGGAAACGCTTGACTTTAATTCGCCACCTTTTAGCGATTTTCCCATTTGCGTTGACTCGTCCGTAAAAGCTGAACTCATCGAAGCGGCTACATCACCGAGCCACATCGGCTGCGACCGGTGCAGCGCGTGGCTACAATCCGGCCCCGCACTCTCAGCCTCGTTCACAGCGACTGCGGCCTCCGTTTGGAAGTCTGCTCGGTCTCGCGACGACGCTTTGCTCGCAGTCAACTGAGCCTCAGCACGATATTCTCGTGACACCGATAACCGACCGCGTTGCTCTTTTACGACTTGAGCCGCCAGCCTTGGCGACGGCTCGGAGCTGGCCCCTGCATCCCGCTGCGGCCCTCTCTCCGTTTGCTGTCTCGCGCTCCGCTGATGTTCCGCGTGACCTTGCTTCGTCCGGGCGCCTGCTTCCGCTTTTCCCGACTCAAATATTTTGGGAGACAGGCCGCGTTCACGAGGCACCTTCAATTGCTCCTTAGTGCCATGCTGCAAATATTCTCGGCCACATTGTGGTGCCTTTTTTGTGGATGTTTGAATTGTTTTAACCGTTGCTTCATCCGATCCCTGTATCAGGAGCAGTCCCCCTTTCCACGTCAGTCGCTCTGCTCCACTCTGCTCCCAACGCTCCGTCGCGCTGTCTTCGGCAAGGAAATCATCGGCAGACAGATACGGCTCATCGTCGTGGGAGTCCATGCTCTCTCTGGCTTCTTCGATATCGTTGCCGGAGTTTCCCTTTGTGTACCACTGGCACGGCTGTCTGCCTAATGCTCGCGGCAGTCTTTGCTTGTTTCCATTTCGCCCATCCTGCAAAACAATTCGCCTCATTAAAACTAAATACAGGTGCAGCCCTATCGTTGCTTGGTCACACAACTGCTGAAGGACCTAAACTAGTGGGAGCTTTTCCACGCTGACTTGATGCCTAGGAAGAGGTGGGAGCGCTCAATCTTTGTCTGACCACACACGACCTACCCATCGACTGTCACGAAAACCATCTCCACGGCTTCGTGGACAGAGGTGAGGACATTTAGAAAACCTAACCCCCCACCGTGTCAACTGCCGTGCCGAGAGATCGAACCGGTGATATGTGGGTTGCAAGTCCAGTGTGCTCACCATCACACCATGGTAGCATCTCTACCTTTTTGAAAGTTTGTGTCTTACTACCGTACATCCATATTCTGTCAAAAGGTAGCTCAACAATTGTGTATCGACATTGCGGTTTGCCTTGACAGCAGAGGAGTGATTTAGACTCTGAGATTAGAATAATTTTCTAACTATTTAATGAAGGAATATACTGTAATGCTATAAAATTGAGTTTGGAAAAAGCAGTGGTGCAGTGGTTATTGGACTGCACTATGAACCCGGTAACCTGAGTTCGATACCTGGCCACAGCTAACCAGCAGTGAGTGACATCGCGAACTTATCCTTCACCAGCCAGCACTGACCAGCAGCGTGGTGAAGTATGGTCAAACGACCCCCACGACCGACCCGGAGAGGGGAGGCCTTCATCCAGCAGTGCATTAATGACCGCAAAATCTATTTATTAAATCCTCAAATAACATTAAAATAATTTTTTTACGTTCCTCCCAAATTTATATTAATCCTGCCACAGCTCATACACACACACATATATTCACATTGTCAGAAGTATCTCACGCTTAATGAACTACATCAAGTGTTTGTTGTTACTCAACTTGTCGAGGACTCACCACATGCGAGAAACGAGCCTCCTGGACACCACTACTGCCCACAAGCGCCTCCTCTCCCCTCCCGCGAGCAACCCCCGGTACGGTCTGCGTCGCGACAGACGCAGACGGCCTTTCGTCCGTGCACTCCTCGTTATCCGAAGACTCGCTCTTCGTGCCGTACGCATCTAGCTCGGGGTAAGTCTGCGTGGATGCAGACAAGCTTGTTCTGCTGCCACGCACATCGCCGGGATGCCTCTGGATCGCTGCTGTTGCTGCTGATGATGATGTCGATTTTGATGGAGCGCTATTGCCTAGGGTCCTCCTTAGTTTGGTTCTACCTTCGTGTTCATCCTTATGTCTCCCCTTCAAAATAGAATGACGTTGAAATGAATTAACTGCCGTTTTATATCTCGCCGCAGAGTTTACGGGTGACGTTTCAAAAATAAAATGTATCCACATTGCGTTAACGATGAATAGGGAAAAAATGCTTCTGTGTGTAATATTAACTAACCAATGGATTAAAAGGTTAGGAATAGGCTGTTTATGAATCGTAATTAATCTGTTCGTGTTTATTAGTGTATAATCGGTGTTTATTTTACGTACAAAGCACACGGATTCTTTGTGTTTCGCTCTTATGTTGCGGTACATTACTAGATTATAATTATTAGTAGTATTAGTATTATCACCTCTCGTTTTTGAATTCCTCTGTGCAGTGCCTCAAGACACTTTGTATTGATAAAGTTATATATAAAGTCAAATAATTATCATAACTTTTACTGTTTCGTTACTGAAACACCATGCTTGGTTATTTAACAGCCAGTAAATAAAATATTTAATCCTATGCTGGTATTTGTCATCTATATTTTGTATTTTTAGATATTACTGCTATAGATGTGTGTGTTGAATTTGTGAAGATACTGTTGCTTCTTCGGATATGCTGTGATATTAGCAGCTGTATGTGTGCGTCAGTGTAAATATACTATTCTCTTGTCATCGTTTTAGAGTTCGTATATACACACACATCATGTACCGCACTAAATTATTTTACCTTATCGTGTTTTGTTACCGTTGAAGCGTTATCTACGTGACAAAAAAATACAAAATGATTTTAAACGATGCGGAGGGGGAACAGGCAAAGGCAGTTTGCATTTTAGCTAAAAAAAATCCCTTTATCTGGAACAGATAAAAACATAATTTTAAGCCAAAATATCAACCGCATTGCAACGTGTCTCCCCCGCATCGCTTCAATCCGTGTGCGCTTTTGCCGGTCTCAACCTCACCTGTTTGTTTCTAGAGCGGTTTGGTCTTTTTATAACAACGTTCACGATGGTCGTTTGGGGAACGTGATGCGATGGGAGTGTCGGCTGCACGGCCGCTGCTCCAGCGGAGCCCGCGCAGCCGTGCCCCGAGACGCAGCCTCCACCGTGCTCGTCCGTCGGTGGCCGTGCCCGCGCTTGGCTCCCCTCCGATGGGGGACGCGTCTCGACGGATGAAAACCCTGCGGTGGCGCCTTCTGTAAAGCGGTGCTCCTTGGAGCCCGAGTCGCTGTCCGAGCCGTCTGGCGCATACAAGGATCCCCTCTTGTACTTCACCGGTCCGATAATTATCGTCGATGGCAGTCTGCCCGGGTGTTCCGCGTCGATGTCGGATCCTTGATGGCCGGTTTTGGGCTGCGCCGCTCGAAGGCTCCCCGACACGTCTGGCTCGCGGCCTCTCGTGTCCGTGGCCATCGGGCCCCAAGGTCGTGGCTCCGGCTCCGCTTCGCCGTGTGGCGGAGGTGAGCCCTCTCGTCCCGGGAGGTCCGCTCGCTTCGCGCCGGACCCCGGTTCGGGTCGCGTCTCCAGCCACTCGCCACCCCCACGATGCATCTGCTCGGCATGCGGAGGAGGACCGCGCTGCGTCATGAGTTCGTGTTGTCCTTGTTGTTGTTGTTGTTCTTGTTGTTTTTGTCGCCGTTGTCCTTGTTGTTCTTGTTGTCCTTGTTGTCGCTGTTGTCCTTGCTGTCGTTCTTGTTCTTGCTGTGTGTGGTATTCTTGTTGTCGCTGTTGTTCCTGTTGCCCTTGTTGTCGTTGTTGTTCTTGTTGCCGTTCTTGTTCTTGTTGTCGCTGTTGTTCTTGTTGTCGCCGTTGTTCTTGTTGTGCTTGTTGTTGTTCTTGTTGCCGTTGTCGTTCTTGTTGTTCTTGTTGTCGTTGTTGTTCTTGTTGCCCTTGTTGTCGTTGTTGTTCTTGTTGTCGCTGTTGTTCTTGTTGTCGCCGTTGTTCTTGTTGTTGTTGTTCTTGTTGTCGTTGTTGCCGTTGTTGTTCTTGTTGCCGTTCTTGTTCTTGCTGTCGTTGTTGTTCTTGTTGCCGTTGTTGTTCCTGTTGCCCTTGTTGCCGTTGTTGTTCTTGTTGTCGCTGTTGTTCTTGTTGTTCTTGTCGTTGTTGTTCTTGTTGCCGTTGTCGTTCTTGTTGTTCTTGTTGTCGCTGTTGTTCTTGTTGTCGCCGTTGTTCTTGTTGTCGTTGTTGTTCTTGTTGTCGCTGTTGTTCTTGTTGTCGTTGTTGTTCTTGTTGTCGTTGTTGTTCTTGTTGTCGCTGTTGTTCTTGTTGTCGTTGTTGTTCTTGTTGTCGTTGTTGTTCTTGTTGCCGTTGTTGTTCTTGTTGCCGTTGTTGTTCTTGTTGCCGTTGTTGTTCTTGTTGTTGTTCTTGTTGTCGTTGTTGTCTTTGTTGTTCTTGTTGTTGTTGTTCTTGTTGTCGTTGTTGTTGTTCTTGTTGTCGTTGTTGTTCTTGTCGTAATTGCGGGTGCAGTGGCTGAATCAGAGCCTCGTCTCTTCTCGGTGTATATTCCGCAGGCCTTGCGTCTCTCTCGCCCTTGGTGTCATAGTACGGCATCTGCGGTGACTCAGCCACTGCCTGAGGCATCAGGGATCTCCCTTCATCGTCGTCGTCTTCCCCTCTCTCTCTCAACGCCCTCGGCTCATTTGAAGTCGCCGGTGGACGCTTCTTCTCAGGCAACTCGTAAGCCCCGGGTGGAACTGCACGGCTATATGTCACGTCTTTGCCACTCTGACCATTTTTCCTCGATGGCTCGCGTTGCATTTCATCTTTTCTTTCGGGTTCACGACTTTTCCAGCCAGGGTCCATCCGTCGCTTTTCCCCCGGCCGAGCCTTGAAGGGAGAACAACACGCGTGGCCGATGTGAAACCTTCCCGTGGAATTTGGAAGGGGAACGCGTGAACGAGTTGCTGTGACTGGCTTGAGAATTGTGTTCCTCTATAGCAGGTGACCTGTACGCTGTATGATCAGACTCAGAATCTTTATTTAGACTCCAGGAGGAATCCGATGAGCTATGAAGCTCTTTCGCACAGATGTCCAGTATGGGCGGATCAGCGAGTTAGAACAGCAAACGATGCAAACACACACGACAGGGGTGCCAAATAGAGAAAAAGGTAAGTAAGTCACGAAATATAAATAAATAGATAATTTTTTTTTATATAAGTCCGATTTAAATTGCGATTTAAAGCTTTCGTGACTGTAGGGATTCATATTCTTGGTTATTTCGGTAAAGTCACGTAGAAGGGAAATAATAAAGTAATATTAAAAATTTACATATAGAAATAATAAAATAACCCATAATAAAAAAAAAAATCATGTTTTAGATTTTATTCTTTTATTATTTCCCTTCTACGTACTTTACCGAAAGAACCAATAATATAAGTCCGATTTATCAAGCTTTGGAAAGACAGCAAAAGCAAGAACAAAACAGCCCCAGACCACACCAAGACAACACCACACAGCACATCAACATTGAACTATCGACACTACGCAGGTGAGGATCGAAGTTGCAAATCACATTTTGCAAATGTGGCTGCATCCGGCACTATCCTCCTGCTTCAGGACACTGAGGGCTATTGCAGCCCGTGCTGAGTGACCGCTTCTTCTAACCCACACCGCGTTCCGCACACCAAACTTTGCGCGTCCAAATACTTTATCGCTCTCATTCATTCCATGCACTGCTCAGCTTTTTTCCTGAGTTCTCACGACCTTTCTCAATCTAAGAAACATTTTGTCTCTTGACTCTTTATACCAGTGCTGTTTGTTGCTGGTCGCTTGCCATGTTGCACCTTTGGGCCATGTGCTCAGCACCCGTTATTTAGATTATATTCCCACAATGCCCTCACTCCAGCACACCACTTGTCACCTCAAGATTTTTGTTTACAGATTGCAAGAGTCGCATGGCACATTCATGCACGCAGGAGCCATAATCCGTGCCCTTTGCCGCGGATAAAATGAGTGAATTTATTAGATGGTCGGATGAAAGCTCCTCATTTCCATGAATTTCCTCATGCCAGGATGTCCCTAATGTCCTGCCAGATCGTGCAGATGTAACGTCCTTACCCAGTGCCCCGACTGGACATCTGTGAAAAAGAGCTTTATAGCTTATCGGATTCCTCCTCCAGTATAAATACATATTCTGAATCTGATGTACAAGGTGCTTTTAAAAAATGTTAACACTTATATGGGACTATCGTTTTTAATTGGAAAAGAACGGATAAAACACTGTAACATGATAACACTGTAACATGATAAAACACTGTAACATGATAACAAACGTATGTTAGTAGCTTCAAAACGTGAAAGAGTCTCTACTTGTTCGCCATCATTGTCCACACGTGCCTGGAATTTTTCCCAGGTGGTCTCCAGAGCCCGGAGGCACATTTCCCGTGCTATTGCTGCAAATTCTCGTAAGTGTCAACATTTTTTTTAAGCACCCCCTGCATGTACGTTGAACTTCTCTCGCACCGTACGCAGCCAACCGCGCTGATCGGAGCCGCGACGGCGGGCGAATGTGGGTCGGTGTGCGAGCACCTCGGCGTCCGTGACGACGTCGACGGAGGAGCGGTCCCGTGGGGGCCGCCGGTTCTCGTCTCCGGCAACGGCGGCGAAGGGCGCTGGTACCTCGTCCAGGGACTGCACGCGGGGCGACCGCCACTCGTCGTGCCCGGAGTCGCTCTCCGAGAGCGTCACCAAGCCCGCCGGCACGGCAGGGGAGCCAGCGCCTCCAGGTCCTCCACCCTCCACTGGAACACACAAAGACAAAGATCCCCCACCCCTCCGTGTAGCCTTTAACAGACCGTTGGGGCAAGTGCTGTTAGCGAGAATTTATGATGGCCGGCACGGCACACGAGGGGGTGGGTGGCCAGCACCACGCCCGGCCGACTTTGTCTCCCCGGTGGCGATGACGGATGCACGTACCAGCACGCACAAAAAAAAGGCAAAGATCCCCGCCCCCCGTGTAGTCTTAACAGTGCTGTTAGCATAGTCACAAAATACATGCATGCAATGAAAACTCATTCTAAATTGAAAACTAATTTCTTTAGAACTGCTTGTTGTGTTAGTGTTGATGTCCTTCCCACGCACCTCAGATTAGTACGGTTGGCTACGTACGGTGCGCAAAAGATGTTCAACATACATACATGCATACTCAGAAATACACAAACAATATTACACACATCAATTTCCTTATGAATGTATGGGAGTTTTTTCAGAGTTCCTGCAAAAAAATACTCAAGATAGACAATGGCCAACAGGCTAAGCAAGACACCACTAGAAAAAAAAAGTGTTGAGACTCTCAGGGGCCTTCGTTCCTTCACCAGTTCTGACTAGAGGTGCGTTCCTGTCCATCGGTCTCGATGGCCTGTGGGCATCCCCTGCAGACTGCGAGGAGTTGGTCTTCTCAGGCCAAGGCTCTGTGTGAGTACCTGTGCACGTATGCATGCACGCAGAGAGGCACACACAAGCAACGTTACACAAATGCATTCACGCATGAACTGTAAGATAAATGTGTATGCGTCTATGTATGTATGTATGTTCGCACACATCCATGTGTTTGTAGACAAAGTTTAAAAACCACAAATAGAACGGATATCATCATCATCATCAAAAGAGTTATAGAATCCCTGGATTGTAGCAATGTACCCAACCTACCTTAGACTGAGATTTTGACTAAAATGTCCACACTAACGTTGATCGCGATGGCCAAAAATACCAAAAGCGGGCCTCTGGGAAAAGTCTTAAGGTTCGGTAAGACTTCCCGAGTCAAGCAATAATTATTGTAAAGATTCCTCAATTCTCGAAACTAAACTATCTTTATTTTACCAGGTAAGGCCCACTGAGCTATGTAGCTCTTTTTCAGAAGTAACTTGGCCACAAATGATGTCTCAACGAAGTGGCTAAACGTTTGGAAATTGAGCTCAACCAAATACTCTCAACGCATGTTTCTAAATGTGGAGGGAAAAACTGGAGGACCCGGAGAAAAATCCACAGGACCACGGGGAGAGAGACACGCAAACTCCAAATAGACAAGTTTCAAGGTTGGGATTGAACCCACGACCCTGTCACCAGGTCTAGCTGAAGGTTCATTCCTGTCCATCAATCTCGATGGCCTCTGCGTATCCCCTGGAGACTGGACGTAGCTGGTCTTCTCAGGCCAAGCCTCTGCTTTTAGAGACTGCTTTGGGGATGCCGTGATGTCGTCTGCAAGGATACAAGAAGGCATTGTTGCCTGCACTGTTGGTGTGTGTGACAATTGCCAGTGCAAGCGATACTTCTGTGCCCATGATGAAGTGGAGATGGGAAAGCCCCATCGACGATGAACACATTTGTGCAATTATATCATAAAATCACTCGTTTGTTCTGTAACAGCAGTCACGGATTATCGTGCATAATAGGAGTTGCATTTGACATTCAACTCCTATTATCTTTAAAAACAAACAATGGATAACAAAATGAGATGACCAGCGGTGAGTGCAGTGGACAGTGGAGTAACTTACGGCTGCAGTGTCATCTGTTGTGTATGTGCAAGTCAAAGATAAATATTCCCCGTATAGCCTTAACATACTTTTGGGGCAAGTGCTGTTAGCTATCACTTATGAAGGGCCGGTACAGTACACGAGGGGGTGGTTGCCAGTGCCACGCCCGGCCGCCTTTGTCTCTCCCAATGCTAATATTTGTGCATCCACACGCACACACAAGAATCTCCGTGTTAGATGGTAATCGTTGCGTTTCGCCGTTTGTAAGGATCCTCAATTGCCTCACCAGCTCTGCTTGGAGGTTCGTTCCTCTCCGTCGATCTCGAAGGCCTCTGGGTGTCCCCGGCAGGCTGCAAGTAGCCGGTTTTCTCAGGCCACGGCTCTTCCACAGGCCTTCTTGGGCCGCCTGCCCTGACATCGTCTGCAAGGGGACACGACATTGTTGGAATTTGCAATAGCGTAGTCATTCTGTTATCCGTGACGAAGTGGGGATGGGGAACACCCATCGAGGTATAGCATCCAAGATTCTGAGAAAAAACACTAATTTTATGAATACAAAATGTATCGGTAAAGATGAGATGAGGTGAGAAGGGGGGTTGCGGTGCAGTGGGCAGTTTTGTAGCATCCAGTTGCGGTGTCGATGGCTGTGCGTGTGTGTGTGTACGTATGCATGCACACACACGCGTCTATGCACACGTGTCTATGCACAAGCAGGGTTGTACATATGCATGCAGGGTGCATGCCCACAGACTTGCACATACACAACAAAGTATATTACACAAATCCCAACACACACACACATACAGAAGAGGCGTTAAACAAACGCACGTATGCATGCACACAAGCGCGCACGTACACAAGCAACGTTACACAAATGCACGCATGACGCACACAGACAAACGTGTACACAGTCACGTGACCGCATGTATCTTTGTAGACATGCACACAGACAGGTTCACGTTCACCGTTTTGTAAATGCATTTATGAATGAACAGATTGCAATGATTTCAAGGTTTAAAGGCGCACATAGTCAGACGAGTGTATCACCACCATCGTCTGACTTTGATATAATGTCCACATGAATGTTGAGTTCACATGCACGAGCTTTCTTCAGGCGCAAGGTTTCCTCCGCACCCAACGCTACCTCGAAACGAGAGAATGGCCAATATCCTCAGCTGGCTTCTTGAAAATGTCTTGAGACTTGTCGAGACTCTTTTTTCGAAGTTAAATTGTAATACAATCGCGCAAGTCATTTTATAAAGCAGAGCCCTGGTTCGCTCACCAGTTCTGGTGGTTGGAAGGGATGTCCTCCTGACATCCCCTGCAGACTGCAAGTAGGAGAGGGTCTTCTCAGGCCAAGGCTCTTGTAGAGACCTCCTTGGGCCTGCCGTGACATCGTCTGTAAGAACACAGGGCAGCATTAAGGGCCGTCCATAAATGACGTCACGCGATGTTGGACGATTTTCTTACCCCCCCCCCCCTCGTCACACGGCGTCACAAAAAGTCAGACCCCCTCTCAGATATGACGTCACAAAGCTCTGCCCCCCCCCCCCCCCCAAATAAAACATGCTTCAAATCGCTTTAAACTATTGTCATTGTAGTGAACATTTAATGTGGCGCTGCACTCTGATGTTGTAGGAGAAACATTTATTAAAAAGTAAATTTAATTAAGTAGTCAGCCTATTCGCTTTCGAGACCAATATTATCATGCAGCATTTGTTTAAGTGAGCAAACTCGGCATGTATTTACGTTGAACTTCTTTCGCACCGTACGTAGCCAACCATGCTAATCTGAGGTGCCGCGTGGGGGGGGGGCGGAGCAGGTCAACAAACTTAGCACAAAACGCAGTTCCCAAGAAATTCGTTTGAAATTTCGACCTCCCGGCGGCTTGTCAATCAGCGGAGCCAGAGTCGCCAAACAAAATTGCCGACGGATTCGCAGAACGTCAGCCGGCGGGAGCCACTCGGCGCGCATCTCACCGAGGGATTTGCCTGTCGCGACGTCCGCCGCCGTGCCGCCCCGAGCAGCATCCTCCCGCTTGTCGCGAGAGGATGAGTCCAGCCGGCGGTCTCCGCTCCACGCCGAACCCCGCTGTAGCCCGTAGGTGGCACCGCCCGGCACCTCGCTCTGCCTCCCGGCTGCGCTGCCATCTCCTCGGCGCCCCTCCTCCGAGACCTCCGGCTGCTGCTGCTGCTGCTGCCCTCGGTCAGCCGGGACCACCACCGCTTCGCCTTCGCGCTTTGCCCGAGGTGGCGACTCCGGCAGCGGCGCGGGTTCCGAGGTGGTGGCACCATCGCGGGCGGGGAAGGTGGCGTCGGGGGGCGCAAGCTGCAACACGTCCAGAGTGCCGTCGCGTAGACGCTTCAGCCTCTCCGTAGACGACTCGTTGCCCGTCCGACGGCGCACGTGGATCATGACCATGGCGCGCAGGTAGTTCCTGTTCTTGGGGTTGTTGTCCGGATCGTCGGTCACCGAGAAGCGATCCCGGAGCTTCGGGGAGCCCTTGGCAGCCGTCCTCTCGAGCATCGGCGAGAATTTTTTGCCCATCATGGGTGACATCTTGCCGCTGTTGCGCCTGATTCCCAGCTTGGGGCTGGGTTTGGGCGATGCCCTCTTGGGCAGCTTTGGAGAGGATCTATCCTTGTCACCTTTGGGTTTATTTTTGTCACTGTCTGCTTCGCGGACGTCCTAAAACAACAACAACAACAACACAACGCGTGTGCAATTCACATCGAATGTGCCATCATGTTTTTTATTTTGTTGCCATCTGGTGCATTTTTTTTGTTCAATGCAACTCGGCTGAATTTACAAAAACAATGGAGAGTAAAAAAAAAAACGTATTCATCAAATTAGAAAATCTTAAAGCGGCGACAGCTATAAATGTGATTTGCACGTTAAGTGAGGGGCTGAACGGCGTGATGGTCGTTGCACTTAGCACAGCTAGATTGCATGGGTCGGCAGGACAACGTCTGCAACCCGCAGTCATTTCTACGGTGGACATCAAGGACGTGAAGAATTTCCCATTTGCAAGAGAAGGCCACTGTCTGCAATAATCAATGCTGAAATCCCACACTTCTCAACAACCGGATGTGAATTTTCAATATTGTCCCCTTCGCAGCTGTTCCTATTTTTGTTTAATGCTTCTGGCAAAACACTTAATGAATCTCAACGAGTGACCGTACACAGAAGGAGTATCATTACCTCAATGCCTTACAGCAAGAGTGAGTGAACAAGGCATTTTAGGGCATCTCCCAAAGCCTGCTCATCACGCTTCAAGCCCAGGGGTCGGCAACCAAATTAAAAAAACGCAATATTCAAGAGCCGCAGCGCACTGTGTGGTGAATACGAGAAGGTGGTCCTTCTTAATAAATGACCTCACGAAGCTGTCGGAGCCGCATGCGGCTGTGGAGCCGCAGGTTGCCGAGCCCTGTTCATGCCGGACCCGTGACATGCAGAGAGCAGCATAATGTACTTCTGATCAACAACTTCAAAATGTTCATCGTGTAGTCGGGTTTTTTCTTCTATGCAGCTATTTTTAACTGAGATAAGAGCAAACTTTTTTTGTTGCAATTCACAATCCTTCCGGATCACTTTAGACACTTGGGAAATTTGAATTCAGGCTTTTATAATAATTATGATGGATGAAGGCCTCCTCAAGTCATGAACATCTCTGACGGACCAGCAATGGACATTTAGAACCTGGAAACTCTCATCGCTCTATCTCCAGATTGAAAACTAATGTCTCTAGAACGTATTTTCTGTGTTTAGTTTGTTGTCCTTCCGCCGCACCTCCGATTTGCACGGTTGGCTACGTACGGTGCGAAAGAAGTGTAACACACTCGGTGTACATCTCTGCTGTGGTCATCACCTCCGGTGTGCTCCCTCCTTTGGCTACCATTCCGTCATTATTCCTGACCACCATCCCTTATGGCGACGTGTCCTGTCCAAGCCCATTTACTTTCCTTGACAGTCTCTAACTCTGCGCATGTTTTGTAATCCACGTGTTCCCCATTACGTCTCTCGGGTGTCATTCCAATCATGCACCTTTGTTTCTTTGTGAAGTTTTCAACCTTTTGTTCAATTTCATTGTCAATGTCCATGTTTCTCATTCATGTCACAGCAGGTGTGCATTGATTTAAAAAAAAACCCGGATAAGCATATTGGTCCCCTGAAATTATAAGTTATTTTTTACAACATTACTCCAACCTGTTATTGGCTACAATTGTTTTTTACCATTTTGATCTCGCCCCAACTTAAGTAACTGTCTTAGGTATATATTCTGGTGTTGTTTTTATTAAAAGTTATTTATCCCATTTTATTCACTTTGGAATTTGAAATCAGAATGCAGCGATATGCTCATGCGACACAATGACCTTCTACTCGCACCGTGTTTAAATTGAGTCCATGGCAGTTGAGGCCAATAACAGGACCAGGAAGGCCGCTTGCCACTGCATCAGCTTAAAATCTACAGAGCCAATTGATCCCGAAGAGCATGCATAGTACAATCACCCAGCTTACCGTCACATCAGGGAATTCTCTCTCTCTGGAATCCGGTTGCCTCTGAGCTTTGCCCACATCAGCATCGTGGAGATGGAGCGATGTTTGGTCACCAACTTTCCGTGTCGCTATCAGGGCGTCAGTGAGCTCGCTGAAGGACGTGGGCCTGCGAGTGAAGGCAGCGTGTTTAATGTCTTGCAGCTTGTTGGCCAGTTGCTTGAATGGCGACGGCATCCGCTGCGGCTTGTTTGCTTGCATTATGACCGCATAGGGAGCCTCTGGAGTCGATACTTGCGCACCCATCGCACCAGCCGGTCGAGAACCAACGCTCGGAAGGTCTGAATTGTCTCCGCCTGGTGGCAAAGTGTCCCTGTCCGGTGGTAGGGTTTTAGTGCTTTTTGGGCCAGGTGTAACTACTTTTGTTGACTGTGTGCTGTGTACAGGGTATGCAATCTCTTCTTGGCTCGGACTTTTTGATTTGGCGTATGCATTTTTTTGTGTCCCGGGGGCTTGAGTCATCTGAGCTTTCTGACCATCTTCTGGAGTTATTTTGCTCGCAGAGGGTGAGGATGTGTTGAGATTCGTCCCTGGCAGTGCCTCGGACCGTGGGTTACGGAATTGTGGAGCCTCACGAGGGGAGAACGACCTCGCCAACTCGACACCGTCGCTCTCTGCTGGCGGTCTCGTGGGTTGGGTCAGCTGAGGTCTCTGGCGATCTGCTGGTGTTGTTTCGCTTGCACGAGGCGAGGATGTGCCGACAGTTGTTCTTGGCATTGAGGAGGCTCGACGTAGGTTCTCTGACATGAGGTCTTGGTATTGTGGAACTTCATGAGGGCTGTATGGGTTTACCAAATCAACAGCAGCAGCTTGAGGTTTTTGCCCGTCTTTTGGAGTGGTCTTCATTGCAGACGGAGTGGTTACGTTTTGATCAGGTTTTGCTCTTGGCATTGAGGAGGCCTGATGCATTGTCTCTGATCCTAGACCGTGAAATTGTGGAGTCTCAGGAGAGGCAAACGACCTTGCCAACGCGACACCTGCACCGTGAGCTGGTATCCTGGGTGCTTGAGTGGCCTGCGGTTTCTGCCCATCTTCTGGAGAACTTTTGCCTGCACGAGGTGAGGACGTGTCAACAGTTGTTCTTGGCATTGAGGAGGCTTGACGCAGGTTCTCCAACATGGGGTCTTCGCCACGAGGAGCCTCGCGCGGGGTTAATGACCTTGCCAAATCAACGCCGGCACCGTGTGCTGGTGTTCTGGTGGGTTGGGTAGTCTGAGCCATTTGCCGCTTTTCTGGAGTGCTGTTGCTTGCAGATGGTGAGGATCTGTCGAGGCTTGTTGGTGGCAGTGAAGAGGCTTGGTGCGGTGTCTCTGGCCTTGGGTCTTGGAGGTGGAGGGTCTCCCAAGGGGTATACGGCATTGCAAACTCAACACCGCTGCCGTGATGGAACCTGCTCAACATAGACTCGCTGGCGGGAGCAGTTTCCTGGAGGAAGCTGTAGGGGTTTGCCTCTGCCATTTGAGGCTGGTACAAATGGTCCCGTAACGGTGAGAGTTGCCGGTAAAGCCCATAAAACCCGGGATCCTGGACCCGTGCATCCTGATTGTAAAAGCCATACATGGTCGGGTCACGAAGGGCCAAGTGTTCTGGATAAGGGCCGACTTGCAGTGCGTTTTGGAGGCCCGGCCCTTCTCTGTAAAATCCGGCCATCGCAGTGTCGCGAATCGGCGACACGTTCCTAAAGATGCCGTACGCACCGTCGTCCGGAACGGGAGACCCCTCTCGATAGAGTGCCGCCAGGGGTGGGCTCGGAATGGGCGAGGCCTCCCTGTAGAAGCCCACGAGATTCTGTCCCGACATTCGCGAGGCGTCTTGGTGGTAGAAGCCGACGAGCGCGGGGTCGGGAATGGGAGACGCATCTTGGCCGAGGAGCCGCCCCCTGAGCTTCTCTCGAGTCCTGTAGCGCAGTCGAGACCTGAACCGCTCCATGCTGCTGCTTGAGTCCCCCGCTGCACTGCTGCTGCTGCTGCCGCTGCGACGCTAACGACGACGGGGCAGAGGGGTGCCTGGGTGCTCTCGGGTTGTCGTCTCACATCTTCCTTTGCCTCGCCGCTGCTCCCCAGGGTTACAGAGTCGTAATTCGCACCGTCGGTTGTGTGCACGCGCGTGCGTGTGCGCACGTGTTTTTTAGGCATCCACAAAAAAAGTTTTTGTTGGAGCGATCAATTTAATTGGGGTTTGTTTCTGAATTTATCTCTTTAAGGTTTATATATATTATTACAGTAATGGTTTAAAAAACAAGCATGACAAAGCGAAGCAATAATGCACTGCACTAAGGGATGCAAACACACACTACACACTACCTACCGTAGACAACAATCATGTCCACCTTTCTCCCATTATTAACTGGCATGTAAATTAAATCGTGAAATATTACATGTTCTGGTTGATCAGGCACACATTATGATGTTGGCTTGTATTCACAAACCTTGTTAAAGATCACTCCGAGTAATTCACAGCAATTTTCCAAACAGGGTTTTAAAACTCTCCATGCTGGCCTCAGAGGTCAGAGCGCTGAGCTTATCACTGCTGATATCCTGGCTCCAAATCCAGTATAGTGAGTTGCTGGTCTCAATTACCAATGATTGCACACACGAAAAAAACCCATCGCATTAAATCTGTTATTGCACTGAACTTGGCTAAATTCCAACTCTATAAATAAAAATGTACCATTATAATTGTTTTTTTACCCTTCTATCTGGCAACAAAAAAATTACCAGTTTGACTGTTGGGCAACAGAAACTTGACACTGTCGCCGGATGGGTGTAAAAAAAGGCTGCCCCCGAGATTTGGTAGGGTGTCACTGCAAGGGATCTCAGTCGTACTTCTGTGATATCTGCTTCTGAAGACTGTTCTCGAACAGACTGCTGTGTGAGATGTACACGCACATATGTAGGCTTTCACGGCCAATATTACGATTCAGAATTTGTTTCTTTTGGGTTAGATGGCCGTGTAGATATGATGTATTTTTTTTTCAACAATAAGTCTCCACCACCTGACAGAGCCAATGAAATAAAGTTGTCACGTGGGGTCAAATTTGCCAATCGATTTGGTTTTTTCCAGTAGACTGGAATGTTGAAAAACAAGAGAAATGTGAGAACTTCGTGTGACATTTCACTGGAGATTACATCCAGCATCATCAGGTGTTGACAACAGCTGAGCTTTCGCGTGCCCCTTGACAGTTGTCAATGGATTATCTGTCTCACAAATTGATGCCGATAACACAATCAGGGTAAAACAAATAGTTAAACTGCTGTGCTTTAAGTTATTTAAGAGTTTAAATGTCACATTGCAAATACGTGTCCGTTACTAACATATTTCCGTGCATACTAAGAGCTGACATTTTATACATGAACTATATATTTTTTCATAATAATTCATAATAAAGTTTTTAGGTTAGATCGCGTTATTTATAAATGTAGCGTAACCGTCCACCGCCCGACACGGCCAATCAGTAAAAAAGTGTCACGTTGACAAAAGACAAATAGTTCACTACTTTAGCCCACCGGTGTGTTGAAGAGTGAATCCACAACATTTACGATTTTTGAGTACGAGGTTTCGCTGATAATTACATCCAGCATCATCGGGCAATTTGCCAGAATGGTGAAGCCCTCACTTGCTCCCGGTCTTACCTTTTTTAAACTAGAATAACTTATAAATCTCACCATTCAAAAATCATGTAATGACTTTACAAACACTTGAACATAATTTCAAGATATTGCGTTGTGAAGCAATAACTTTGATATTACAGTCTCAATTTGATGATGTAATTCAAGTATTTTCTCTTTAAACTGTGGTTTCAAAGTGGCTCTATGCCCCAATGAGCACCAAACGCCTCTTACAATGTTAGAAGTCTTGTGCCAGTGGTGGACATTCCACATTCCTATGGCAGCAGTGGCCAATTTCTCCATACTCGTGGTGGACTTCGTCCAAAGTGGCAGGGCTACATATTCGCGCCAGGAGGCACTGGGGGAATAGGTGGCCGATCGGTTGACTCACAACAAGAAGTGTGCGAGTTCACACCTTAATTTGGGGTCAAGTCGACGAAATCACCCCTCCCATGCCGCACGCGTTCGCAACAAACACTCATCGTCACCCAGCCGGCCATGTCAAAACACGGACTTGCTCGCGCGTAGCCATGCGCATTCGAACATACTTTGCGCTGTTTCGAATGCATGCGCTGGTGCTATGGGTGTCCGATGCAGACTTCGACATTGCCTCAGCCGCATTGACATGTGATGGTGTCAGTGCGTCGGAGCGCTCTGCTGAACGAGTCTCATCAGGTCTCGGTTCGCCAGGAATGCACGCGCAGCGAGCTTCTCGCTCGAGGAAGAACTCCGCGCGCCAAAACGTGCTTCCCAAAAAAATCACAACGTCGGCGAAAGCCGATTGTATTTCTTCGCGTGCAAATTACGGCGGGTCGCAAATTATCAGAAGGGATAAAATTAGCGAGATTGGGAAGAAAAAAATACTATTTGTTGCTAGTTAAAATTGGTGGATGTTGTATTTTGAGACAGTAATTACACGTGAATGCAGTATTGATGAAGCGAGAAATATTGACAGCATATATTTAGTTGTTAAGATTTTTTTTTGCCACAATTAAAATAGATAATAATTTACCTGTTGTGTACTGAAAAGAGCCCAGAGCTCCCTGGACTCTTGCCTAGAACACGTGGAAGTCTACACGCTCTTGTCGCAACAAGTCCAACTGAACTCATGACAAATCAAAACTGGTCCACAAAGTGCCTCCTTAAACAAAATTCTGCTGGGTGAACATTTCTCGAGAAGGCTCACAGACTGTTGCACTGAAATGTTATCTTATTTCTGAATGGAGAGATAGATGCTTGCATGTTAATTAATTGTATCGTTAGTTAATATATACAAGCAATGACCGGAATAGTTACCCGATGGGAAACTGTTGATTTTACAAAAAAAAGTTACGCTTTCTCGAAAATTCTCTTGTCCTCTATTTGAATCACAAATTGTAACTCAGAGTGACATTCAAGCTTCCGTGTTACCAAGGTAAAAACAAACCTTTGTGTACATCACCTATGTCTACATCACCTACGTGTGCATCTACCGTGCCTATCTTCACTTGCAGGCTGTCTAGAGGACCACCTTTGAAAAAAGCATTGGGCTTTTTAATCCTGAATTATATACTTTTTTCTTAACGTGTACGTTAAATAAATATGCCTTTATGTTCATTATTTCAGTACATTTAGATTGTACACATTTTACTCTTCAAA